TTGCGGATCGGAAGACATACCATCTCTTCGTCTGAGTCTTCACCGGACTTGCGGCTTCTCACTGCTCCTCGCAGTGTCGCTCGCCGCACCTCCACGACCTTCCATGTCTTGTGCTCTGGGTCGATGACTGCGACGTAGTGCTTCACTTGCGAGTCGGTATCGTCTCCTGTGCCTTCACGGCCGACGAAGTCCAGCTTAGCGTGGTCCGAGGACTGGAGGAGCATCTCTGAAGAGACGATGCCCGGGTTCCGAGTCGATGCCGCAGACTTGGAGACATTGGCGCGGCTTTTGATATATGGGTTCCAGCGGAGGGATTTCGAGCTTTGGAGACCGGGTGTGTCGGCTATAACCCAAGAATTCAATTAGATCTTGTTCACAGTTTGGATAAAAAGCCTTCAACTCACCAATTACCGGTGCCAGCTCGCTCTTATCTTCAACAACGCTGGCGGCCAGTGCGGGCAGCTGGTGCAGCGCAGGCTTTTTGCTTGGACGGTCATTGTCCGATGAGCGTTTGCGCTTCTGATCTGTTTTATTGGACGGCATTATGGCGTTAAAAACGAGAAACAAAAGATCGTAGCTCTCGAGAATCGGCTTTACCGCGGTGAAATAAAATGTCTGGACTTGTCTGGCAGAAAATTTTACGAGCGGAGACCAGGCAGGCGGTGAGACCACGGCTTTCCGCACAAAGCAATATTGACGTACATGAAGGTACATGAAGCGTCAAGGTGATCTCGATGGCGATATACAGAGCTACGAACATTTGAAGACAGCCACTGAAGTGGTAGTTGTGCTCCAGGTTACAGGGTTACATTTACAATGAAGAAAAAAATGTTGCACTCATCAAGTCATCGATTCATCTGCAGTAGCTAAACCAAGACCTCCGAGTTATTCCATGGATTTTTGATAAACTCCCGGAAGAAACCTCTCCACAACTTTTGACCAGCCCGAAGAAAGGCCGTAAAGATAATGAGAATTGACCAGTCATCCCAATGCCGTGCTCAAAGACCGATGGGTTGCACCGGCCCTCCAACATCCACCTAAACACAGGAGCCCCTCCGAGTAATAACCATGCATGACATCAGATCGTAGACGTAAATGAATCCGAGGTGTTGGAATGTGGGTAGACTGTTGTTGTAACAGCGGATTCCGTCAATTCGATCTGCGATTTCTTCTGAAGATAGGTCGGAAATCTTGTCCGTGCAGGTAACTCGTTGGAATGAGGGGCGTGTCACGAAGAAACGAAAGTCGCAACGTCGCGTCGTCAATTGTCGTGTTCAGCGTTTAAACATGAGCTCCGGCAAGGAGAGCTGAGATGGAGGGGGCGAGTAGTTTATTTGCTGGATTGTGAATTAGCATTTCGGTTCGTCGATTGAGAAGCTCAATGGCCTTTCGCAAGACCATCGGCGCACAATGGAGAGTGACTTACGATCTGGCACGCATCTTTCTGCGCTTGCGCTTGAGACGGCGAGTGCGCTTCTTTCTCCACTTAGCTCTCATCTTCAAACTGTTGACTGGTTAGTGCATTGCTCTCGAGAAGATCTCAAGCTTTGGGAAAGCTACTCACGATTTCGAGGATGAAACAGAGATAGTAGAAAGAAAGATGAAGTGAGGGCGGCCCGAGACGCATTTACGTACGGTGCGGCTGACTCAGCCGCCCTCGCTTAGGCCCCACACGTGACACCCCAAGCTTCCATCTGTGACGACACATGACTATGCCAGATTAGGAAATTTGATAGGGTTTCACTCCATAGATGTTAGGCTCGCAAACCATTTGAGAATAATTTATGTCACATACAAAGTACGAGTGGGGATTGTAGGGTAATGACGTTAGTTCAATTCAACATCCACGAGAAGAGCAATGCCATTACTATTATTGAATAGCTATCATGTATCATATAGCTCCAAAATAGTACCAGTGAGACTTTTGATGCCAATGTTTCTGCTTTGGTATAGCCAGCAGTATGCTCATTAATGAAATATACCAAAATCTTCAGCACTCATGGAGCTTCGCAAAATCCGCAAGACGAGATCCACAAAAGTAAAATGAGAAAAGGTCTGTCATACCAAAGGATCTATGCAATCTGGAGATTTTCTCAGTATGTGTATCGATATGTGGGAGCCAAGTCGCCGAGATATTCCTCTTCATCCTCGGGGATCGTAGCAGGGTCAACAGGGGCGCGGTCACGTTTCTTGTTCTCAAACCATAGGGCTGCCATGTAGGCCGCGCATGCCAGAGCGGCGAGGCAAATGAACGAGAGGCAGATGATGTACCCGGTTCGGAAATCCGTGACTCCATTTTTTACGACAAAAGAATAAGTAGCGATGATTCCACCGATATTGCCGAAGCCAATCTGCCATGCGGTTCCCACGCTGCGTCTATGATGGCCACCCAAATTCATGGAGAACCAGCATACAATAACAGGCATGGCGCTGTAACAGCCACTGGTGAGCAGGAAAAGAGCGCCATATTGCGCACTAGTACTATTATGGATTGTCAAGAGCATGATAAATCCGACAAGGGCGACCGCCATTGGAATCAAGGTGAATACGAATCGGTGTCGCAGTCGGTCAGAGCAGAAGGCGACTACCATTGAGAAGCCGAATGATGCAGCCCAGGGAGGAATGGAGTACAGCTGGGTTTTGATCGCACTATAGCCGTAGGTCTTAATAATCGACGGCGCGAAGTATGCATATCCTGTATGAGAGTGAGCGATAACTCGGGAGTGTAATGGAAGAAGGAAGTGGTATACTTACCATAAGCTGGGACAATCAAGCCGAAGTACATAAAGCCTCCGATAAAGACCTTGTCTAGGGAAAGTCAGCGCGCTGCAATTGAATGCAAGAGGGACTATTCGGGCTATACTTACAGTCCTTGAACACACCCAGAACCTCGCGCTTGCCCAAGTGAACGTTGTGAGCAGCCTTACCGACATCCTTGGCCAACTTGGCACGCATGTATGTGCGCTCTTCCTCGTTCAGCCACTTAACATCCTCGGGGAAATCAGCGATGAAAAAGAACAGGATGATCGCGACCACACTGGTCAAAACGCCCTCAATAATGAACACCCAGCGCCAGCCACTGTAGCCGCACATGCCGTCCATCTTCGCGATTCCGCTGGCAAGGAGACCACCGAAAGCGCCGGCCAGGGAAGTGGAGCTAAAGAAGAAGCTGAAACGCTTTTGAGCCTCAGAGCGTGTGTACCACATGCCCAACAGATAGAAACCTGGCGATCACAATTAACACCTGTCTCAGGAGTTATTGCTTGGTATTTGCACTTACATCCAGGGAACATGCCTGTCTCAAAGACACCCAAAAAGAACCGAGTGGCCATCAGTCCACCCCAGTTCTGTACCAGACCCTGGAAGAGCAAGACCAAGCCAAACATGAACATGCATCCTGACACTAAATCCAAAGTATTAACAAGCTGCCCTTCCCAAAATTGCGCTTAATCGCACGGGGCGCAAAGGGACCAAAACACTTACGCCAGACATGAGGCTTCAACTTCTTGAGCAAAATGTTTGACGGAATCTCAAAGATAATATATGGAACGAAGAAAATCGTGAGCGCGGTGTTGTATTTTGTTCCACTGGTGATGTTCAAATCCTCCTTAAGTCCGAGAATAGCGGCATTGCTAATATTAACTCTGCAAGTCGATGAGTCAGATACAAGCAACGCCTGGTCACACAACAAAATAGTACGCTTACCGATCCAAAAATGCAAGCAAATACAAAATGCACAGACAGGGTAGAATGTGCCAATCGACCTTGGCTTGCAATTTGCGCGCGGTGGTAGTTGTGAGAGGAGGCAGATCGAAGTCCGTGTTGGAACTGGCCTGACTTTCGCCTTTGTCGATGGGATCTTGGGTATAAGTGGGCGATTCCTCTTCTGCGTGAGGATAGTACTAACGGTCAGCATGAGCTGGCAATGGTGCGCAAAAGGACGAAACAAAGAAATCCGGGGTACATGTTTAGGATCGAACATACCTGAGACACCCATGATGAGATGCAAATTGCGCTAGGATACTGCGCACCTACTTGGAAGGACAATAATAATGGGGAAGAGGGAAAGGAAGAGAAAAAAAGTTTGACTTTTTGGGGGTCAAGCTATGAAGCGCAGCTCGCCGATACAGGCAGGTTACCGAGGTGCTACGCTATATGCCGGCTCTCAAACGTGGGGTAACTTTCGGAGTTAAGGAGAGGGAAAGCAAGGCTGAAAGAGTCATAGAACAATCTTGGCGACTTAAGGGATTTCAATTACAAACGGTGAATCATCCCTTGAGATATCCCCGGTCGATCGAGGCCCGATCTCGGCCTATAGCGCGCCGATCTGCAACCCGAGTTTTTAATTATTGATTTTGCACATTTTAATTGCTTATATTGTATTTGTGATTCGCAGGACCTCGGGAATATCCATGGACATGTAGTTTTCCTCTTTTAAATCTTATTTTGCCCTTATTGGGAGAACTGTGTGCTTTGAATTCTATTATCCTTGTTTCCCCGCAAAATAGCCCAATCACGTGCTCAGTAAATAGGGGTCTCCGGTCCGATGGGATATCCACTTGGCTGGGAACCTTGGAAGTGCGGGGGTGTATCTTGGTTTCTGCTTATTTGGAGTATGTTATTGTTATTAGGTAGATTCAGTTAATCTATTTATGCTAAGATAGTAAATAGGAAAAAGTTTTGACTTTGATCTTCGACTTTAAATTATTCGTTATTAGTATCTAAATCTTAGCTTAAATAGCAGCTACAACATATATATATCAACCAAAACCCTTCCACATCAAGAAAAAGGAAATCTTTATGACTCCTTGGCCCACTGATTGCCACTCCACAATCCCCCCGTGGTCCATAGCCAATAGTCCCGGCCTTTGATCATCCACACAATGAGACTGGGCAACTGCCAGCCCATCGCGGCGCCTACCCCCTTACTCTTTCCAATTGGCACAAGCTGAGTTTCCCGAGTGTCCTCCTTGAACACACGATCGAGGCCAACGGCAGTTTCATCCTTCCCCTGCAATGAGCAAATCCCGTTTAATATTCGCACTTAGAGTGGGGACTGTATTCAAGATATTGTGCACGGCCGGACGCGCATGCGATCCCACATCACCAACCGCGTAGACTCGCGGACCAGCTTTATCCACACGTAGGGTGGACACGTTAGTCTCTATCCCGCCACTAGCCGTCAATAGGGACTCGTGGATAAAGCCGGTATTAGGCGCAGCGCCGGTAGCCGGGATATAAAGGTCAGCTTCGAGAGTTTTGCCGTCTGCCAAGGTCACCGTCGAATTGGTCGTCAGAGCACTCTCAGTGCCTGCACCAGGTGGTGAGACAGTTACAACGCGTGAGCCCTTGATCACCGTCACTCCGACCTGTGCGAGCAAGTCCTCAGCCTTCTTCGCGATCGCGGGTCGCAAGACGGGGAGGATCTTCGAGCCCGATGTCACAAGGGTAATGGGGACCTTGGGATTCTCCAGTTTAGAGCTGAACCAGCCAGCGCGACCGTTGAGATACTCGCCTAGCTCACCGGCCGTCTCTACACCGGCCGGACCTCCGCCCGCGATGACGATGTGTTTGGCGTTGGGCAGAGCTGCGCGGAAGGTATTCCAGGTAGCGCGCAGAGACTCAGAGTCGCCGTTTAGTCCTAGTAGGGGCGACGCGGTGGATGTACCGGTAGCGATGACAAGCGCATGGTATTCAATTTTCTCGGTAGCGCCGTCTTTAAGGCTCACAATGACATGGCGATCGTGCTGGTCGAGTTCCGTCGCGGTGCCTTGAATGAAACGGAATGTATCGTTCGGGTACTGCTCGAACTGCTTCGGTACACTGACGAAGAGCTTCTCCTGGGGGAACATGTCATCTGAGATCAATGCACGAGGACAGCCCGGGCGGCATATGGCCTGCGACGAGGTGCTGATGAGGATGACCTGATAGCTCGCTTTGTTGGGCAGCTGAGGGACGACATGTTTGAGAAGGTAGTGCGCGGTGGAAATGCCCCCATAGGAACCTCCTAGGATAACAAGATTCTTCTTGCTAGAATCTTGAGACATCGTGCTTAGGCGATAACTCTCACGAATTATGGAAGACCAATGGTCTAAGATGCAGGAAATCGAGGACTGGAGGACTAGGTTGAAGTATGACACGCATTATTTGTCCACATTACCAATCTGAATCTCACTCCCTCCAGGCTCCAGGACTCTGTCCCCTTCCATGGCGGCCTTTTTGGTTCTTTTGGCACATGGTTTTGAGGCGCACCATACCACCCCCTGATTGGCTCGGCTTACCCTTCATATCACCGGCTTACTATGTTATGTATCGTGATCTCGGATCAGATGAGAAGGGCAAAATCTCGGTAAAATAATTCGACATTCCTTTGATCTGGAAATCGAAACTTCATGCATGAATGGATGGTGGATGCCTTGAAGTTCGGGCTAGCAGTTCTCTAGTCGATAGCCGACCACCAAGCCCTGAGAGATATTCTCTTCCCACAATCAACTCTTCCCTCTCTCTGGCCTTTCGTCTGTTAGAATTAACACGTTTCTATCTAGGTAAGGAATTCTCAGGCATCCCGATGTGAAAAAAAAAACAAATGCAAATATTGTTGAGCAGTCACTCTACCTACAAAAGAATGCTGTCTCCGAGGGGGTAGGACACTGCGTGGCTCAGCTATCTCACACCCTGCATCTTGATATTGCAGTATTGTTCCAGTTCTGACTGGGAGCTCCCTTCAAATGCGGTCACTTAACTATCTACTTGCCCGCGATATTAGAGATAATATTATCCAGACTCGCTTTAATGCAGGTTTCTGGCTTCAGCCTGCTTCATATATCGACAGAAAAACTACCTTCTATACAGAATGGGTATACTTTACCTCTAATGATATATTATCTACGTCTTTGATAAGCGAGGTGATGTTCGCAAATCTCGTGCATCCCATCAACCAACATTCGTCACTGCACAGAACAATACTCGTTTCCTACTGGTCTGGAATAGTGTGCACATCTTAAGAGGTGGCTACAACTCTGCGGGCTGGTTACGACACAACGTCTCCAAGGCTCAGGGAGAGAGCCGGCCAAAGTGTGTCGTCCGTCCTTTCAGTTTGTTAGTGAATGCCACGTGGCATTTATCTCCAATTATCCTAAGTTGCATTGCCTAGAGGCTATGAGCCTCTGCTGGACCACTAGCAACCTCCTTCCTCTTTGGCCACTTGCCTCACTTGCGCAACGGGTGTAACGAATCACAAAGCAATTTCTTCAGAACCCGATCGTCAACTATGCAGAATCAGACAAAATGAATGACTACAAAATGTAGATGAGGGTGGCATTTCCAGGATCATCTAGAATGGGGTTTTACCGCCTAGATTTCCTCACTCAAACTCTCATTTTCAACGCTTTCTTCTCCTAATCTTCAGGTTTGATCGCCTCATCCTACCAGAAAGACAACGAGGAGACCCCGGATACTACGACAACATGGCTGTGGTCCGATGATACCGTCACTCGCGACGACAACCCTGATATGGACATCGACGAACTCACATCTGACAGATGAAGAGGCCACACCGAAAAATCAGGGACAAAATCTATCAGAAACCCTCGTTACAAAGATCCAAGTCAAGATCCTGGAATACAACTCCAAGAACCCATGGAAATCGACTTTTCTAGTTATGGTCTCACCCGCTACCATCTCAGCACACTCCGACAAGGTTCTTGAAGTGGTATCTTTCCCCTCCACAATATTTCTACCCAACCAAAAAATTGAGGTAGTCCCCTGTAATATTACAATACGGAATTTGAAATATTGAATATCAACAGGGATAACCTTGTCTAGCGTTGGAGGATCGACCCGAAGTGGGCCACTGTCAAACAAAGAACTAGACCGCAAAGTGGGTTTGTAGATATTTAAAAGGAAATAGGCAACATCCAGGCTTTGATCCTGAAATTGTGTCAAAGGTTGCATGAAACCCAGGGGCTTTGGTCGTATATCCAATCCTTGGCCTGATGCAGCCTTCCTTTTGTTTGCTATTCTGATTCATCTTCTCTCTCTTTTTCTCTTTTCTCTCTCACTCTTGCATATTCCATGACTGTCACTTCAAACATACAGCCTTTAAGCTTCCTCTATGTCATTTCCTTCACATGAATTGACAGTAACTCGGATCAGCCTTCAGCCCACCGTTGCTTTGCGGTTTCCCTTTTCACTACCACTACCACCATGAGCCTTAGAAGAATCAAGATGCAGGCATCTAGATGCTTATCTACTCGTCGTGGATCTTGTATATTATTTGTTACCTTCATATGGTTCCTCTTCTATCACCTTCCAGCTCCTCCTTCCACCCAGAACAATATTCGCGCAGACCGACCACCCCCAGAACATCAAGTAGAGGACACGCCACGATTTATCTACCGCTCTCCTTTTCGAAGAAATCCGGATGTTCAATATGAAAAACAGCTAGCAAATGCCCTGGAGAAGATTGAAATGGCCGTATTGGCACAAAGTCAGGAAAGCAACATATCCGAAGATAGAATCTGGCAGATTGCGAAAGATGCAAAGCACAGGGGGGAAGACTCAATAGTGTTTCAAGGGAAAAATAAAGAGTGGGTATACACTGTATGTACTTTGGCTGGACCCTACATAACTTGCTTGACTCCAACTGAAAACCACAAAGTTAGTCAGTGATCAAAAGGCCATCGAGTTCGTGACCAACGAGCTATCCGCCATCCCCGAAATCGCGACCATATACAAATCCTACCCCCACAATGTCCTCCGAGCAGACCTCCTCAGATACCTCCTTCTCTGGTACTACGGAGGCTTCTACGCAGACATCGATGTTTTTCCGGCTCGAACCATCAAGACCTGCCCAGCACTTGAGCCCTTCTTCGCAACCATACCGGATGAATACACACAAAACACCCCTCCCGATGTATCGCTCGTTGTTGGAATCGAAGTCGACGAGCCATACGCTTCGCCACAATTCATGCGCGATTGGCACTGGACAAGGAGCTACGGACTGATCCAGTATACGATGTATGCACCACGACGTTTCAGCCCGCTTCTCCGTGAAACCATTGTGCGGGTCTTAGCACATACCAGAAAATACAATAGTGAACATACCGGCCTCTTCCCCAGTCTGGCGTATGACGAGAAGACAATATTAGGAGTTACGGGGCCTGATGTCTTTACAGATGCTATTCTTGACACACTTTCCTCTTCACTTCCTTTGACACATCAGTTCATTCAACAATCTGTCGACGCAGATGCGGATATAGGGGATCTTTTATCTCCTGAACTTGGGGAGTTGAAGGAACGCGTAACGTGGGCTCCGTTTCATAGACTCCGTGATCCTGTCTGCATCCAGGCTGGCGAGGCTGTCCAGAATGAATCCATGGGTGGACTGTGCGTGTTGCCAATCAGTGTTTGGGGGAATGGACAGAGACATAGTCAGGCGGGAGGGTTTAACCATCCTGACGCGTGTGTTAATCATCGGTTTGGGCGGACGTGGAAGAAGGGGTGGTGGGAGTATATATTTGGGTGAATCTTTCATTGTTTGATCTGGCTTGCATAGTCGAGTGATATTTTGACATAGATTGGATAAGATAACTGCTTTCTTTCAAGGTGAACCTTTTTTGTATCGGTTTGAATGTACTACTGAGGATACATGGTAGACGAGATCATGAAGCGAGAAGCAATCCAATATAAGTGTATTGGAAAGTGAAAACTATTGAGAAGGGAGGAAAGAAAAGGACTGTAGGAGTCCTTTACTACTATAAGACTCTGCTTTGATCCCCCTTTAAGCAATCATTTGTAGCACTGGCAGCCTTCCTTCTTGGGGTTCTGGCAACGAGCCTGGTTGACAGAACAACCTCCACAGAATGCACATGTATCAGGAGCATAGCAGTTCCCCTCTCCTACAACACAGCTTCCATGGTGGCCCACACATTTGGTGCACGCGTTGGTGGCTCGGCCCTCAAGATCTCTAGCCTAGAATGAACGTGTTAGGAAATTGCCATTCCCCAAAATAGGGGTTAGACGGAAATGTACCTGGTTCAAGCTTTGCTGTATGAAGTCAGTTCCCATGTATAGGATAGTTCAAATGATCAAGGACTCACTGGCTCTCCATAGATAATATCCTCGCCAGATTGGTAAACCTCGAGCTCAACGCCGTTTGCCGCAAAAATGCCACTCTGTGCAGCCGATGCATTGGCAACAAGAAAGGCGAGGATTGCAGTGCCTTGAAGGAACAGTTTCATTTTGGAAAGAATTTGATGGTCTTGAATTGAAGCTGAAAGGATGTATTACTTTCCTCGCGAGGTATGGAATTGGGGTTAGACTAGTACGACTGAGGTGCACGGCTATCCGGGGCTTCTTATATCTTGAGTTACTGACTCAAAATATGTTTGCTACCCCTCTGTTGGAAATGTGAATATGCAATCCTTCAGCTTAGGATACCAGAAATGCAATCTTTTGATGTATTACGTATATGCCTACCTTGGCATGCTGGTACAATTGGCATCGGTAGACACTAGTAGACACAAAGAGCCTCAGATTTTGAAGTGGACGGACGGGTATCTTGGGATCGTCAACTCGTAAACCCAATTCAGTACTGGGTAGGCTTTTTGCTTCTTCTGAACAGCACACTTTGTGTTTCATTGGCCATGCTCTACATGGCACTCTAGCTGCTTCCTGTTATCTCTGACTAACGAATTTTGATTTATCCCAGTCTCCCAAGGTCTGTCGGAATTGAAATTAGGCTGAGTCTTGTGATGTAAGTTTCCTTTAAGCCCCTTTGAATGACTGAAACCTGACCCCTAGTCAGATATTTGGTACTCCCAAGAATACATACTCATACGGAGCAGATAATTCCAGGATCCAATACTCATTATTCCATATAAGAAAGTTATTTAGAGAATTCAAAAGAAGGGTCTGCTTTTAATCCAGGATAGGGGAAGTTATCTATAGCTGTTCCGATGATTGCCGGTGTTGCAGGACCAAGCCGTTGAAAGGGAAAGCCGTAGCCGTTAATACGAGTGATCGGCCAAAAAAAAGCAACGGTCTCGAACGCTAGGACGGGGGATATGGCCGGGGTCTTTGATTGCATCCAATAGCAACATTTGAAACACCGACTGACACGAAAGCAGGCTCAAAGCTGGCCATACCATGTGGAGACAATAACACGAACAGCGGATGCCTGCATATGTGGAGTAGTGAGGGGATTATGCAGGGATCTGCGCTGTTTATCCCTATGACATTGACGGAGAGCCCTAAAAAGGTAGAGATCACCCCGTTGTTGTAGAGCCTTACTAGACTAAGTGCGATTTGCATCCGACCTAGTAAGTACTTCGATGTATAGGGTAAGTTCCATCGTAATCTAGGCTAGGCATCATAATATTGACTGGTGTTTGCATCACTAACACGTTAGTCAGGAGATATGCAGGGTGATAGTAGTTATGCAAGTAAATTTACCACACACGCACAGAGAGGGAGACCAAATGATGTAACAATTTACAAATAAAGAGCAAACATATTTTATTCCACTGCTATGACCTCCATTTGTATCTCCTGTTTATTACCTTTAGTACCGATCCTGGGAACAAAAACAGTAGTTCGCGGCGGTGCAAACGGAAGGATCCGTTTATAGAGAGCCTCGAAGTCATCTATTAAATGGACCCACATGTTTTCTGTAAAATAAACCTAAGAAAAAGATCTACATTTAGCTTCAAAGGATCCCAAAGCCAGAATTGTTAGATCCTACCGTGGTTTTAACAATCCTGTCCAAACCAGAACCCGCCGCCTTCAGAATTGCCTCTATATTACGGATCATCCGTTCTGCACTTGCAATGGACTCGGCAAGATGCCCCCCACGAGGCATATTTGCTGCTTGAGCTGCTACATAGATCGTCCCGTTGACTTTGAATGCCTGGGACTGTCATGAGTGGTTAGATGAGTGAAAAAGGACTGGCAGGATTCCTCTTACGGAGCCGCTCGGTGCTGAGGAAAGTCGCATTAGTGACAGGTAAAAGCCGCGGAGATTCATATGAGATCGGCTTACGTTCAGGGGCTGCTGGGGTCCGTATGCATTGAATGGCAGCCCTGCGGGGCTGGATGCTATCATAATCCGGGGGGTTGTCGGCTTGTTCTGACGTGGACTGCGTGGCCATTTTGGGATAAAAAGCAAAGTGAAATAGGTCGCGTGGTCAGTGTAGATAGTGTTAATAGTTTAGGTTGCGGCTGATAAGTAGAAAAAAAAAACATCGTGGTTCGGGAACGGCCCTTTTGAGGGGGGCCTATCACGGTCTCGTATAGCGGCACGGGGGTTGGCGGTTGGTCCCATTTAGCTCCCCCGCAATATGCACTACGGGCACGACAGATATCAAAATGGCAAGAGATCGATATCTATTAGCTTCGGAGAGAATCCATAATCTTTGGCCTTATTTCTAGTGGGAGGAACTGAATAGCTTATACTGATTAAAAACACCAACGTTGGAAGAAAAGTACCAAACTTTGTATATTCGAGCGAATCGCACAGGTAATTCTTAAAGATTCTCGCAACTCAGCCAACAGTACTCATCTCATTCATGCCGCAGGAAGCACCCAGGTTGTCACAGACCGACTCGGAATGTTGCCACTCCACTCCTGGCCACTGTTAGTAGATAAAGTAATGTAAACATCATTGCTGTACGTGTTCTCAACAACAACAGTGCGAGTTCCATCTGGATTCAGCGAAGCAACAGATTGTACACCTCCATTAGAATCCGTGTAGCTTCCGGTACCACTCAACACAATCGCACCCGGCGGCATGAACTTGCTGAACTGAGCCATCATATAGTATGCTGGGTTGAAAGTATATCCGCCGTTGGCAATAGTCACCAGACCTTGACAGGTTGCACAGCCGCCACTTGACAGATGAGGACCATCTTGATCATTTGTGCCAAGTGTCCAGGCCATGACGCCAGATGCCCAATTTTGCAACGGCCCCATGGTGAAATCGGCGGCTTGGTTCCATGATGCAGATGCCGGGGTCCAGCATTCTGTCATGTATTGCTTGATGTTGGGGTTTGTCTGGTGGAATTTGGTGAGGACTGTCCAGTCTACATTGCTGGCATAACAATGCCACGCTACCGAGTCGACATACTTGCTAGCTCCGTTGATGACGTTCTGAGGGTAGGACGTCACATCTGATATCTATCCATTAGCAAATAAAATCCTCCCTCAAAGATACTGGGTTCATGAGAGCTTACCAGTGTTGTGATCATATGCCCAGATATCAGTGTTCAGGCCGGCTTGAGCGAGAGCCGGACCGATATAGTTCTGGATCAACTGTGCAGACTCATAGTCAAACACATACATTGTGGGATATCCGGCTTGGCTGTTCAAAGGCTCGTTTTGAATGGTAATCGCATCGATGTGGGCGCCGAGATTCTCGTAGGCCTGGATGTACTTGACGAAATATTGCGCAAAGGCACTGGCATATCCAGTACTCCCCGTGCCTCCACTAGTCAAGTAGCCATCATTGAGGTTGTTGTTTGTCGCAGCGCCATCAATCACACCATTCAGCTTCATCCAGCCGGGGGCACTCCAAGGTGAACCAAGAATCTTCAAACTCGACTGAAGGGATTTCATCTTAGCCAGCATCGTAGCCATAGAATTTCCACGGTCGCCCAGGTTAAAACCGGACAGCGATGGATCCGCATTCTTCCCATTATCGTCGTAGGTATACGATGGGTCACCAGATAGGTCGGAAGCGCCAATCGTATGGCGCATCAAAGCGAATCCAGCACCAGCGCCAGTCATCAGCTCATTGAGCAGTTGTTGCAGCGTGGAACTGGATAACGTGTTGAAGGAGGTGACCGTGGCATCGGTGACAGCGGCTCCAAAGCCCACGATTGTTTGTTTGTGCCCGCTGGATGTATCATCGATACTCAGCTTCCAGGTCGACTCGGAGCCTGGATTGCCGCTGCCCTGGACTGGCGCTGCGATTGATGAAAGCTTGTAATTGCCATCTGAGTTTGAACTGTAGGCTGATGCAGTGGTTGCTCGCTTTCCTGGTGATGCCTCTGCTAGCACTGAAAGCAGGAGCACGGGAAGAAGAGACGGAAGCATGTTGTTTAATGCTTTCCTAAATAGTATCTCAGGAATTCAGTCTTTATTTGAGGACTGGGTGAACAATGAAGATTATCAGTCATGGGGATACACTGTCTTATATGTCCCACCAAAGACAAACTTGTATAGGCTATCCCCGGCCATTTCCCTAAAAGATGAATGGAACTCACGTCGAGGGAAAAATAAGCAGAGACGCGTAGGACCCCAGATTTCGGCCATAAGCTGATGAAGAATACTACAGTACCACCGACTAATGCACGCCACATTTCCCCGGGGAGGGGTCCCCGATAGCTTGTATTGTCTTGGTGTCTCCCCTATCTCGGGGATATCGCCCATTCGAGGATAGTTTGTGTTTTAGAATAAGCTTCCATGCATGGCTGAAGGTTTGTACAATGCCATTATTATGCCACTGAAATGAAAGTTTAACTGGATGCTCTAGTTGCTTATTCGGGGCGGGGTTGCCCGCAAACGGCATGAAACGACGGACTGGCGCGCTGTAGAAGTGTTGATTTACCGAAATGAGAGGGCTGGAGCGACAGCGACCAAGCCGACCTGAAAAGTTGCAATTAGATTAGAACAGAAGCGGGAAGTAGTGTGAATTTTGTGGAAAAATATCCGTTGCTGTCCAATACTATTACCATGTATAAAGTTCGCTACCACAGCCCGCAGCTACACAATGTGACATTCTTTTCTTCCCCTCTACTTCCAGCCAACAACTAGTAGCATGTCCAGGTAACACCACTAGTATCTCTAGCGACCAAGGAACCCCAGTTTTACCTTTTCTATTTAGAGACCTCGCAGCGACGGTATTCGCGCAGTGAGCGGCAACCAGTGCCATGATTCATCCTCCACCCGGAATTTCATTGAATTATATCTCCAACCACGCGTAGCGTCGGTACCTATGCTGCAAAACACCCTCCAATTTCTTGTAGCGCCGGAAACTAGCGCTCTAGGACGACTTCCTAAGCACTAGCAAGCACTGGTGTCTAGTGCTCCAGGATGATTCCTAAGCGTCGATACACCCGGCAGCATCAGCTATAGTGCTCTAGGATAAATATATAGGCATCCAACGCTAAGCATAAACACACTCCGTAGCACCGGCAACCAGTGTAATCACTAGGCTTCCGCAGAACCCATTTTGGGTCGGAACCTTCGACCCAAAACCCAACCCAGACTGGGTCTGGGTCGAAACCCCTTAACCCAGACCCAACCCGGGCCCAGTGACTGGGGCCCCAGAAAACCCAGTTTAGGCCCAGTTTACCCCAGCTTTTGCATAAAAAGGGGTCTTGGCGGTCATAAACCTGCAAAATCAGCAGAATTATACATATAATTAGCGTGTTTGTATAGTTTGTAACCCAATTTGGGGCCCCAGACCCAGTTCTGGGTTGGGTCTGGGTTTTACTGGGTCGTGCGGAAGACTAGCAACCACCGCATTCATCATCACTACCCTATAGCACCCCAGCCGGGGCGGCCGGCGTTTCGGCGGCGGCAGGTATTACCACATATATAGTTAGCTACCATGACCGGCAGCCGCCTAAGACCGTAGCTACACAATATGATCATCTTCTCTTCCCCTCTGCTTTCAGCTAACAAATACCCAGCAAATGAGACGGAAGGGGACGAAAATGAGGAAAAAATTATTATCAAGGTCTAGATAGTTTAAAGTGAATCTGGTTCTTCAAGTTTAATGCCATTGATAGTACCCCCCCTAGTAACAATTCTGTTCATGTGGATCATGTTGATCTTTTTTCACTAGTATTTTTCTTGTTTCATAACAATCGAGTACTGTATTTTATACTAATTACATATCTCTCTCTCTTCTCTCCTGGCTACCTAGATCCATGATAATCCTAGGTAGGAAGGCTTGATCTTAATGATTAATAGCCTGACCTGCTAGTGTGATCTTATTGATTGGTATCACTGCTTGTAAAGTGGTATAAAAAGCATATCCCCCCCTAAAAGCAGCAGTGATGTAATATATAGTGGTATATGCAATACACAACGCTAGAGGAATTAGGGTTGTCTTGGCCGATCCACATGGACAGAAATGTTACTAGTGGGGGGGGGGGGGGGGGGGGTAGTACTCGTAGTAGTTGACATAATGGCTAGGTTAGGGAAGATCACCAGCCCTAAAAGGCGGCCAGGTGTAGGGCCCCGATGGGGTTGGGCGGGACCGTTTAAACATTCATGAGAATCTGCAGAATCTCGAAGATGAGTGCAACATAAGTTATAAGTGGAACCTATGTGGGAATGTCAAGGAATGTAAAGAATTCAGGTTGTTCGGTGCCGAAAACAGGTCAACTCAGGTACTTTGCGCGTATGACGTCAATATGCCGGGAACAGGTGTTTTACAAGTTATAACGGCAATAACCCCCTCTGTCGCACTCATTTTGCTCCTTCAAACTTCAACTACTGGAAATATTGTTCATAATTAATTTACATCATGAGCGGCTATAAATTTCCCGTCGATCTCAAGCAGTTCAAGCAGCTTAAGCTTGACCCGAAGACCCCACAGCTATCAACCCAACAGAAGAGCGATTTGCAACACAATATCAACATTTTCAGAGATGCCATCATTGCCTTCACAGCAACAGGGGCCGCCCGTGGTGTTGCGGGCCACACTGGAGGCCCCTTCGATACAGCCCCGGAAGTCTGCATCCTGCTTGCTTTCATAAACGCCAACCCCAACAAATGGGTCGATGCCCTGTACGACGAGGCCGGCCACCGTGTCGCAACACAATACCTGCTGGCCGCATTGGACGGCAAGATCGAGCCCGATCACCTGCTAAACTATCGTGCTGCCGACTCCCACCTCCCCGGCCACCCCGAGCTCGGTTTCACCCCCGGCATCAAATTCAGCTCCGGTCGTCTGGGTCACATGTGGGGTATGGTCAACGGCATTGCTATGGCCAACAAAGACAAGAATGTGATTCTCTTGGGATCTGATGGATCCCAGCAAGAAGGAAACGATGCCGAGGCTGCGCGCATTGCCGTTGGCCGAAACCTGAACGTTAAGCTCTTCATCGATAACAACGATGTCACAATTGCTGGACACCCCTCGGAATACCTCAAGGGCTATGAGGTTGCTCGGACCCTTGATGGACATGGCCTGAAGGTCCTCCGCGCCCAGGGCGAGAATCTAGACTCCTTATACCCCGCTATGTGTGAAGTCATCAACCACGACGGTCCCGCCGCTGTTGTTGTCGACCGCAAAATGGCCGCTGGCATTGAGGGCATTGAGGGAGAGTGTCATGCGCACGATGTCATTCCCGTCGACATTGCTCGCAAATACCTTACTAAGCGCGGATACAGCCAGCAGCAGCTTGCTTTCTACGACGATATCAAGCCTGGCTCAAACCCCCACACGTACAAGGGTTCGAGCAAGGATAAGGGCGCGAACCGCACCATTTTCGGCGATGCCGTGAATGATATTCTTGACAAACTGAGTAAGGAGGAGGCTAAGCGTCGCGTCATGGTCATCGACTCCGACTTGGCAGGCTCCACTGGACTGAAGGGCATCGGCGCCAAGCACCCCGAGTCTTTCGTTCCATGTGGTGTCATGGAGCGCGGCAATTTCTCTGCTGCCGCTGGTTTCGGATTCGGCAGCAATGGAGAGCGCCAAGGTGTCTTCTCTACCTTCTCTGCCTTCCTGGAGATGTGTATCTCTGAGATCACCATGGCTCGTCTGAACGACTGCACCGTTCTGTCTCACTTCTCTCACAGCGGTGTCGACGAGATGGCCGACAACACCTGCCACTTCGGTCTGAACCACTTCTTCGCCGACAATGGTCTGATGGATGCCGCGAGTACCGCGCTGTACTTCCCTGCCGATGGCGAGCAGATGAAGGCCGTAGTCAACGAGGTGTTCTGGAATAAGGGCATGCGTTTCATCTTCTCCACTCGTGCCAAGGTCCCTTACATCTTGAAGGAGGGCACCGACCAGAAACTCTTCGGTGAGGGCTACAAGTTCGTTCCTGGCAAGGAAGAAGTCATCCGTAAGGGCTCCGCTGGTTACATCGTCTCGTACGGTGATATGCTCTACCGCTCGCTTGATGCTGTCGAGAACCTGCGTGCCGAGGGTCTCGATGTCGGTCTGATTAACAAGCCCACTCTAAACGTGGTTGACGAGGATACCATCAAGTTGTACGGATCCTCACCATTCGTCCTGGTTGTTGAGTCGATTGCGCAGAAGACAGGTCTCGGCTCTCGCTTGGGTACTCACCTCCTTGAGCGCAAGTTCACACCCAAGTTCAAGACCATGGGTGCTATCAAGGAGGGCTGCGGTGGTCTATACGAGCAAGTCAATGCTCAGGGCCTTGGACCGAGCGATATTATCGCTGCGGTTAAGGAGGTGTCTGGTAACTAAATTTGTGAATGTCAAAAACGTAACGACTTTTTCGTGTAATAATAAAAAATTTCATTTCTACTTGTCCAGGCCACTTTCCTCGGTATATTTTACTCAATTTCCTCTCTTTATCAAGGCCAAGACCTGATCGCCCCCAAATTCTACCCGCCTTCCCAATGCGATATCGCGACAATTGAAGCGACATTTGACTCAACCGGCACTTCTCCACTAAATTCCCCACAAGTATCCGCCCGCCGCACCGTTGATTGGCTAAACTCCACAAAGTGCGACTTGGCACCCAAGGCTAGTCCCAAAATGGCACTAGAGCATGAGAGCTCGAAAGCACGCAATCTTACAGAAGGATGAGAATAGGTCTAATGCAACATTAACACGTCTAGATCGGTAGTTGATTTCTTCAGGGGAAAAAAACTATATATGGCACGTTTCCCGTTTAGCGTTTAGCTCAGGGTTGAAGATTTTTATTTTCGTGGCTTGATTCAAGGTGCTTACTATACTTTAAGCTTAAACCGCACGCCATAATGGCCGACCAAGCTTCTATCTCGGAATCGTCCGATACCCCAATTGAAAAGCGAGTATGGTATCGCGGAACACTCTTCAATGCCTGTGTTATCGGAGGTGTCGGATTCACGGCCCCGGGCTTGTGGAATGCGATGAATGCCTTGGGTGCTGGTGGCGCGCAGGAACCTTTCTTGATTAATGCCGCCAATGCGCTTGTTTTTGGTCTCAGTATGTGACATATAGCGTCAACTATATTGGAACTTCGAATTGGGCTTTGCGCTAACTTGTTTGATAGTGGGAATTTTGTGTCTCTTCGGTGGCCCCATCGCCAACCGGATTGGCTTGAGATGGACTCTGATGCTCGGCGCTGTGGGATATCCGTTGTATTCGTACGTATCATGAGAGCATAACATAAAATTGGTGTCATTTTGAGACTTATTTTTATATACAGCGCCGCCTTATACACAAATAACCGTTTTGTGAGTCCTTCATCAACCTTGGAACTACCTATTCAACCGAGGGACGAAGACTAATGCCTATCAAGGGAAATGTATGGTTTGTGCTGGTTGGATCAGTATTCTGTGGTTTATCGTGAGTATCCTATACCGATCAAATGAAGTAAGACCACCGGCTAACCTTTATAGCGCCGGTCTCTTCTGGGCCTCGGAGGGTGCTGTGGCATTGGGTTATCCCGAGCCTACAAAGCGAGGCAGATATATGAAGTGAGATATTCCAAAATGGCTGACAGGACAAAATGACTGACTTAAATAGCATCTGGCTTTGGTTCCGTACAGGTGGCCCGTTGGTGGGAGGTGCTATTGTCCTTGGCCTCAACCAGTATGTCTAATTCGAATTCATTGCGGAGAGAATTTACTGACGAATGAAAAGTGCTGGCGACGCCCATGCCAAAGGAAAGGTTGGATCTGGTAAGCTGATCCAAGCCAGATTGAACAGCCAGAACGATTACTAACATACGACAGAGACATATCTGATCTTCATCGCGCTGCAATGTACTGCCGTGCCTATAGCGTTCTTCCTCACGTCACCCGACAAGGTCCAACGAACCGATGGAAGCAAAGTCAGGATTATCCTGCAGGACTCCTGGCGTGCTGAAATGAAAGAGCTCTGGAAGGTCTGCCAGCGGAGAGAGGTATGTTTAACATCATTAATTCAATCGTCCTCATGGGGTATATGTGGCTAACTTTACTAGATTCTCTTGCTATTGCCTGTTTTCTGGGCTGCATACTTCAATATGTACACCGGAAGTATGGATTGTCTCTTTCCTATTCACTGTTTGCAGTTGTTGATTGGTTGGTCTAGATTTCAAAACGTACTACTTTGGCGTGCGCGCTCGCGCTCTAATGGGATTCGTCAGTATGTTCATACACTCACATTATTTGGATACACTTTTACATCAGTGCTAATATGGACCAAAGCCTACTTCGCCACTCTTCTTGCCTCGACACTCATTAGTAGGTTCCTGGACTACCGTGGCCTTTCGATCAGAAACCGAATCAAGTACAGGTACAGAACCTCATCATTCGCAAGTAAATCTAGAAGCAAGACTAACAAAAGCCACAGCTTTTTCTACGTGATCGTCGTCCACATCGTTGCCTGGGTCTACTGCTGGGTTATCCAAGAAAAGTACACCAAGAACCCACCAACACTTGACTGGGCCGACAAAGGCTTTGTTGAAGGATTCTTCGTTGTCCTGCTCTGGGGTGAGTCTTGCAAATGAGTCGATATACCGATACAGTGCTAACCTTCCCTTTATCAGAATTCGCTCAGCAATCACTGCAAAATTTCCTTTACTACCTTCTCTCCACCATGACCGACAACATCTCCGAACTCTGTAAGTCAAACCCGAACTGATTATCCTATCTACAAATTGCTAATACGATATAGCCCGGTTGTCTGGTATCCTCCGTGGTCAAGAGAGCTTTTCGCAGGCTGTCTCTTACGGCCTCAACTCGAAGAAATGGCACGGTGGAAGAGTGCCACTTATCGTCAACACCATCCTTCTTGGTAACTGATATCCACTGAATGATCATAAAGAAGCAGCGCTAACTTTACTTTCAAGTTCTTTGCGTGTGGCCTACTTGGCTCGTTGTCAGGGTCCACGTTCCCATCGAGCATTCCAAGGAGGCCGCTGAATTGTCCCAGGCCCAAGACGAGGAGCAGAACAAAGTTAGTCTCTCTGACAAGGAGACATTTGTTGTTGCCGAGGCAGTTGCTTCGAAATAGGTTGGACTTGATGGATCGTCCACTCTGCAAAAATACATAATCTATTTACGACCGGGGTTTGAAGTCTACACAAATGTCTCATCACCCTTTGAACAAAATTTAATTCATGAATCAATGAGCCGCTTATAGTCTGTGAATAATACTGTGTTCTTTATCATCTTTCAGACTAGGAGAACCCCTTCATCATCCTGGCTTTCCTCGCGTAACTTCCGCTCCACACGGCTCTCACTAGTGGGATCGAAATAGGCTTCGATATGAGGTTAGCAAACATGAACAATTGGAAGTCGAGATATATTCATATAAGGACTCACGTATTTCACCAAAAACGGTAGTCCGAATACCCCGTCTATCTCCTTTATAGGTACCAGGGATCACTCGGTGAAGGGTACACCTAATAGAGTATTAGTCTCCAACTCCAAAGCAGCAAAGGAGGAGTGCGGAGTTACCGATTATCCCACATAGCAACACTCCCAACAGCCCATTTCCAACGAACATAGTGGTCATCAGCCGAGTGGATATGATATGCCAAGAAATCGAGAACTTTGTCTAAACAGTCGTCAGCCGTAAACAACAACCCGATTCGTTGAGAGTATCACGTACCAGATTCCAGCTTCTTGAGCTCAGCGAACCCAGTCACAAACCCAGGATTGACGTTCAAAGCCTTCAGTTTAGTGACTGGGTGCGTGCGCACGGCTGGGTGGTGTGTATCGATTGGAGGGCGATTGGGACCTGCACCCCATAGATCGAGAATGGTATCATCTACATATTCATTGAATTAGCCAACTTACAACTAGGAAAGTGGCTATCAAGGAGACGAACACTGCAGCCTTGAGGTATGCACGGCATGAAGACCGTCGAGGAACCTTTTGTAAGCGTCGCTTAGGGCATCATATATGCCATATTGAGATACCTATGAAATTAGCATAGTGTTTTGAGTGAGACCTGGGTCTGTAACATACCCAGGCTGTGTCCCCACCGACTTCGGGATGCTCTTCCATTCTTAGTAAGGAGTACGTAGGTGCTATTATGTGTTAGAAATTGATGATCAGAGAGTATGGTTCGCCACAAACGATTGATTTCGAATGATGTATCAGCGTGGAAATCTCCACTAGGCTATGGAAGTAAGATTTGCTATTAGGCTTTTGCTTTCAAGAATGTCAGAATTGTCTTACCCAGGGCGTGTAGCTTAGCATTTCACGGTGATCTTCGCGGCTGCCTTTGATATTCACGAACTTCGCAGGGGGTTAGCAATGGTGACAAGAAGGCAATATCATGAGGTGGTTATGAAAGGAACCTTGGGTTTTCTTGATGGGTTTATTGAGGAATTTCGGTAGAGTATACTATACTTTTTGATCCTGATAATTGTTAGCTCACTTAATCTGCCGGAAAATTTACAAAACAGTTGTGTTTCATCTTACCTTTTGAGCAGGGTGTTTATCCAAGATGCCTACAAGATCAAATTAATACCCGATGCCATCATTCAGAAACCTAGTAAAGCCTTACCATAATGCTGAAACAGTTCAACCTGTTTCTCAGTAGTAAGATCCTGATCCCGAAAAAAGACGACTCCCCGCTCATTAACAAGAAGTGCCAATTCATCCAACTGGGTTTCGTTCAGCTGAGACAATTGCACATTCTCAAGAACACTTCCAATAGACTCAGTCAAGTCAACCTGCTTTGCCACAGAGAATAGAGCCTTCTTCTCTGGATCTGCAAAAAAGGCCCGATCTTTGGGCGGGGTAAACGACTCGCGGAGTGGCTCTGGGGGCACATGGTTCTTGATTTTCTCGTTGAAATGAGGATGGAGTGTAACGGGAAATCCCGAGTCGGGAGAAATATGCTTGCGAGCTTCGAGATTAGCCATATTCTGTGGGTTTAGTTGTAATGATTATTGCGAATAAGTAAAATAATTGGAACATGGGTGAAACGGAGGTAGAATTGTTTCGTGCTTTATATCCCGTTGAGCTCATACCCGGTGTCGATTGCGTCAAAACGCCATACATTAGTGGTTTTGTTCGAGTTCAATCGGCTACTTATTTCCCCAGAGTATGGTGTCTTGTCAGACTGCATGTCGAATATATGGAGATTACGCACGCAATACGGAACTTAAAAATGGTCTAGTGGAACTTGCTGTAATCCATGAATACCGGTGCAGGTTAGGGTCATGTGGTACGTACCGATGGGGATATATACGAAGTGAAGATATGTATTCCCCCGTCTTTTGCTTTTGTTACCTGAAGGCAAATGAGGACGTAACTTTCTGGGCTTTACCCAGAATACTGATTGATTGTATCCGCATTAGGCAGTTCCCCGAGCTCCGTCTCTCCGTCCACTTTCGCATTTCACCGTGCGTTTGGACATCTTTCTCAGTAGGGCTCTTTTGACAGGGTTTGGAGCCCAATGCCAATTGTCGTGGAATGAACAATTACTATAATTTTCGGGTGAATATATGCCAAGGGAAAAAGGGCAGATACATTATAGGTGGGTATAACACAAATAGCAGGTATTAATTCAAGGGGTAATAGGGGTATCATTAGAAGTATCATCAATCTTCTTCCCTTTAACAGAGAGCCATTCCAGCCCGAATAAACCGAGAATGCCAAAGCAAGAGAGGGCGACGCCGACATAGAATGTCTGAGCCAGAGCCTTGTTGTAAGCAAACAGCACAGCGTCATAGAGATCTTTGGGCACTCGAGTCTTGAATTCAGTCGCACCGGCCGCGACAATTGCAGTGGCATCAACATCCGGAGCGTATTGGGCCAGGTTAGTCCTGAGCTGGTTCGTGAACACGTTCTGCGCAACCGAGACGAAGACCGCACTAGCGAGATTTTCTGTGAATATGACAACAGCGGTACCGATGGGGATATCCTCCAATGACAGCGCAGTTTGGGGTGCCGAGAATGCCGTCTGTAGACCACAGCCAACTCCCGCCCCAAGGATCACTTGATAGCCGATCCATTCTTCGTGGCCAGAGTTGACATCTAACATGGTGAGCAAACCAGTTCCGATTGCCATAAAGACCACTGTCATATAGGCCCATTGGACATAATACCCAAGCACGGAAGTAAGTCCGCCCGTCGCGAACGAGAATATCACGTAGCTCAGGACAAGAGGAAGACTCATGACACCGGACTTGATTGGGGTGGCTCCCTTAATGGCTTGGAACCAAATGGGAATCTGGCTAATGAGTTAGTGTGCTGAAATATAAGGTTCATCCGAAGGATCTGTACATACGTAATATAGCATAACGAAAAAGGCAGCGACGGTGCAAGAGCCGAACAAGGATGAGCCCCAAATGTTGCGGTTGCAGAAGATTCGCTTTGGGACGGTCGCAAGTTCACCAGACCGAACCTGAATAATCCCGAAAACGATCAAAATAACGAAGGCTAACACAAAGAGGGCAATGATTCGACCATTGCTCCATGGATATTTGGTACCACCCCATTGCAGGGCAAGAAGCAAGCAAATGATACCAGGGAGTAAACAGAGGGTACCGAGAATATCCATCTGCTTCAGTTGATTGATGAAGCCAAGTTTACCCGCTTTACTTCCTTTGAAAGATGAAACGCAGAAGAGAATGACAAGACCGGCAACAAACCCAAGAGGAAGGTTAATGTAGAAACACCACCTCCAAGTGAGTTTAGCGCTATTGGTAAAGGCGCCCCCGATCAAAGGACCAGCAATGGCCGAAAATCCGTACATAGCACCGAGGGCTCCAATCAACATAGGGCGTCGGCGTGGTGGCACCGAGTGGGCGATCAACAAAAATGAGCCGTTCGTGACACCACCACCGCCAATTCCGGCAATAGCACGCCCCACAATCAGGGCAGTAGATGTAGGCGCCACACCACAGATCAACGAGCCCAGTTCGAATATAAACAGGGAGACCAGGTAGACCCATTTGATGGTGTAGAATGTGAAGAGCTTCCCCCAGATGAGCTGGAAGGCACACACTGTGAGCATGTAGGCACTTGCGTACCACCCAACATCTTCTAACGCGTGGAAATCATCGGTGATCTTGGGAATAGCGCTGGAAATAATTGTGTTGTCTAGCCCTACAAGGAACATGCAGAGGCTCAAGCTAAGGGCGATGAGGATAAGCTTGGCCTTTCCGGGGTACTGGGGTTCCTCCTGATCGCTAAGACTCCCATAATCATCAACTGGCGTTGGTGTATGCTTTTCAGTTTGTTGCGTCTGCAGAGGATCTGGGGGATCTGCTGTAGATGGTGCATTGGCGGGTTTGTTGCTTGTGGAAACAAGGGGGAGCTTCATGGTTGGAGAGGAGGTACGAGTGCACTAAAACGTGAGAAGCAAAAATTTGGTCGTCAAACTTATCCTGGCCTTCTTGGCTGCATTCCTTTTTCAGTGTACCTCACATATTGAACCAAGATATGACCAGGACATTATACTTTTATATTGAAGGGATCCTCTAGATCCGCAAGGGGCTGAATGGTGGATCGTGCCAAGACATGAGTCATGTTCACTCATTGTGACCACCTAGTGACCAAAGCACTTCCAAGGTATGCACTTTTGCAACAAGCAAGCTCAAAATGCACAAGGCTTTCTATGTAGCCGTATGGAGAATAAAGCTTTATCACGATACAACCTTGGAATGTTGTGGACAGAAAGCCCGACTAATATGGTAGGCGGTCGGATTCTGCCGAAAAGCAAGGTTATAATGAACCGAACGTATAGATATTTCGCCCTTCGGGGCATATGGTCAACTGAAAATATACAGAGAAGATTAGCATGGCCCCTGCACTAAGGATGACACGCATAATCAAAGAGAAGCACCTATTTTTTCCCCTTCCACGTCTTATATTGAGGTTATACGGTGGAAGTCTTTTTGCTACATATGATTGGTCCTTGGCAATTTGTGAGTCACGTGGCTAGCCCCGCAGCCCCACGTCGCAGGTACGAAACCGACCAATGGCGATTGTCAAATTTATTCCTCACTGTCGGATTTCGTTGTGATGGGATCACTAATTGTGCTCATTGAGAGTCATCTTCAGCAACAATTGCAAGTTAGACTCCAGTAAAAGTTTTGAGGCATCCTGTTTCAAATGCCAAGTTTATTTTCATATTGGCTCATTTTAGCTCACTAATACCTGTTTACCAGTACATACATATGTATATCACCACCGAGGCGGCCACATACTCGAGGACGGATTGATTGCAGCGATTATTTTCTAATTAACCCCATTATATATTGCCAATGTGGAACTTATTGCTAGTCTATACATGATCTTTTGAGTTGAACATATTTGTAGGTATAAATGTAGCAATACAATTCTACATTCATCTAAACAACAGTTCATCCACGGGTCCGAGCTCGGGAGGTCCACGGACCAACTAAAGTCGGACCCACTCTTCCCGCGGAATTCCCCTAGTGCAACGACTGATCTTCCGACGACTGTCCAAAGACAGCGAATTGAAGGTTGATGAACCACATTAGACAAGGTACCTAGCTAGGAAAAGCCAGCTTTCAGTCATTGCTCCGTATTATCCTAGGTACAGGACACAAATCGACTTTGCCACACATCTCCCAGGCTTCGCCGCGGGGAACCCGCCGCGGGTATTTCCCTCCATCCGAGAAGCATTGACAAACAAAATGGAAAGTGGAGACGAGCGGCCATACCGGTCTCACACGAGGCCAGCATGCGTACCGTGCCGGCGGAGAAAATCGCGATGCAAACTGGAGCCCCACATCGCGGCCTGTCTGATGTGTCGTGCGCATGGCACAGAGTGTACATTCCCCAACGGGAAAGCAAAGTCAACACCACAAAAGAGGTATTCTACAGAGACCAGCCCACTACTACCACACCCGACTTTACGAACGCCAATCGCAGCTGCCCAATCACTCAACCGGGCCCCGCCTGTGGTAGCCGCTTCGCCGCAGTTCTCGATTGTTACCCAGGCTCAGAATGACAAGGACACACCGCTGTCCCTCGAGGCAGACGATGATAATCCCCACATCCTCGGTCCGGCGGTGACTGGGGATAATCATGTCTTGGCTGACTATCTGTCTAACATTTCGGGTGGCCAGGGAATTCGTGAAATTCGTCCCGTGGAGCCGGGTAGTTCCTCATCTCCGGTTATATTTACGAAGGTGCAGAAAAAGCCGCTGGGGCTTATGGTCAACTCCAGTCCGGCATTGCATAAGCTACAGACTATTGAAAAGCTTGTCGAGCCATGGGGACCGCATTTGATAGACATGTGGGTCACACTTGATTTATATTGGTCTTCGGTAGCAGCTTTGGAAACTGATTACTTCTACTAGATATTTGAGAAAGATCAACCCTTGCCTCCCACTACTCGAAGAAAGTTCCTTTCGGGTGCAATACACGAATGCCAGGCATCGCATTTCTCCTGCGCTTTTGGCGTGCCTCTATGCCCACGTGCTAACCCAATGGCAACATGATCCCCTTCTATCACGAGAAAGATGCCCAGACGTTCGTTTTGTCTGGAATCTTGCTATTGAAGCCTCGTATTCCGAGTTGCACGCGTCAGCTGGAATATCCACAATAAAGGCCATTCTCCTCGATGTTGGGGGCCGTCCAACCACATCCATGACAGGCAACGGGGTAAGACTTGGTTCGGCTGTGGCGTTGTGCCATTCCCTGGGTTTGAATCGAAACCCACTCCCGTGGGATATTCCACGGGAGGAGAAGCACTTAAGAATGAAGATCTGGTGGTCTATCTTACTCCACGATCGCTGGTAAGCTTTTGACCGAGAACTCTTCAAACGGTGGGACGTTCTAGGAACTCATCATCGAACAGGTCAAGTCTTGCTTATGGGACACCTCCCCATATCAGAAGATCACAATACGACGTACCACTGCCAATATCCGAGTACCTGTCAGATTGGGAACGAGATCACGAAGCAAACGCAGTTTTCATCGAGCTCATGAACTTGACTGACGTGCTAGACCACTGTCTGGAGCAAGTATACAGCATCCGCATCGAGACCCAAGGACCAACTAGGAATCTGGAACTAGAGTTGAACAAATGGGTGGACTCGCTTACAGGAGACATCCGCAAGATCATCATCCGCGGCTCAAACCTAAATATCCCTGGCGCCTCCAACCTCCGTCTCGCATACCTGGCGACAAGACTCCTGCTCCGGCGTATCGACCTAGATCGCGAGCGGCAAGCACCAGACCCCAACGCAGAGCACATGGCCAACCGAGTTATGGAGGCGCGTAGGACCGCGGAGGACATTGTTGTTCTCGTCCAGGAACTCGGAGAAGCACAGTTGGGTGACTTCTGGCTACCTGTCGTCGCATTCACATTTTCAGCAACGGTGACGTTTTTGATTCGGTGTGCACTAGAGACAGAGCAGGCAGCTGGTCTTGCACAAAGTGGTTCTCTGCGAATGGCGAGTGACCTTTTGGATTCATTGCGATCGCACCACAAGAACTTTGGGTGGGATCTGGGTGATATCTGCCTCGCGCAGCATTCCGATGTCATTGACAAGCTGTTGAGATCGGATCCACCGGTCGAGAACTCGGAGGAGACGAATGTTGAACTGCGTCAGCCTTTCGTGCCTGATATGGCTTTTCTTGATGATATGTTTCCGAGTACTTGGGATATACTGCAAATTATGGAGTGAAAAAAAGCATTCACGGACTTCAGAACGCTTTGATCACTACATATAATAGTAATTCAGATATTTTAATTCTCCTGCCGGTCTTATTCAGGCATCCAGGCTAAAACCAGACATTAAGGCACCAACGCTAAGCCTAAATGGAAAGAAGGGGGGGGGGGGGGGGGTTTACTGTGATACTGCCAAGAAAGTGATCTAGGGGCAGAGTAACCGTAATTGGTATAGCGTGTTTCGGGACAGGGTTCGAAAGAGAATCTCAGTGTGCAAGTGGTGAAACTGATTTTGATCCTCCCTGTATAAGTTCATGGTAGCAAAGGCGAAGTCTCTTGGGATTATTTTGGGAAGCTCCTGGGAGCAAATACCAAAGATAGTTTAGTACCTTGGATACACTACTTAGGCCACTGGGGAAGGGACTGTAACTTCAGCATAGTAACCGTTGCGTGGAGAATCCTAGGAAAGATTATAGACTCCCGGGAACAACCTAATAATTTCTCAGGCCGTCAAGTACGATATTGACCTTGGTGGCTCTTTGGAAGTCTTGCTGTAAGTATTCCTTCCGCCGACGCTCATGATCGAAGATTACCCCCGAGAGCTTGGCGGTCGTAGATAACTTGATGGCATTGCCGTTCATGACAGCTGGCCCTGACTTTGTTCTTTTCTCTTCCCGGTAATGTAGATGAGTTCGGTCTTCTGTGCAGCAAAGCACGACCCAGTTCTCTGGGCCCAGGCTTCGGTCCAGGCTATGTCTTCGAAACTTTACCCTCCTTTTGATAGTAGGGGTTCAATGGATTCGTAGTCGCCAGTATCAAGAGGCCAATACTCCGTAAGAACACGAAGATCCCCAACAATGATATATTCGTTTTTACCGCCACCTTTTTACATCAACATTCCTTCATGCCATCTAATATACCCACCGAGAGAAGATTAAGGGTCATGTTGAGAAAAGTGCATCTCGCAGGAGTCTGCCCAGACGATAGATAGACCTTCTCGATAAATGGCCCTCATGTGGGACCACGACCTGTGATATTCAAGGATCTGGGGCTGTTGGTCAAATCGGGAAGCGCTGCGAGAATTTTAGAGGGTCAGTGCCTCTATGCTCTCGGCCAGCTCCTCAAAGATCATGTCCCGGTCCCGGAGATATGTGGGTGGCGGGAGGATGGCGGTCAAACTTTCAAAGTGGCACTCACTCTGCGACACATTGGAAGGCGATCATATTGAAGTTTCCAGAGAGATCAATCTGTCGGGGTAGTTCCAATTCGTTCTCAGGACTCGGGCCTATAATTCTTTCTTGTGAAGGATATTCCTGGCCATCATTTGTCAAGCTACCGCTGCGGTCGTTGCCTTTCCCGAAAAGAGGCCCCGTCCTCTGTGGTATCACCCGCCGCAGATTTTGACGGACTCCAGATATCCTCAGACTCGGAGGATGACAGGGATAGCGCGCGCTGTAATCGGCTCCGAAAGCTTTGCTTGTGATCAGTGTACGGAAGTTTCCGAATTCCAGCCATGATTGCACCTGAGTCACGCTGGAATAATGAGCATCCCCAAATCTAGCCAAATGTCAAAGGAGAAGTCGTATAGGTTTTTATAGAGAGCTGGATTATCAGATCGGAGGTTGCGATCGGGTTTTGAAAGGCTCATTGTCTGCAATCTGCACATCCCACACTTGTCGCTTAATTTGGAACAAATTCTGGCCAATGAGTCACGAATATCATGCTATTTTAGAGGGGGGGGGGAACTTTGCGTATTTGCCACCAAAGTCCGTCTATTTCAGCGTCCAACTGCTGGGGGAGCTTGTCCGCCTCTTTGCAATGGGACACGAAGCGTTGCACCCAGGTACTGATATTTTGGGTCGCCGATTTGATCTCGCGACGGAGCTGCCAAAGGCTGGATTCGACGATGATGTATTGAATGCATGCTGCTGCGTAGGCCATAATTAATATGGCCAGAATTGGACCGAAAATTATCAACGAAGCGGTAGGGTCTATGGCTGTAAATGGGAGGGCATGTTGTGGTTTGAGGTGAGGTCGCATGTTTGGGTGTTGACGAAGGTGAGAGGAAAAGAAAAAGATCAGCTGGGTTCAGATTGTTTGATCAAGCAGTGTTCTCAATCACCAACTTTGGGCTATGTGGCAGAACCAAAATTGCAAACATCTATATTTCACTACAGCTAACAACAATAGCAAATTGGATCCAGGACGTCAAATAAAGGGTGACATCTACATTTCGTTGATCAGATCCCAGATCTGCAGATCTGCCAATCTTACTTCCCGCGAATGATATCAGCTGCCCGTTCCGCCACCGCATACACTGTTGCAATCGGGTTGGCATGGGGAATGAGTGGGAAAACACTCGCGTCAACAATACGCAGGTTCTCAGTCCCATACACCTTCAAGTCCTGACCGACCACTCCTCCAACCTCACGAGGGAGCATTGCAGCAGTACCACACACATGGTGAGTAGTCAAGGCTGCTTTTTCACGGAGCATGACCTTGATCTCTGCGAGATCTGGAACCTCTGCGCTAGTTTGGAAGAACGGCTCTAGGGCCGGTGCAGAGCTCAGCTGGTTCAAATGTTGTACATGCCGCGCGAGAATCTCCAGATCCAATTCGTTGTCGAAAAAACGTGCGTCAATGACCGGCATATCATTGGGATCAGATGATGTGATATGGACACTGCCTCGCGAGAGGGGAAAGCTTGGAATGGTACCCAACAGCGCAGTTGATTCTGATCTCACAACAAGGAAGAGCATAGCCGAAGCCTCGTTGGGGTTGTTCAAAATGGACTCAACGACTCGATTTGAAGGACTGCTCCGGTTGCCAAGAGCAGCAAACAGCTTTGTCTGTTCTTCTTGATTGATGCATGCAAACGCAAGACCCTTAAAGCCAGGAGAGATTCCTGCTATGCCCTCGTGCGGCTTGAGAGAAACAGGTATTAGACTCATAACATGGTTCTGCAGGTTCTCGCCAACTCCCGGTTGATGAATGACCAACGGAATCCCGAGACGAGCCAATCGATCTTTGTTGCCAATACCTGACAGCTCGAGCATCTTTGGTGTCTGGAGAGCACCAGCTGCCAGGATAATCTCTTGCTTTGTCTGGATGGTGATAACCTCTCCATCGTGGAAAGCCTCCAGGCCCGTGGCCCTAGTGTTTCCCGTATCGTATGAAAAGATAATCCGCCGGACTGTTGTTTCTGTGATTATAGTAACGTTAGGCCGCTTAGATGCTATGACCCCATAAGTGCTGTCCGCACTACTCCGAAAACCAGATACTGGATCAATTGTGGCTGTATAATTCCGAGTGCCGATTGTCTTTCCTTCAGCGAGAAGTTCATCGGTAGGCTTATAGCCTTCGCTCTGAAACGCTTCCGCCCACGCTTGACTGAGTGGAATACCTTGTTTATCCGCAGCACCGGGATAACTCACTTGGATCGCTTCCTGGGAATCCCTTTTGCTACCTTGACTCGACGCCAAGCCCGATTCCGGCTTGGTCAAAGTATAAGACTTTTGTAGATATGGTCGTAACGTCTCCCAGTTCCAGTTTGGATTTCCCAACTTTGTCCATGCATCAATGCCCGCCGGTGATGGAGGGACATACGCCAGTCCATTGATAGCAGATGAACCACCCAAGACTTTGCCTGCTGGGTGATCCTGTTCTCGGCCGTTGAGACCCGACTGGATAGCGAATAGAAATTAGCGAGATGCCAACGGGGCATCAGAGAGAACCAACCTGAGGGCCTATCTTGAACTTCCAGTCAAGCTCCGATCCACTCAAAGATGGCCAAGAACTCGGATTTTGAACTCTATGGTCACCAGAGGCGTCAGGCCCACTCTCCACAACGACAATATGAGTGTTTGGGTCTTCTGAGAGGCGACAGGCAACTACCAAGCCGGCAGTTCCTCCGCCGATAATCAGATAGTCAGCTGTTACTGGAATGTCCATAATAGTTATGGTTGGGGTGTAAAAGAGCAAAGGTAGCAATACTCTTGGGTAATAGACGGAAATGAACTTTCAGTCAAAGCTCAACTTCAAATTAGGTACATACACGAAAAGCTCCCCGCCAAGGATTGGCCGAAGAATTCGGGTCAGGACACGCGTCAAACGCATCTGATAGGTAGGTCATTTTTTATTATTAATGTGCCCGAGAAAATCTCACTATAGATGAAAAATCGATTGTATAGTATAGCAGAGGTGGTTTATACTTTCGAGGTTGTTTCATAGAATTATCCATAAATGGAATTTTCTAACTTAGAAACGCAGGTCGATTTCTGGAGAAACTTTAGCCAGAATGAAAATTATGTAGTAATAGAATGTTCAATCTGATCACGCATATTGTCAGGACAACATAGAATTTTGACGTGAAGTTGTAGATGTAGTCGGCCTCCCCCGCAGGCGTGTGACCTTGTGTGATGACATGAAATACTGTACTGTAATTTACGATTCATCAACATGGCATTTTCGATCGCGGTTCGGCCGGCTTACGCAAACGTAGATTCTGATCATCCAACAAGTCGACCTTCGGGATACAGTATACTGTACATGAAAGGTAGACACTCTAGAGCCTGGACAGAGATGAGGCAGAATGGCAACCATGTAATACGGCCCAAACGTGGGGTTCCCTGCATCGATGTGTCTTGCTGCAGACCACCCCAAGGAGCGGTCTAGACTGGGAGTATGATCGTCCCGGGGTATATGTTTTGGGAATAGCCCCAACCTAGAAATACATTGACGGATGGTAGTTGTGTGCCAGTGACGGACAAGAGAGCCATCGAACATGATGGTGCAGAAAAGTGTGGCCTCAATAAAGTAGCGTAGAGGAACATATATCATGCCGCACAATGATTGGCTGCACAAGGAGGTTGGCCATTGTGAATCATTTAAGTGAGGGTCGGTGGGGGAAACTAGCTGGCATGCCAGATCGCCAGATCGCCAGATAGACCGCCAGATCTACAGAACAATCCTGGATTGTTCCAAGTTATATAACATTACGGTACCATGTATGACGATGACTCATTAATTACAATACAATCATTACGAGATCTGTTCTGTCAGAAGTATGGGCGACTTAGCGATTTTTGGGGTTATTTTCTCCGAATCAAGAAGTAAGAGTTCGGAGATAAGTTACAGTGGAATTCGAAATCAGTTTTGCCTCTGAATATCGAATTCGGAAGAATAAGGGTATTCGTCCAAGCGCCACATAAGATGAAAAGGTTGGGAATGTTAGTGCAACATCGCCTTCCTTCCACGTATCGCAAGATAAGATTGGCAGGTACTAGGGAGCCAGCCCAGGGCGCTTTGTATACACGGCCTATATAATATCTCTTTCGTTCCCCGGAATTATATTCTTTTAGCACCCAGTACTCATATGTCGCCTAAATTCTCAAATATTGTCCCCCAGATTTTGATATTATCGCGCCTATGATTTGCTTCCATTGCCCCATTGCATTGATTCCGGAATCTTTGGACTTTCAACCTCCGGACCACAATCATGTTGGAATGCGAGTGCGGTCGGTTGTTCAAGAATCAAATAGCTCTCAGACAGCACGGAAAGGACACACATGGCCGTGAGTACCCTCACTGCCATCGGAAGTTTGCGGCTTCCGAGGCCTTAGACCAACATATAATTGCCCTCCATAGTCAACATTGTGAGAGTTGCAAGAAACGTTTCAGGAGTCGCAAGGCGCTGAGACTCCATCAAAAGTCAAGCATGCATTGCTATTGTCGTCCATGCGATAGTTATTTCGAATCAACCGATGCCCTCCGACAACATGAGAGTTCGCCCGGACATGTTGGCCAGTTTCACTGCTGTGACTGTGATCGAGATTTTGTGAACAGTTCTGCTCTAGAGCAACATCTCCAGAACAAGATTCACACGCTCATTCAAAAGCGCAAAGAAGCTTACCTGTGCGAGCAATGCGATCGGAGCTTTTCAAAACAATCCGCATTGGAGCAACACCGCGGATCGCTAGTTCATCGTCCTTTAAGCGATCGGGAATGCATAGATGCAAAATGCCAGAAACGATTCAAAAGTCCTTCATCTCTCTTGCACCACCTTGAAAGCGGCACATGTCGCTCTGGAATGAACAAGGATGAACTTAATGGCATTATATGCGCATACGATACCGATCAGATACAGGATGGATCGAAATCAGCTACACCACTCTCACGGATTCTTTCTCGAACCCTCTTTCGAACCACGCTAACCTATTACAGTTACACTACCCCTGACCCCTGTTCTTGGCGGTATTCCAGTACGGTTGTAAATAACGATATAAATACATTAGTCTTGTATGGTTTATAGCATGCCTAGAGCAAATTTTCTGCATCAAGGCCAAAACAGAACGGGGATCTGCCTGGTTAATCTGGCTACCAAACAAGAACTCAAATTCTCTCCCTCTATCAACTACTCATCCTCTAGAGGAGTGACCACTGTGGAAGAGCGTTGTGTAACAGCGTTGACCGGCCTTCTGATCAGGGACCAGTATCGGCCAGACTCTGCATATGCGGAATTTTGGCGACGTTAGAACCGTTGAAACAGGGATGATGAGCGTTGACTTGCCATGTTCCTGGTTATTTCACGCATGAGCCACAAGAAAGCCATGGGCATTGGACGTGAGATCGAGCGTCGGGTTAGGGAGCATACGGATGGGTTCTGAGGCTTTTTTCTTTACAACATGGAGTATAAGGAATCAAAGTTTTATCGACGGGATATACTATACAGGGTACTATGACAGTGCCCAGAAGGCCTGAGGGTGTTAACAGCTCCGACACGTCATATTTATAACAATGGGCTGTATACAAAATTAATCTAGATTAGGGTCCATGTACTGTTGAATTAACTATCTCCGCCAGAACGAGCCGAATCCATCATACCGGAATTCTATCATATAAAAGAACAAATGCTCGGGAAGAATTTATTCGCCATCTGAAGAAACGCCTCGCTAAGAAGCCAGAACTGGCCTAATGTATCCTACCGTAATTCTCTCCACATTGTCGTCGCTTGATGCCAGGTCCTGGGTACTTGGAGGCCATCACTGCGAAAAACGTCGATTACATCCAGACGTCAATCAGGCAATTTACAGAGAGGTTATTCTTCTAATTTTTTGCTTCTAGCACTTAAATCCCCGTGGGTATGTATTCAGCTTAGTCATCTTACACGGCCATTTCTCACAAGCCCTCTACGATTTATGTATCAAGTGGGTATTATAAAACCCTCGGTTTAAAGAATATTTACCCATGTCAATTGTTTTATTATGAATCGGTTTTACTGTAGTTCCTAGCATGGCGATATATTTTCAATTATTTGGTTTGAGGTGAGACACGTGGTGACGTGCGATGATGCCTGTTGTCCGCGGCTCCGCGGGCAAGGTAACATGAAAGAGGAGAAAGTACATAATCGACCCCTATAACCCACTAATGAGGGGAACAGAATGACAGACCCAATAATTAACTTAAGATGGCCGTATATCCTGCTCTGAAAGATATTAGAAGTACTCAGACTCAATCATCCTACTCATTATCAGCAAATCTCAACATGACCCCTAGAACCACAGAAAAATCCGCAGTCGCAAACATGCCCCCGAAGAACGACAATAATCCCATCTTGTATAGCGATGTCAATCAAGAAGAGCTTCAGGCCAAAACATCAAAATACCTCCTTAACTATGGCACCACATTCAACAAAGACGTGATCTGTGGCAGCAGAGGGCTCTACGTGTACACAGCCTCCGGGCACAAAGTGCTCGACTTCACATCGGGACAAATGTCCTGTCTGCTCGGCCATGGGTACCCAGAAATTGTGCAGACAATCACCGACCACGCAGCCTCCCTAGACCACTTATTCTCCGGCATGTTATCACCCCCAGTGATCAGCCTAGGCGAACGTCTCTGCGATCTTCTGCCAACCGGCCTCGACAAAGCCTTCTTCCTCTCCACCGGTGGCGAGAGCAACGAAGCAGCGATAAAGATGGCGAAGATATACACCGGAAAATTCGAAATCGTCGGACTAGGTGGTAGCTGGCACGGCGTGACCGCACAAGCACTAGGCGCACAATACCACTTTGGTCGCAAAGGCCAAGGCCCCCTGATGCCAGGGATGCTAATGCTCCCAGCGCCGAACGCATACCGCTCCATCTTCCGCCGTGCCGACGGATCCTACGACTGGGAAGCCGAGATGGAATACGGCTGGCGCATGATCGATATGCAATCGTGCGGATCGCTGGCGGCTTGCATCGTGGAGTGTATCCAGTCATCTGCTGGCATGCACGTCCTACCACCGGGGTACCTCGCTGCTCTAAAGCGGGAGTGCGACAAGCGCGGAATGCTCTTGATCGTTGACGAAGCGCAGACGGGCGTCGGCCGATGCGGCGATCTAATGGCTATCAACCACGAAGGTGTCGTTCCTGATATCCTCACCCTAAGCAAGACACTAGGGAATGGCCTGCCGCTCAGCGCTGTAGTTACGAGTGCCGAGATCGAGCGCGTGTGCGTCGAGCGGGACTTCTGCTTCTACACGACTCATGTTAATGATCCACTGCCTGCAGCTGTGGGCGATAAAGTGCTTGAAATTGTGGTGCGCGATGGGCTGGTTGAGCACTCTCGTGCTATGGGTAAGGTACTCCATGACCGGCTGAATGCACTGAAGGAGAAGTATGGCTGTATCGGAGATGTCCGTGGACGTGGACTTATGGCAGGAGTTGAGATTGTTGAGGATCGCGACACCAAGACCCCTGCGCTGGCTTTGGGTAAAGCGATCGGGGATCGGGCTTATGATTTAGGCCTGTGGGCCAATCTCAGTAGCCATCCTAGCTTTGGGGGCGCCTTTCGCATCGCCCCGCCAATCACTATCACCGAGGACCAGCTGCTTAGTGGCTTGGAAATATTGGAAGAGGCATTCGCTACGACCCCTGGTACTATGCCTGCGTGATGAAGGGTAGTTGCTAGCAAGTTCACTATTTTTTAGCTATTTTTCAATATATTGTGTTTATTGTATTTATTTTTCTCCAGTCTGCAGTCGCGAGAGTGATTCCATACCTCCTGGCCTCTGACTAGCAGCGATAAGACCATTGCGTCTTCCAATTGGAGCTTCCAAGGTTGCTTGCTGTTCCACTATCCTATCTGTTATATGGTAAAGTCGGTTTGCTTCTATATTTTTTGCTAATCCTTCTTCTCCATTCAGCTGTACCACTAACAATATGGGGAGAAAATATTTAAGTGAGAGGTATGACAAGACATCTAAAAAGACTATCAAAAAGTGATGCAGTGGCATCCAGGCAGCAAGGCCAAGCAGCCAGGCTTTGCTTGCTTGCTCCTCAGTTAGTGAGACCTCCCGTTGTTTCATGAAGCATAAATAGCTTCCTGGCAGTAGGTAGATGAACCAGAGTTCTTGATTCCTCTTCCTCTCCTGCTTCTGGTAGTGGTGCCTCCGTCAAAAGGTCTATCAAAAAGGATTCACAAAAAGGATATAATAACGCCGCATAAGCGGCCGGCTATTCTTCTTATAATTCATATAGATGCTCTTTCTGTAAAATCACTATATTACCTAATACTTATCTACAACATAGTTACATGTGATATTGTCATATTTGGGCTTCGGCCAATGCACCTTCCCTCGAGACTATTTATGTAGGCAGGGACGAGTCAACGTATGAGATGAGTGCTTTCCGGCTTCTACTTGAACCAGCAGCCGTCGCCTTTTTCACATCGAGACTTCTCATCTTTTGGTTTATGACAAAAGAACGGCGCTGCTCAACAGTCTGAAGGCTTGCAGAGGCTGGTGGGCCAGACTCCACGAGCCATCGAAATGGCCACCATAACAGCATCACCGAACTGAAACAATTCAATCATACCGCTCCCCTCATTCTCCTTCAGTCAGATTTCGGTACCTGACACATCCATGGATCAACCGTTATGCTTTATAATACTAATGAGTATCTATAGAAACCCGACTAAACACGTTTGAGTCAACGTCGAGCTTTCCTTCACCACCAACTATCACCCACAGGCAGACGAACAGTCGGAAAGAATTAACCAAACTTTCGAGATCGCCCTGCGACATTGAGCAGCAAGCCAATATGCCACTGAACAAGGATAATCTCGCTATATACTTGGGATGAGAGGAGCTAACTAGCTCCTCAAAGCCTACCGAAGCTCGGTCGCGTTGCAATACAGATGCCATGCTTTTCACGATCTACAAGAACCTGACCACTCGTGTATTGTGGGTTGATGGTTTGGTTCGAAGGTCACTTTCCAACTTGAGACCTCACTTGAATGGGGACCAATTACCTACCACAGCAAGCAGCACAAGTGTGTAGGAAATGCGGACTGCAGCATGTTCTTTGGTGAGCGGTACCACGTAGGTTGCTACTTGGTCATACCAGATGCCAAGGGCAGCTTTTAGCCTATATGGCGATGGTGCAAGCCAGCCGAAAGGCTCGGGGACAGTCCGATAGCACTTTGTGGGGTACCCTGGTTCTATTTCTTTAGCCTGAGGTTGTAGTTTTCCTCTCACATATCTTTTGGTTTTTTTCTATTATTACAATATGGCACAAGGAGTTGCCACTGATGCTACTGCCAGGCGCGGTGGCCGAGGTAGCCGCGCTGGCATACGTACCTATCGCCTGTTGATATGCTTCAACCAATCCATGGATCCATCTGCAAGGCAATCGGTCCTATCACCTCAGGCGCCAAGCTTCCCATCTATCAACATTCGGGACGCTACATCCCAATCGTGCGGCAGTCGATCATCACACCCCGAGAATTGAAATGACCTAGCGCTCCTATCATCACCAGCCCGGCAGAACCTTTGTTTATCAAGTTTGAGGAAATGTTCTGTCGCCACCCAGTTCCCCCCGAGCATGACTTTGAAGTCTCACTCGATGAGTTGGAAGAGATCTCAAGCGACGTCTGGATAGAGCAAGGCCTATAAGTATACCGATCCTGGAGCACAATGATTGTTTCGGTTTTGCGCATTGTATTCTTAGCTCTGTTAGCTCTCTCAGCTTCTTCAAAGAATGACACATTTTCTACCACTATACTTGTCAAAAATCCAAAGTTAAAGTGGATACAATGGCTATAGAAATTGGGAAGATGCCTAGGAGATATTGGAACAACAGATGCTCTTCCTGGGACCTGTCTACATAGGGCGCTTTGGGTCAATCGCACTATATTATTAGTTACCTCTATACGGCACATGCGATGAATAAATAAGTATTATTAAGTTGTCTTTACGGAGTATATCATACAACATTGGACCGAGTTTGATGGGATTGAAAAATTGTGTGCGACAAATGTATGATTTCGATAGTTTGACCGCATTGTGTGGTAGAAATCGATAGTCTCTTCAAAATGGAATGATGGATCGAACCAAACAAGCTCATCGTAAAATTGTATAATTTTGCCGAGGTGGCTAATCACAGGCCGAAGCTTGCTTAGATCGGATTAGCGGAAAGTAAATAAATTCCAGCTCACAAGCTTAACCCTAAAAGCTCCACCATCTGAGATCATTCTGAATCAAATTACATGATCGCTCTCAATGGACAGCATGCAATTTGTGATCAGAATCGATCGGTCCCTGTTTCGTCATTAATGTTTCACTTCACGTCCATGGAAAACCCGACACTGTTATGGGGCTTTGTTCTAGACTTTTGGATACAAACCTTTATCGTGGCTGGCTACTGGCTGCATTATAATTGCGATCATCTAACTAGCAGCCTATCAGCAGCTTTTGCGGGACCCACCCTCGATAGGTACAGTGTTAGTGGAGATAATCCTAGTCCATTATTGGCTCTGAATCCTTGGTTGATGCATAGCAACCATGCTGTCATCAGCCATGGCATCACAAAATTGATGTGTTGTTTGTGGTAACGCAATCGTAGATATTTCTTGATATTGGGTTGAGAATAACGAATATATGTAGGCTTGGGACTATGCAATGCAAAATTCCAATGAAAACTCTGATTGTCTTAAATATTCCAGGAACACGCGATAAAAAACATGGAACGTGGACGGGTAGAAAGACCAGTTCCAAAAAAACAAAGTTGATTTATTGGAAACGACCATGTGGAGCAAGCGGATTCAAGATCTCATTTGTAGAAGCCCAATATTGACCCACTCTTCTAACGCGATTAAGGCTTCAGAATGTGCTTATCAGGGATAATCGTGCGTAAACTTTGTAATTGAGAATTTCCAAAGCTCATAACAAGATTTTCGGATTTGCTCCACAGCCTTAAGCTTGATTACTCTGATGCGTTCTTATATATGAGATCCACCCTTCCACAAAATCTCGACAATCTACGTCGCACACTCTTACAATGCGACCTGGTCTATCCGCTACCCAGATCGTAGGCGCAAGCCTAGTCGCAACCCACTTCGCGAGCGCATTATCACCGTGCACGAAAATCGACGATTCTTATGACTTTGTGATTGTGGGAGGAGGTCAAGCTGGACTCGTGTTGGGCGCTCGTCTTTCGGAGGATAAAAATCATACCGTGCTCGTTCTCGAGTCGGGCGGGGATGGAGACGAATATCGGAAGCGCATAGGTGCGTTCAATTATTCAATCCTGCGGAGTCATGCGACATTTCTAACACCCGTCCAGATACACCGGCATATGGATATTTCGATTCATTATGGACAACGCCTTTGAATTGGGATTTTTACACTGTTGCTCAGCCTAATGCAGACGACCGCGAGATTAATTGGCCCCGTGGAAAGGTCCTAGGAGGTTTGTCCAAGCTTCATATTGTAAAGAACAAAGGGCGGAAAATTAACATAGAGATATAGGCAGTTCCGCCATCAATGGCTTGTACATGACCCGTCCGGGCGAAGATGAAATCAATGCCTGGAAAGACATGCTCGGAGGTATGGATGGAGCAGATAATTGGTCGTGGGACTCGTTCTACACTGCTATGAAGAAAAGCGAGACTTTCAGTCCACCGGTTGATGATGTGATTGACGAGGCTGGAATCGTCTGGAATGCATCACACCACGGTACCGACGGGCCGATCCATACAACATACCCAGACTAGTATGCAGAATCAGGTTCTCTGAAATTGAGCGATAGGGCTAACACATTCCTAGCACATTCCCCGAAGTGGGCGATTGGTTAACGTCACTAAAGACAATGGGCATTGACATTTCCGGCAATATGTACGGAGGTGAAAACCTGGGCGCTGACGTCTCAACATCTTGCATCAACCCTTCAAATTGGACGCGGTCCTACAGTCGTACCGGTTATCTCGATCCGCTTGCAGACCGGGGCAACTACGATGTATTGGCGAATGCGCATGTGACTCGGCTTGTTTTCGACAATTCTACATCTTCAGACAAGAAAACAGCGAGTGCTGTTGAATACACAACTGATAGCGGATCAACGAAACTGAGTGTTAAGGTTAACAAGGAAGTCATCCTAGCGGGTGGAAGTATTGGCAGCCCAGCTGTATTGCTTTACAGTGGTGTCGGCCCCAAGGACGTTCTTTCTAAGGCTGGTGTTGACCTTGTCTCTGAACTTCCTGGTGTAGGCCAACACCTTCAAGACCATTTCGTGAGTGCGCTTGATATTCATAAGATGAGCATATAACTGACCTGGTTGTACAGAGTGCCACGGTGAAATGGAGCACGAATGTGGACACCGCAGGTTCCATCTTTTACGATGGCGGCAAAGATAAGGTGTGTTTTGTGTACCCTCCTTCAAATAAGCCCGTATGCTAATTACCGCAGAATAACCCCAAATTCCTCACATACATCGATTCCGCCGTTGCCTACGTGAACGCCACCGCTATCTACGGCAGTAAAGTCGATGAGTATGAGTCGAAATTCCTCGCTTCAATCGATCAGTATGCACCGAACACAACTTACGACGATGGCGTGGTCACCGGCTACAAAGCAATTTGTAACACGACATCGAAGATCTTCGACACTCCGACAGGTCAAATCGAGCTCCTCTTCATGAACAGCGATGGAAACGGTGATATTGGCATCACAGCTGCCCTCCAACACCCATTCAGCCACGGCCGTATCTACATCAACTCCTCGAACCCAATGGATTTCCCTGTCATCGACCCGAACTATATGGCCAATCCAGCTGGTGTGTACACCTCCAACCAAGATGCAAACCATATTCCAATACTGACAACAACGCAGACACCGAGATCCTCCTTGCAGGTATCAAACTCGCTCGCCAACTAGGCCAAACCAGCCCAATAAGCAAAAGCCTCACAAACGAAACATCCCCAGGCTCAGCCGTCCAAAGCGATGATGACTGGATAGAATGGCTACGAAAGTCAGCCAGCACGGAGTTCCACCCCTCCTCGTCGTGCGCAATGCTACCCGAGGAGCAGGGCGGCGTGGTCGACGCCAATCTGCGCGTATACGGCCTTGCAAATGTGCGCGTTGCAGATGCCAGCGTCATCCCAATCGCCTTGTCTACACACTTAATGTCCTCGACATACGGTGTGGCTGAACAAGCGAGCGATATCATTCGCCAATATTACAACTCGCCTGAGCCTGAGCCGGCTTTCAGTGGGTCGACTTCCACACCTTCCAGCAGCGCGGCTACCGCGAAGAAGAGTGGTACTGCGAGGAGCAATGGTAGTCCCGCTGGCAATAGTGGCGCTGCTTTGTCGCTCGCGTGGACTTCCATTGTTCTTGTTTCTGCACATGCTGTTGTTGGATATGCCGTGTTCGTATAGGCTGGTGTTTATATTCAATGGTAATGGTAATGATAATCCATGATGGTTGAAACCCGGCGTTAATATTTATGAAGTTCAATGTCTGCGATGTCTTGGGAATCTTGGGAGAAGGGGAACCGGGAATGTTCTTTGTAATGATAGATATCTGCTTCGATAGAGTCCGTTACATAGTCCAAATCATTCAAACATAAATACCTGACTACTATAGGCAGAACATACAGCCATTCCATGTATCCCCGTGTTAAAAACCTCAACAATCCCCACCTTGTCTACTCCGTAATATCTCATCAAATCTTCGACTTCCCATTCACCGTCACAAAAGCGCCATCCTCCCTAACATTAAAATCCTTACCCTGCTCCCACCCAACCCACTCCCTAAGCGTATCAACACCCCCATCCCCAGGCAAAAGCCCGCCACCTGACCACCCACCGTTATCCGCCAGAATCGGCGCCGCAGGCGTACTAACCAGATGCACCATAGGCCGCTGCTCATACCCATCCTCTTCGAGCTCCGCCTGCTCCAAAACAGGCGTAGCACAAGCATCGGTGCCATCGAAAACAGCCTCCCACTCCGTCCGCGTCTTCTCCTTAAACCTCATCGTAAAGAGCTCCCTCAACGCCGGCCACTGCTTCCGATCCTCCCTCTTCGGAAGCTCCCCAATCTCAAACCCAAGCCCACGCACTAACGCCGCATAAAACTGCGGCTCCAAGGCCCCGACGGCAAAATACCGCCCAGCATCCTTAGTTTCGTACGTATCATAGTACGGACACCCACCATCGAGCAGATTCTCTCCGCGTGGCTCTGACCACGCAGGACCATTTCTCCCCAACCGCGGGAAGGTAGCAAGATACGCCGAGCCATCAACCATATTCGCCTCAACGACCTGGCCACGGCCGGTATGTGAGCGGGAGATGAGGGCTAGTAGTATTCCCTGGAAACAGACTGCACCGCCACCTGCGAAGTCGCCGAGGATGTTTCCTGGGGCGTGGGGCCTTTCTGCTGCACGGCCGAGCATGGAAAGCACGCCTGAGACGGCGATGTAGTTTATGTCGTGGCCGGCCATGTCTTTGTATTTTCCGTCGCGGCGGAAGCCGGTCATACGGGCGACGATTAGCCGCGGGTTGTGTTTTAGGAGGACTTCTGTTGGGGAGAGGCCGAGACGTTCGAGGACGCCTGGGCGGAAGGGGTCGATTAAGATGTCGGCTGTTGTGAGGAGGCGGAGGAGGATGTTTAGCGAGGTTTGGTCGCGTAGGTCGAGGGTTATGGAGGTTTTATTGCGGGTTAATTGGTCGCCGGTTATGGATTTGGGTCGGTCGATGCGGAGGACTGAGGCGCCGTAGTCGGCTAGTAGGAGGCCTGCGAATGGGCCTGGGGGTGGTTGTTAGTTGGGATGATGGTGTTTTCTTGGATTGATTGCGTACCTGGAGCTAGGCCTGCTAGCTCTATGACTTTGATTCCTTTCAATGGTGACATTTTGTATACTGTATTGAAGGAACAATTGTTGGAGTTCCAAAGTGAGGTTGCTATTTAATGTTTCTCCGCAGCCTATCGCAGCCGAGGTCCGTGGATATCGGAATGCGGGGGAATTGTGCACAACAAATATAGGAAAGGATCAACACTTCATAATATTATCGAGCTAGAAAGCTTTCATTGTATGATTTTAGCGGGCACAAGATAATTGATAATATCTACGATCTAGAATAGTGGAAAAAAGACGTAAAAAAGACTCTGACAGACAGGAATCCGACCAGCCTCTTAGTGGCGCACGCTGGATCAATTTCACGAGAACTGGGTCTATACGATGCTGCAGAATGGATGAGAACACTAGGATTGGACCAAATCCGATAGAACTCAATTATATTTGATGGAATAAAAGATGGGTACAAGAGGGCTACTATTTTCTCCTCAAGTCCACCGGAAGGCGGAATATCACCACCGCCTCTTGCCCATTGTTCCGGTGGAAACCTTCAACTTCGTTCCAAGGTTTATTCTGTTTCGGTAATTTGTCGGACTTCATTGCTCTCAACCATTCTCCTTAGTGATCAAAGAGTTGGTCTCCTTACTTAGTAGCCTAAGGAGGTGAAGCCGAGGCGGGTCTTCGCCCTTAACGCGTGCAGACCCTACCACCGTAATCGATTTATTCAACCCTATATCACGCAGCCCATCATGAATTTCGAGCCCAAGGGTATACGAAGCAATTTCATGGGGTTTACCCACCAGCTTTATAATCATCGAGCGTGTGTTGTTGTTGAACATTAGTCGAGCAGATTTTGATGAGAACCTTTCTATAATATCCGGTGGAACGTTTGTGAAACGTATATACTGGACCACTCGCTGACGACCCGATGGCTTCAACTGTATTATCTGGTATTGCTTCTCTGGTAGTGCTTCGAAGCACTCGACATCGGGGGAGTTCGAGCCATCGGACATGTCTGAATGTCGGGTCTTCGTGGTCAACATGGGATTTCCCGAAAAGGAATCAATGAGAACAGATGGTGCTGACATTTCTGCGTCTGAAACTATATCTTAGTAAGTTTCGGATAGGGTTTAGAGTAATAAGGCATCCTTACCTTATCGATCGGATGAAACTTGGAGATGATCGGCAGACTGTGCTAGTTGGCAAGAGGTAGTGGGGCTTGGTCCAGGAAAATGAATGTGGTAGCATCGGCTGTTTGCTGAACACTAGATAGGCACGGGTTCATCGAGGGTGTCGGATACGATGACGATGTAGTCAACACAGGCTCGGCACCAGTCTGTGAGATCTTGCCAATTCGCTGGAAGTAGGCCATGAAATTGCGACGCCCGTCACGACAGCGTATAGCAGCTCTTATCCCACATGGGAGATAACGGCCTGGGGGTCATTGTCGTCCAGGTGGACTCGCCATTGGCAAAAGAACTTTCTGGCGTGTAATGACGCGCTTCCCTCTTGCAAGGTGCGTCTCGGCATGGTATTGGATAAAGGCCAAGTTGCAACTGGTTGTTCAATGGGCTGCAGCCATTGAACGTGGGTCCTTTGTCCTCCATCAGTGCCAACTCCCCCCTCAGGGAACTTGACAGCCACAGCAGACCAGGTCCGATAGAAATAAAACCAGTGCCCATCAATAACGAGCCTTCACACGGTGCGATCCGATAGTCCATGGGCCCACCCAAGCCGCCGAAGAAGGTCGCGCTGATAGTCGGCTTCTCACACAGGGTTGAGCTCCCAACGACGCTGCTCAAACTCGACCATAAGGAGTGTTTTCGGCCGCTTCGTTATCTTCATAGCCGAAGCCGTGCAAAATGAGACTGCCCACTCGCATGGCGAGCATATCAAACATCTTCTTCAACAAATACCGCCTGGACTTCGGCGAAACCGACAGATTTGTTCACATCGGTCGGTGGCATTTTGGTTTCCGCAATTTGGGAAGAGAGTTGTCAATGAACCGCTTTTGTCTGTGGGTGGTACTATGGGTCCCCCAAAACAAGCCGACACACGCGATCAATGCTAGCAATTCGAATCTAGGACCTTCCAGCCCGGCAGGGAGCTATAAAGAGAGCATATGGTTAGCGGGGACAGAAATGATTGGCAGATCGAACGTTACCATCTCGCAAACGCGTCCCGATGTGTCATTTGCATTATCCGCATCTTGGACACAAGTAAATCCGAAGCGCCTCCATCGTAGCGATAGCCCGCGCTTGTGATAGCTGCTGGAATCGGTACCACCAGCTTCCCCAAGCCTAGGGAATATTGGCTGAGGCGGGGATTTTGATAAAAATAAAACAGCAGATTTATTTAATGAGGGAAGAAGAGGTTGGTTTCAGTTGAACTGTTCAATAGGTAGAAGTCGGAAGGAGAGAAAGTTCGTTGGTCGATGCTCAAATACGGCAATAGCGTTATAATCTTGGAAGGGTATAGATAAGTGTAAGGTAATATAGTATTTTATACAAAGAGCATGTCTGTCTCTTATAAACAGTCAAACAACAAGCAAAATAATGGAAAATGAGTCACACTGGACAGCGACACCTTGGAATGGATATCATTAGGAGATTGAGAACAGACGGACTGGACCGCTCGCAAGACTTCAATTCGAAGACGCGGTGGTATCACCACTAATGGCCAGAGTAAATCACAAAAAGAGGCCAAGAGGTATTGAATCACTCCATGGACTGGAGATCGGATGAAAAAGAATATAATAAACAAAATATCGTAATGAAAAAAGCAACCAGTCGCTAGTAATTACCAGTTCTTTCTGAAATCAGCATCGTGAGATCAATCATATCGCGTAGATGATGAGATCATGCTGTCCAGGCCAGTGGGCAGCTTTACAGCATCATGAACATGGAAAGAGCAACGGCGAGGACGCCACCGAAGAAGCCGGTGACGTTGGAGCGCGAGGCCGCGCCGGTGTAAACCGGGGACACGCCCTCCGGGTTGCTGCTGGGCGCTGCAGGAGTGTTCGTGGCGGTGGTCGCGACGGTGGGGACAGCAGTGCGCGAGGGCGAGGGGCGGAAGGCGATGCTTGACGACGGTCTGCCGGGGTGGAAACCACCGGCTCCTTGGCTGGGGGTAGGCTTGGAGGAAGGAGATGGCACGACGGGGCCGACGCCAGGCACTGTAACTTCGCCGGTTGAGCCAGAGCCAGAGCCAGAGCCAGAGCCGGGGTTGGAACCGGAGCCTGAGCCCTCACCTTGGCCTGAGGAACCAGTGCCAGATCCGGAGTTGGAGCCGGAGCCTGGGGTAGAGCCTGAGCCAGAGCCCTCACCATTTCCAGCAGAGCCGGAGCCGGAGCCAGCACCGGGGACAATGGCAGTGGCAGTGGGAGCCGGGACGGTGACGGTGATAGTGCTACCGGTAGGACCACAGTGCTTGCAGAAAGTCACGGTGGTGGTGTAGCCCTCAGGCACCGACGGGGCAGTGGGCTGCGACACAACCTCAGTGGTAGTAGTGGCAGTGGCAGCGGGCTTGGTGAGGGTCACGGTAGTCGGAGTAGCGGCACAGTGGGTGCAGACAGTGACGGTAGTAGTCCAGCCTTCGGGGATGGAGGCAGTGGAAGTGGCAGGACCGGAAGTAGGGGCGGTGATCTCGGCGGTGCCAGTTGGGGTAGCAGTAGCGGAGGAGTCACCAGGGCAGTAGGTCTTGGTAATAGTGGTGGTGATGGTGGTGAAGCCAGTTGGGCAAATATCAATGTAGGAGGTCACGATGATAGTTGTGGTGGTACCTGGAGCCAAAGAGGAAGGCGAGCCAGTCACGGAGGGAGTGGCGGTGATACCAGCCGGGGCTGTGGTGGAGACACTGCCGGCAGGCTTGGAGCCTCCAGTGGTGTTGTCGCCGGTAGGCTTGGAACCTCCAGTCGTGTTGTCGCCGGTAGGCTTGGAACCTCCGGTAGTCTCATCACCAGTAGGCTTGGAGCCCCCAGTAGTGCTGCCACCAGTAGGCTTGGAGCCCCCAGTAGTGTTATCACCGGTAGACGGGCCACCGGTCGGGATCACAACTTCGCTAGTGGAAGAGGCACCAGACTCGGTCGCAGAAGAGACGGGAGCGGTGCTGGAAGGGTGTCCCGAGACCAGGGGAGTGGAGCTTGGAGCAGTGTGGGTGTGGGTATGGGCATGGGTATGTGTGTGGGAGCCATGTCCATGGCCATGGCCACCATGCGAGCTGTGGTGAGGCTTTCCAGTGGCGGAGGGGTGGGGAGCGGGTCCCGATGAAGCTGAAGCTCCAGGAGTCACAGAGCTGCTAGGGATGCTTGAAGAGGAAGACTCGCCGGAGGTAGCGGGGGCGGTGGAAGAAGGAACGGTCGAAGAGGCCACGGAGCTGGAAGAAGCAACCGAGCTGGAAGAGGCGACCGAGCTGGAAGAGGCGACCGAGCTGGAAGAGGCCATGGCGCTGGAAGAAGCAACTGAGCTGGAAGAGGCGACCGAGCTGGAAGAAGCAACTGAGCTGGAAGAGGCGACCGAGCTGGAAGAAGCCACGGAGCTGGAAGAAGCGACTGAGCTGGAAGAAGCAACCGAGCTGGAAGAGGCCATGGCGCTGGAAGAAGCAACTGAGCTGGAAGAGGCGACCGAGCTGGAAGAAGCAACTGAGCTGGAAGAGGCGACCGAGCTGGAAGAAGCCACGGAGCTGGAAGAAGCAACTGAGCTGGAAGAGGCGACCGCGCTGGAAGAGGTGGTCGGCGGAACGGTGGTAGACGAAACAGGAGGCACAGTTGAAGAATGGATCGGGGTGACAGTCGAAGACGGAGGAGGAGGAGCGCAATCGTAGAGGATTTCCTTAATGTGCTCGGTGTATGTTGATCCGTCGATGATATTATTGTCACCGGCGGTAGCCTCCCAGAGCATGACACCACCAAAGTGCTTGGGGTGCTTATCCATGTAAATCTTGATAAGGGGCTTCACCTGGGTGGGGGTCAAGTAGAATCCAGCATTAGCGGCATCCGTCGATGCGGGAAGACCGATGAAGAGCTTAGCATTGGGGTTGGCGCTCTTCTCGATGACACCGACCCAGTCATCGAAGTTGAACTTGCCGGTGCCGTGGACCCAGTCCGCAGCAGAACAACCCTGGGTGTTGTAAAACTGAACCCAGAGGAAATCAAAGTAAGAGTTGGCAATAGCATCGCCGAGCTGAGCGTCGGGAATGGGGCACTGGGGAGCACCGGAGATGTAGTAGGTCTGTTCGGGGCTCTTGCTGAAATGCCAGCGGAGACGATTGATCATGGCGGCGTATCCTTGATTGGGGTGTTAGTGAGAGTACGGTCAGGACTTTAGAGCATCAGGGAAACATACCAACTCCGCCGTTGTACTCGATATCAAAGTCAAATCCATCAACTGCGGCAGTGAGGAATGGACGAGGGAAGGCTGTGCCAATCAGGTCCGCGGTCCAACCCAATGAAGAGATGGCTGCATTGTAAGGACCGAAGGAGTACCAAAGGAAATCAGCAAACCAGACCGCAGTGGCCTCGTCTGGGATAGATTGGGCTACGGCAGAACCACCACCGATGGACAGCAGGATTGTCTTGCCAGCAGCCTTGCAAATAGGGATATCCTGCCAGATCTGGTGGCAGCCATTAAGCAGCTCCGTGCCAGGGAAAAAGAGGCCATCACACTGATTGGCAAAGTTGGAACCAGGGAAGTCGCCCACACTTTTGGGAAACTGATTGATGAACCCGATGTTGATGATGTCCGACGTGGTCTGTTCACAGAAATGACTGAGCCGGGGTTGGTCGTAACCTTGTCCGTAGTAAACAGCAACATTATTCTTCAGACTGGCATCGAGAGCAACAGCAGACGATGCAAGGAGTGACAGGGCCGACACGGCGGCAAGAGACTTGAACATCATAGCTAAAAATGAATGTAGTAATTATATGCAATAATTAGAAGCAACAGGAATCGCTTATTAACCTGATAAAAGGAATGGCAGGTTAGCTCGCGAACAACGAGAGGACGTAGACAAATGTCTACTTGGGCAATCTCCCAAAGAACTAAAAATGAGAGTGTTGAAGGTCGAAAGAAAATGCAATTCCCTGGGGGAAAGAGACTGAAATACATCCAGCGCCAGTTGGGGCTGTCCCTCTACGCCCCCTGGGGAAGATGCCGACCTCCGACATAGAGCGCACTAATCAAAAGGAGAACAGAGCTATCAAAACGTGGAAATGAGCGAGTGCGTGATATCCGGATGCTTCCACGAGTCATAGGTCAGTGCCACTCCGAATGCACTCCACCGGTGCAGGGCGACCCAACGCATAGTGGCAGAGTGGATTCAAAGCTTGATAGTCTGAACACTAGACTCGGAGGCGAACAGGATGTATTCTCAACACTGATGGGGCTAACTTCATGGCAACTCATCGTTCAAGCGACATGGACCGGCTTTTCCACTGTGGACTGGTCACAGGCCGAAGGCGTGGTATAACATGGCCACACAGCCAGTGGCGTAAAAGAGTCACATCCGAGCAAGAAATAAATCAGCCATCAGCCATGACAGGCTTGGTTTGGGGAGGGGTATGTGATGGCCCCGTGCCTATTTCGGCCTATCTCGGCGCAGTAAAATTGCAAGAGCCGCATGAAAAGAGGCTAACAGACCCTAACGGACTCTAGCGTCATTAGTATCAGGGTCATGACTGGAGCAAAGGCAGTTAGCTTGATATACAAAATCCAATCACAACTCGTCGTTTAGGCACCGGGGCACGGACGCCTCGGGGTCCACCGGCCATTGTATGTCGGATGTAGAGCACTAAATCCGAGAGTTGGACAACATACATATGAAGGAAGGCAGGAAAGTGGAAAGAAGATTCGTTTGACAAGTGTTTATATCGATTGCTAAAAGAGTAAAAGTGTAGGAGTAACAGGGTAGAACCATATGGTCTGAGGTCAAAGAATGGAAACTTCCAAATCAAGGAAGGAGATCAGAACCGACGGAGCTAAAAGTTTATCAGCCTATGCTAAGCCCTCGGGGGCCAAAATGTGGGTCAATCTGCTTCCAGGTACGCCAATCATAGGTCACCCGGGAAGAAGCCGGATCACCGTTTTTGTTGTAATTCGGTTACAACACATACATCTCTTACGGCAGTTTAAGATTGGTGTCTCACTTGATTTCCACTTGATCACCTTTGGTTCATCTTAGTCCCTCTTAGTTTGTTGTCCTAACGAACTCGATGATTTGGGATGTAACTCTGTCCAGGGTACGGAATACTTCGTACTTTGCACACGTTCTAGCCCACGGCCCCCAAAACTCCCACATTACTTACTCTGTACATTTTCATTTTATTTTCCGGTTTATGCAAGGTACCCATGCATGCTTCGGATATATGCCCACTCTGAGGGGGTGTTTAGGCGACAGTGACGCCACTCATCATGCTACCTGATTGCTCATTATTAAAGGCACTAGCCAATCTTGGAAGTGCGCACTTTACATTTTCCATAAGCCGCCACTGCCTCCACGGCCCCAGGGCAGCTGTGATATGGATTAGCCGAGACAATAATAAAATACAAGAAAGTCAATTCCAGCTATATGCAGGTACAGATCCAGCCTTAGAGGTGCCTCCAATGTACGTTATACGTAGACGGATATTAATCATGTTGCGTTGGCGGGGACCTTCGACGATCCCTGTGGATCGTAATTAAAAGATCCTCTCTATAGGCGTTCCAGCCCTATTTCGATGAACATAACACATAAACTCTAAGAACCTCCGATTTCGAAACCTAATACAAACGTTTGTTAACGTTATGCTAGAAAACGTTGGTTGTTTGCATGCGAAATATTCAATTCTCGGCTGTATTCCGGGTTTGCCGCTCTCCCGATGTGCTAAATCTCGCTTCCAAGTTTCCAAGTATATTATCACCAAAGCAGCAACAACGACAAGTTCATGATTTCTGTTTTTTATGTTCAATTAAAATGAATACCAATTGAAAATATCTATGATGAGAGAAATCAAGAAAAAGCCACCCATAAGCCACGAGATACAGTTTAAGCAAGCATGGACAATCAAGTGGGAACGAAATCGCGGGGCTAACCGGCAAGATCTTCTGTGGAAACTTCTTCCCGATGACAATACATAATATAGATATTATACTATACGTCTCACTAAAGTCTTAAACTATATAGTATTATGACAGTTGAGCATCCTGATATCGCTACATGCTTCCTAGGCTGATACATCACGACTGCAGCAATAATACTGATCCCTCCAAGTTCGGAAACCTTCCGGTCAAACTCATAGACGAGCAGGAATTTATCAGCAAGATATTGAATTGATAATTCCACCAGAATGTAAGGAAGCCAATTCTCCACCTACGTGTTTGATCTAGTGCAAACGGATATCAAAGTTGTCATGTCTCAGACATGCCGCCTTATATATGCCTCCAAGTCCCCTCTCCCGAGGTCCACATTACTCCAATTTGGGACAACAAGAATCAAGGTATCGTTCGATGGTCTTTGAAACATGTAGATTGTCACCGAAATATTGGCAAATCCAAGTTTTAAAACATATATTCCTATAATACTAATAATAATGAGGATATCGCTTTTGTTGATGGCGGTGGAGTGAAAGAAAAGTCAGGCGGCACGGCTACGTACTTGCTGAACTGACGTTTTTAACTTTCAGACAGCGGAAGACTGTCAAGTGTGCCTAAAGAGAGCGTGGGACATAGTATCGCGCTTACGAATTTCTAGTTAAGTCTATCTTGGCTCTGATATTCCACTAGATTGGAATGTCCACTTGTCATATTATAGAAAATATCAATAAGCGATCTAGCACTTTCTGCAAGAATAGCAAAGCCGCGAAGCTCAAATAGGGGCTCATTATGAGGATTTGCAATAGGGTGTTGCAGGATTAGCCAGTAAAGCTACACGGTTGCCAAGCGTATTAACACCACTCCCCAGCGTTGGTGAGTGCCTACCTATATGAAGGGGTGGCCCGCCTTGAGCTTGGTAAAGGCCGTTTTGGATACCTGAACATATTCGCAGGTGCGTTGAGAGTTTGGTTCTACACAGTCGCGGACAATGGTATCGGAATGTTTCCAAACAAACCTCGGCGTGCAGTTGACCACTTCCTCATATTCAACTGCAGAGAAGCTCCAGCCTGAGCTTCTAACATCCGAAGGCAGAATAAGTTTTCTATACTAGGCAGGTGAGTACATCGCATAGGGGGATTTTTGAGCAATTACCACTTGCCGATGCGATCAAAGCACCACAGTCATAAAACCAAGCACAAGCATAGGGGGGTCATGCTACGTACTACGCAGCCACGGGATATATTGCGAACGTCGCGGGGTTCTTCGGATTGTTATTGGGATACTCTGTAAAAGTACTAGAGCCTTGCCATGGACTGGACAGCGTACGAGCTTCGCAAGTCCTCTTCGTACCCCCTGAGCTAAGCCCCGAACTAACCATTGATAGTGCATGTACGGAGCAGCTCACAGTGGAGTTCGCGTAGGGAGGCTTAGCATATAGGGCGTAACCGGGTCCATTCTTTTGAATGTCGTATCCTAGGATTCTTGTAATTAGCGGGTAATTCTTTCTTTTCTCTTACACTAGAAGTTAAAACATCTTATCGATGAAGACAGCAAAAATGGCTCAATAGTTCGGTTGTCTAATTACTATGTCTTCCTCGCCGAAAAAGAAAGGACAATCAAAATCATGAGATCTGACTGCTAGAGTTTACACCTCCTTAGAGCGTCTTCGCTTGATCAAACACGGAAAAGCGACCGTAGACCAGCTGAAATAGATCAATACCTGGGTCCGGCTTGACTCTTTTCGCTGATTGATCTTGGAGCACGGGGAATGTCTCCTGCAAATTATACTGCAGCTCCCTTCCAATCAGGTCCGACTTGCAAACCCCAGAGTCGGCATTGAAGGAGAACATGACCGATTCTCTGGAATTGGATGGCCTTATCTCTTAGCTCCATTATGCCCCATTCCCACATTCTGTAAGTGATGAGATCCATATCGATGCTGAATCCGAGTCCAGTTTGCAATAGGGGTTTGCTTCTAATCAGACAGAAGATCATCAATGGTTATACATAGAAAAGTCTCCTGTGCCGTTTATGCTTTTTACCGCCTTCGTATACACCTAAGAAGATATCAAAAAACACATCAGCGGGTGCTTACATATAACATCACTAATACCATCTTGGACCAAATAAATCAGATTATATTAGCCTTACGTCGTCAAGGACAGAGGCCGCATAAGCGGCGAACTATTCTTATGTTGAAATCAATCAATTTTCGATCCGCTACCGCCTTTTGGGTATTTCGGGGTCAACGAATGAGCAATAAATAAAGAAAACAAAAACAAAAACATATAACAGTGAGTCTAAGGTGGTGGTCACCTAGGGTTCGGGTATAGGCGGCTCGCCGCTCTATCCAGCCCTCCTTATGGCACCATAGGTGGATATTTATAAACCTGAATATTGTTCACCTAAATATCCAGTTCAATTCAAGCTACTTTCAATGGAACTAGGGAGAATCCTGTCACCGCCCCTTTTCAATTCTACAAGCAAATATGAGGGATTCTGCAAGATGAGGACTATAAATATGGGCTACTTTTCCAGGCATAGAGAGATTAGATAGTTTACAATTTCATTGCTGGCACTATACCAGTAATTCCAATATCAATTTGCAAGAGATTGCTCCTTTTTACATACAGTGTAGTCTTTATACTATACTATTTTAACACGTTAGAATATATCACACCATCTTTGAAGCGCGAATGAAGGTTATTGATGTTAGGAAATCTCAATCAAGAGACACCTATGCACCTTATTCCTTTCGGCTAAGACGAGTCTATGACTATTTTTTTCAAAGTTGTTACTAAGTCCCCACGTTTGGGTGTTCGCAATATAAAAGCACAAATGCCGTTATATATTACGTTCATTAAAGGGGATAGCGGGATAGCGGGATAGCGCACCAACTCCTACGGTTAGATCCTTTGTCCGCTTCTATTCACGATTTACAAGGATATAGCCCTTTACATTATCCCGTACGCTCCGGAAATTGTTAGTTAGCGAGAATGCTCTTAGGCTACTTTAGTAAGGTCGGGGTATATATATTAGATTAGTAGGACTGGAGGTTTGTGGTGAAAGTTGATAGGTGACGATTTACGAGTTGCAAGGTGTAACTATATGCATCAGCGTTATTTAATAGGTATATACCTAGTAATTAATTCTAATGATAAATTGTAAACTCTCGATAATCTGTATAGAGTGTAAAGTACGGATAGCAAATTAATAACCCTAGCTCTGCTATCTACATAATGCACGGAGCGAAGTGCAAGGTTTAGATCTATATGTATTATAAACGCCGGCTGAGTCTCTAATGTCCCCCGGCCTAGATTTTCAAATTCAAATCATATTCCAGATCAGTATGAACCCCGTATACATTGTAGCTAATAACTATCGCAACTATCCAATTAATAACAATCTAAATGCATTCCGCGCCCATCCCAACCCTCCAGATCTAGCCACATCCGCTACTTGCAGTTATGCCTCCTCCTCCTCCTCCTCCTCCTGACTTGGTGTTCGAGTCTACAGGGTAGTACATGAGACCATGAAGGACGAAAGCACCAAACTGTTGTATTGTGGACAGCGTGTACTGTGTATAGCTGTGTAGGAGGAAGGAAAGCAAGACGGAGTAGTAGTCATGTGACCACTGATTGATCTTAACACATGGCTCCAGTTCCCATGGCTCCAGGTCCGAAGGGTGGAGACCTGGACCTATTACCATAACCGTATCTGCGTGCGCGACGCGGCATTTTCGCTCTGGATGATTCGTTGTCTCTGTCGATTCGATATTGGATAAAAGCGTCAGAGCAGGTGTATATGCCCCGCGGGGGCGGACAGTTATATGCCTCTCCGCGCGATGTGTCGGAACACCACCTTATCAAGTATGAACCTTGGGGATCAGTCTTCGGGCGAGGGTTTGTGATCAAACAACACGCCTGCGAGAAAAAATCAGTATGGGACGGGAAGGATACTCAGGTGTAAAATAGTGGTTCTACAGGGCATTCAGGTGAATGGATTGAAGGGTAAGAGGAACTCTCTAAGTCAAAAACACAAAAACATACAACAGTGAGGATTCGCTGGTGGTCACCCACCCAACTACTAACTCACCGGCGTGTGGCTTAAGTACGGCTGAGCGGACGGGAAGCCCTGTTTTCCACACCCTATGGTCGTATGTATCATGTTATGTGTGGAACAGAATTATACTATGTGCCCCAGAATGTAATTCAAAGGATAACTATATAGGCTATCGTAGCTAAACTTTAATGATTGCTTCTATATGGCCTTTGTTAAGTTTTAAAATCAATTACCAAAACTAGTAAATCTTTTTAATATCCTACAGATAGTTATAATAACCTAACTGAATGACCTAATACTCTATTCGATTAAGCTCGAGCAAGCTCGAGTGCGGCACGATAATTCACTCACGAGCCTCGAATTGAAATAAATACTATTCTAAATAGTAAGATTGAAGTCTCATTGATGGTTGTATAGCCCCAGGTGTCTCATATATAAAACTGAGGAGAATTTGATTGTTAGACAACATTTGTCACCAACTAAGCATCACTTTCCCTTAACATGACCTCTCGAATAGGCACCCGTGTCCCCTAACGCTACCAAGCACAGCACGTAAGTAAACAGAATCCCAAGCAACAAATAACGAACACCGTCATAACCATCACTTATAGCAATATATAATCAAAACAAGGGAAGTTCCGCCGTATTGACATAATCGATATTGTCCTGATGCCCCTCTATACGAGAAATAGAGGTATTAAACAACCGATCCCACACCCGAGTCTGCTTGCCGTAATTATGGCTATTCCTCCAGCCCTTGCGATGATGGAGATCATGATCCTCAATGACAAGCTCCATATCACACAACCGTAGCAGCCACGTCCACGGATTCGCCGCCGTAGCAATCATACGCAATCCACTGTGGCCCAGAATCTCCGTAAACACGACGTATTGCTGGCATATCCACCACTCATAGAAGCCCATTGGAAATCCCATTAGCTTCAATGTGCCGTATGCGAGGAGCGGCGTGCCGATAAGATCAATGAACTCCTGCACTGTATCCGCATACGCGGTCAACAGGGGATTCGGGTGCTTGGTCAGGTGGTGGGTGCGGTGGAACTGCCAGAGGTGTTCCATTTCGTGGGCGGAGCGGTGTATGATATAGTACCAGAAGTCGATGGCGAGGGGATACATGCCGGTTTCGAAGATCAGCCAATTCCATCGGATTGACGATGGGCCTTCGTTAGCGCGGTAGGCGAGGAAGACAGTGACCATGGGTCGTAAAACTATTACGGATAGTAGAGTTTGTACTGTTTTGCCGACTCCTACGTCGGGTACACCATCGCGAGCGTGCTTATCTCCGTCGAAGAATCCAAGATTGTGGCCCATGCGTCGGAGAACATGAGTTTCTTTCACGGCGATGGATTCCAGGGCTAGACTGTAGTAGACAAATGCTAGCCAGGCCGAAGGATGACCGAAGAAGGTGATATACAGTTGGTGAAGGATGAGTGGGAGACCAGCGTGAAGGATGATCCAAAAATGGAACTGCATCTCCGGCGCATAAGGCACTTTGTCGGTCTTTTGATGAACGGGAACTTCTTGATCAAGTTCGACATGATGCACATTTAGGTATTCAAGAAGCCAGTGGCCGAGATTCCACTGCGAGCGATCCCAGGATCGCCAGGTGGAAGTCATCGAGTCCTTTGGGTTACGCATCTGGGCGGCGATTCTCAGTAGCAATTTGAAAGTGACAGAAAAATGTCAGGAACATCTTTCCTTGCCCTCCCGCTGGATGTTATATTCATATTCAACCTTGAGAACACATGATGGTGGGTCATCTAGCAACAAAAGAATAGTTTGGAACCGAGGTGTGGGTTTGCAGATCGCTACCGTATACTGGTTTTACTGGTTAGTGATCTTTTCAACACAGGAGGATACTATTAGCAGACGAGGAGCGGTATGAGGTCCGATTGGTGCAATGAATCATATTTGTAACTATCATTTTTTGGCATCCAATAACCTTGATTCGCATGAGAAGCCGGATAGGGGTTAGTTTGGTTCTTATTTTTTCAGCGCTGATCAGCGCTGCAGAGCATGATACCGAGGCATGGATTATGTCATATTTCCACACGATTAGAAAAAGTTTAGGTATCGCTAATTAGACGTGGGGTAAACGTGGGGTACCCGTGCCAAGCGCACAACACCACGGTGTTGATGCACCCCAGCAGATACCAGATTTTCACCAGATACAAAATCTTGAAATTAGGTATCTTTTATATGACTTGCACCTACAAAAGATACTTATGCACCTCGTGGGCACCATGCAAGTTCTCAACCCTCGAACTAGTTAGGGAAGATATAAGGAGATATATATAGTATTACGGAAGTTTATTTCATTTCTCAAACTTTTACACGCAATATTAAGTGTGCTAAAAGAAAGAAAGAACCTAGTGTGTTTCAGCATACAAATATGAAATGGTTTGGGGTAATGGAGAAAGGAGCAAAATCATCAAGTGAGGTAGCCCAAATTGATTGTTTTGGACCAGGTTATATTGTTTCCTTGTCCCCTACATCAAGCTTTGCGGGTGTGGTTTCTTCAATTATGCCTCTTGAGGATGCTTAAGTGGCAAACATTCTTGGAGAAACCGCGTGTAATCCTGCATAGCTATTTCAAATGGCAGGCCATAGTAAATTTCAAAATGGCCCACGTCGGCATACGACTTGATCACTCCTTTGGGGGCTGCCTTTGCATAGGCCAAAGTTGCGCCTGCGGGTGCAACTGAGTCTTTGCCACATATACCAAAAAGGATCGGACAGTGAACATCAGATGCGTAAGAGCCAGGTCTCAGGAAAGGCAGTTTCAAGGTCAGACGAGCAGGGATTCTTTGCTGAAACGGATGGCCTTCAGGGATAAGTGGCGCAAAGGTACTCAGAACGTCGGGAGCATTCATCAGAGCCGCTATTGTGTATTTTAGCTGGAATGTTATCTCCTGATTTGTCCGGCCATCAGATCTCTACTTACTATCACCTGGCTTTCCGGTCAGCGATACAGTTATCGGTCTTTTGTCCGAGCCGAAGAGGGTGTCCAAGAGGCCAAGCGCTGCGAGCCTCAGACCGGCAGCAATGCCGGCACAAAGCGTACTCTGCCAGCCAGAAGTAAAGGGACACTGGGAGATGGCTGCTTTGACATTTCTGTCAGTAGCGGCCAACTGGATGACATGCCCTCCGCTGAAAGATGTTCCAAAAAGCCCGACTTGGTTCGGATCGACGCTTTCCAGCTGACGTGTATATTTGATTGCGGACTTCCAGTCCTCTTGCTGCTGATCCCAGTCAATCAAACCTCGTGGCAGACCATCAGACCCGCCGTTGCAACGGTAGTCGAAGACTACACATGTGTATCCCATCCGATTGAAAACATCGGCATACACATCGAGCTTTAATTCTTTCGTTCCACCCAGGCCGTGTGCTAAGACGATGGCTGGTCCGGGACTCGACGCGGTAAACTTTTGCGACGAGTAAAGCCATCCGCACATGAAGTCCTCGGAGCATGAAGCAATTCGGACGTCCACACGACGTTCAATCCCTGCGACGGCCATATGAAGAATTAGAATACGTCCCTTTACCCTCTTTTTATGTTTTCCCATGAAAAGTGGCAGTTTGTGCCTTTTTCTACTCATGAATTGAGTTTTCGTTCGGCTATTCAAATTTCACCTCGGCATCGCATAGGAAAAGGATACCTTGGAACTTTCATCGTGCAGTGCCTTTCGAAACTATTACAATTGTTACGACGGGGAAACAAGGCCGGCCCCCGAATCGCTCACTGGTTGCGGCGGAATGAACCCTGTTCGTGTGGGGCGTGGACCTCGCAAGCAACACCTAGATGATCAACTTTGCGGCGAAACATCCGTCCGACTCAGACTGTGGCACATGAGGCATTGCTGCTCAGGTTGGTTAGTGCGATAACTCATCAAACGAAGCGAAGACAATGCCATTGCAGTTCTATTGACATTACAGAACGGTCATCCATAAGGGGTTAGCATCCACCGGGCACATCGTAATAGTCGAGATATAGCTGATTTCGAAAACTACTGTACATCGCTATCGCCTTTAATTGAAGGACTAAGAGCTGATAATCCGATAACTCTAGAGCCGCAAAGTACAGGTATTATGATAGAGCTTATCTACGAAATTACTCGATTTACCTGGTAAATTCCAACACATTATTGACCAACGCCGCATCTAAATCAGACGGGTCGTACATAGATTTTAGCTTAAAACTCCCTTTCAACAGGCGAGAACTTGGTTCAGCATTCTTCAACCAGCTTGTGTGCTACCTAAAATAACATTTTTACAACTGTCCATAAGGGCTTCAGTGGTAATCCCGAAGCACTCCCGACTGACTATTCCTTATGCTTTCTTGGAGCCAACTTGGGAAACATTTGACCAAGGATGCAAGAGCGTAACGAGCTGGTAAGAAAACTTGCCAACTTTCCCCCCTTATAACATGCGAAACAACTGCTTCCGCAACAGCGTCAGCTTCTATAGTACGTGAATTCCACCGACCACTTTCGACCACCTTTTCGATGAGTGGTGTCCGTACCCATGTGGGGTGGATTATCCTATAGTCCAGTGAGACTTTTGGTATTTTGAAAATCAGGTGTCGCTACTTACGATGTCCGAACTTTCCTTGCACCATGCCTGTGCCGAAGCTCTTGCGCCATGCCTTCGTGGAAACTTAGAGCCGCTGCCTTTGTACAAGAGTAGGATACGTTTGATGCGAGTGTTATAAAGCTCGCCATGCTTGCAACAGTGACTACATGACCATGGTTTTGCTGGATCATCTGTGGAAGAAATTCGCGTGCCATCCAAAAATGAGCAACGTTGTTGACATCAAAAGTGCGTTGAATCTCCTCATTTGTTTCGTCAAGTAGAGATTTTGCGGTGCCAATGCCTGCATTGTTGATCAAAATGCTTGGACTACCCACATCCTCACGAATACGTCGTGCGGTATTGCGAATTGCCTCTGGCGATGTAATGTCGCACTTGTAGAAGTGTACACTGGCGGGCATAGCGACCTTCGGAGGCGTAATATCGAGTACGACCACTTTGGCGGCGTGTTCGTCGAACTATCGCGCGATCTGTTCACCGATACCACTGCAGCCGCCAGTGATTAGAACCACTTCACGCCTCCAGTCCCACTTGTCCGAAGTCCAGTTGTTCAGAATCAACCTGGACAACGCTCTGCCACAGATATATAAGATCCCAACGACGGAGTGTATGTAACCCTAGGCGACCCCAGTAATTGGTAGATGTGAGTGTGAAGAAGGAGTCCAGCGCCGGTTTCTCATGTATTTTCAAGTGGAGTATGTCGATTAACTGAAATACACGAGCTCTGAGATAGATCACGAGCTCCAGGGACGTAGCTTTTCAGGAATCTGTCATAGCAGACGCCTTGTATGGTGCAAATGTGGGCAAAGGAAAGATTCAAAAGTGAGATTAGTTCAAAGATCAGGTGAACATATTTATTGATATAGAGATATCAAAGTCACGTCCTCTGAACCAGCAGTGGGTGGATGACTAGGACCCCGACTGTAGATCATCGGGGGAATATCTATCCGATACGTCGTGTGAAAAGAGGATGCCGAGGCCTTCACGATGCATTCTATTCAGGTTCAAATGCTTGACAATACTTTACTGAAGTGGTTTGTCGACTTGTGGATGCCAATGTTCAGGCTCTATGTGGATATGTCTCAAATCCGGCGGGGCTTTGCCCCATTTGCTGTCTCTCATGTCGAACTGAGCTGGAATTTGTCAGCAAATCATTCGCGTAGTCATCGATTGTCCTTGATAACTAGATAATCACCGATAATGCCTGAGATACATGTACTAGACATGATTCAAGTAATTAATGCAGTCGATTTTAAGTTCACCAATTAACTTACTATTTTATTTATTATTAGGTATTATTCATCTGGAACCTACGGCATGCTACTGTCATGTAACTTAGCCTTCTCAAATAGCTTCGCTAATCTGCTCAATCAACCATTTTACTCCTATCCCAACAATATTAAACAATGACGGAGGTTTAGCATCCGTTTATACATGTATCCAAGAATAAAACACTTCAATCCAGAAATGCGACCAGCTTAGTACCGGAAACCTTTCCTTGACGCAGCAAGTCAAGGCCCGTACTCAAATTTCCCAGTCCACCATCAATCCTTTTAAGCGGTGGTGCTTTGAGCTGTTTAGAAATCTCCGACAATGAACCATAGAATCGGCGTAAAGCTTGGTTGTCGGAAGGTATCCTGGCAAATTTAGGGCCAAAAGGAGGAAGCCACTGATACTCCTCGTTGAAGACAGAATAAGCGAGCAAAAAGTCGACTTTCACACCATCTATCTCGGTCTTCCCTGAATCCAACAGTGTGACAACCCACCCACGGCTTCTGCGAACAACCTTTGCACAAAACTCGGTTGAGCCACCCTCTGAAAAGCAGTCCATGGCTCTATCAATGTTGGGATAGGCCCGGATGATGTCTTCGATGGCGGTAGGTGATCGATAGTCAAACACATCATCAGCACCATATCCTTTAACCAAGTCATGGGAACGCGGGGATGCCGTCGTAATAACCTTCAAGCCCGCAAGCTTTGCGAACTGGATAGCATAGAGGCCAGCAGATGTGGAGCCAGAGTATATAAGGATTGGTGTGTTCGATCGTCCTTTGTCAGGGCCTTTGTCAATCCAAGGGACGCCGAGCCGGACGTTCAAAGCCAGCATAGCGGTCACAGCGGAAACTCCAAATGTGGTCGCTTCCTCATCGCTCACAGACGATGGGACTTTCCAGGCCAGGTCGCTCGTGATTTTGAGATACTGAGCGAAACTGCCTCGATCGGTATATAGTCCTCCATGAGTTACGCCAGCTACCCTGTCACCGACCGTCCAGTATCCACGTGCCTTCGACCCAATCTTTACGACAATTCCTGAATAATCACAACCAATGATCGCTCCTCGGGGGGAGAGAATGTCGATATGTTTGAAATCGGTTGGATTGAGAGCGACGCATCGTACTCGGACGAGGATCTCATTGTCGTTTATCTCGGGGATAGGGACGGTTGAAACTTGAATTCCGTCTCCTGAGGGCTTGCTGCAAATGTAATTTGAGATTCGAGTGAAAATTGAGCGGTTGCCGACCAGGGCCTTCATGGACATTGGGATTTCGGTACTCATGGTGCTAGCCTGAGGAGATGAGAATGAGACAGCAGTGATAGGCGAGGGTGGTGCAAAGACACAAAAAAAAGTATATGACTGCTCGTGGCGGGATTTAAGTAGTTTATTATTTGATCTATTATCACTCTGATGTATCATGTTGATCCCGACCTCGGCAAGGATAAGAATCGGGATGATATTACATCAGTCTTCCCGTCCCGACGGATCGTCATTTGCCCCGACTGACAGGACGTTTCTTGACTTGTGGTTTATGTCTAGCGGTGTTAAACGTACCTGAAATGCCATCTAAACCAGAACAAAAAACTGCACTAGGCTCATTCACACCTCAAGGGCCCTTCTTGACAATGCGAATACTATTGGCCGGATTAAATAATTTCCAATGCTTGAGCGAATCAAATAAACAAAATAGAATGCAAAAAAAAAAAAACAAAAACATACAATAGTGAGGATTCGCTAGTGGTCACCTACCCAACTACTAAATCACCGGAATGTGGCTTAAGCTCAATCAATAGTTCGATGCGTGTCACTAGGGTGAGTAGGAGGGTGACGCCGCTTTTGATTGGCGTCACCCTGCCACCTAGGGTGAGTGCAGAATAGAGAGGGTGTGCCGAGGGTGCACGGGTGTGTGGGAATCCTCTTAGCTAGCATATTAACGCTTAGGCCGCTCTATGAGGCTACGGTTATATTTAATTAGGTACATAACTACAGACTCTAGAACATTTATCTCTTAGTACCTGTAGTATACCTAGCCACGCTAGAGCTCTATTAATTAGTTATTCTATGGCTCGAGCGCCAGGCCTCTTCTTCTTAGGGTATGACTTACGATCATATACCCTATTACCAACTTAGATGCTCCGGAGGAGTTTAAGGCCGTCGACGCTTTCCCGCACCCAGCCGTAGTCGATTGGTAGAGGCTTGCTAAAGTGTCTACACTCGTTGTTCTTCTTTAGCGCGTGAAAAAAAGTCATATAGCTGTCTCGATATTATCGTGAATCCTCGATTGAGCTTTATGTACTCTCGCGATAGGTCCTCGGTCGCGAAGTCCCTTAATGACAGCCAGAGCGCTGTTGTTCCAACTGGAAGTCCAGAATCTGTCCAGCAAAGCAGTCTAGGATCCTCAATAGTCCGGGGTGGTGAAGGCGAGCGGCAATAACTAGCAACTTCGTTGTGGACACTGGCTATCTAGGCCTCTTCCGATACTCCCTTTTGTTTGCTCCAAAATGTTTCACTGCGTAGGTTCCATTCGGTGATTGATAGTGATAGAAAATCGCTGTCGCCCCGGACACCTATATTCTTCGGATTGAACCATATCGTGCTAGCTTTGACGGAGGTAATCCCTTGGGCTCCCTAATGGCCAAAATTAAGATGATGAGGGCAATGGTGTATAGGATACATATTGGTAATATTTTAAACGAAACCGTAGTAGCAATATTCCAATTTTGTTATCGGTGTGTTGGAAGTGGGAAGTGGGAAGTGGGAAAAGGAGGAAAAGACGTCATATTTGCATGAAAATGATCTGCCTACGGAGAGCAGAGAGGAGAGAGAAGAATGATTGCATTCTCTATCAACAAACAGAAGCTAGCTAATATAGCTAGCAAACAGTGGAAGCATAACGAACCAGGCATCGGCAGATAGCCTGTCTCAACAGAAAATCTGAGAAATTGGTTTCAAGCGAGGGGAATGGACAAGATAATAAAAATGAACGAAATACCCGAAATCCAACGCACTCGCCGATCACATCAAACCGTAGATACGGAGGCTTGGTGAATAGATGCGTCTCAAAATCTAGCCCGGTTTGGTAGTTGAGTATCAAATTTCTAGACAATTTTCAACGGGACGTCGTCGATGCGAACAATAACGTGGTGTCTACCTGCTGGTAGAGATTTAATATGGAAGGCATCCAGTTGGCTCTGTCTGAGATTTGGCTCAACCGTGTATATAGCCAGGTGACGGTGGAAGAAATCGGTGTCTCTCCAGTAGAATGCTCGATAACCCGCGTCCCAATGTCTGTGAGCAAGAAGTTGATTGTACGGCGTTCCAGTCTCATTCATGAATCCTGCAGCGTTCCAACGTATCTCGTAGGCTGCATGGTCGCAGTAGACACGCCACTTGCTTGTACCACCATCAGGAGTAGGCAGGAAAAACTCTCGAAGGTGATGCTGAGGGCAAATATTCCTGGTATCAAGAATATCGTTGGCTGGGTCAACTGTGCCAAATCCCAACGCCGTGCATTTCCTTGTCTTTGCTGATTCTAGTTCGCCTCGGAGGGAGAGAATGTCATCCTCCGTCTTCTTTTGAATTCGCCGACACTCTTGAATCTGTTGCAGTTCCTCGTCACATCCTGGACATGGGTCTGATCGCGGGAAGCACGCTCCATCCACTAGGTCGAAACCCTGAGGGCACTTGTACTCATGCCCACCTGAATGAGAAGTCGAGTTCCGCAGTTGTTTAATAAAAACAAGGCCAGGGGCAGAGACAGTGTTACTATCTTGCTGATCGGTAACCCAGCACTTTCTCTGAACTTGACTCCAGACACTTCCCTCGCATGCAGTGTTTTCATTGCAGGTATCGGCGCACTGGGCGATAGTGTTGATACCGCCGAGAGGGGTGGGATTGTAGGGGAGCGGATAAGTGTCGCAGTATATCTGGACAAGGTCTCCATTATCGAGTGCAGCCTGCTTGTTGTTGAGTGAGGGGCAAACACTGGCGTGTTTTGCTGGTAGCTGCGACTGGGCTGCGACAATCGGAAAGAGAGCCGAGAGAGCGGTAGATAAAAGGAAGGTTGTCTTCATTGCTACTTCAGTGCATAGTAAAATGAAGCTCAGTGTCTGGGTGCTTGGAATTGTGCTGGAGAAGAAGGGCTCTTATAGATGGTCATCTCTTTTAGGGTTGCAGAAAATTGACGACCGATGGAGAGCATGCAGAGAAATTGACGTGAAGAGTATTACTACATGTGTGACCAAACGTTGTTTACGTCGAACTTCTCCTTACTTACTTTCAGCTACGCCCTCACTCGCCGCGTAATTCTCTGCATATTTGGGAAAAAACTGTGTGTAACATTTGCAGGATTCGAAGCCAAATAACCCCGCTCCCCTGCCCAAAAAAGCCTATTTAGTGTCGATGTCCTATGCCATATGCGCCTCTATTTCGGTTTGTTTGTTTGATACTCGTTGGATCCTAAAGCGTATGAGGCGATCTTACGTAAAATCCAAGGGATGAAGATAGGGTACTCTATAACACTCTATCCTCATTGACTTCTTAGAAAGTGACCCAGTGCCTTACAAGCAACCAGCTAGGTTTCGCAGTTGAAATGTTAGCTACAAATTTGACAGCAGACATGTTCGCCAAGGCCTCATAATTGGCATGTTCTGTGGTGATGGATCTATTAATTATAGTCATGGGTTCACTTCTAAGACCTCTAAAGCTTTACCAGTTATACTTTCTCTTCTTCAGTGGAGAACATGCAGGAATAACAATAACTCATGCTGTTAATTTTATGAGAAACTTATGTTATTGAGAGAATTCTGACGATCTTAGGTCAGAACGATGCTGCAGCTTCGCACGAACTATGCATGTTGACCAAATCAACAGTGGCTTGCGCACCTCAGTCACTTTTGAGTAGAAAGTCTATTTAATCTTTATCGGGCCAGCCAGCTGACCATATTTTACTTTACACCTGGAGATAACCTTGGGATATCTGTATATGATGCGCGATTTTTACGCCTCGATCACACCGCTCGACCTTTAGTAAATCACCAACATCGTAACTACCGCATAATTTATAAAGGAAGTAATATGTTAAAGTATAATAGGAGACAACCAGAGCTGTCAGCTCAATTATTGGATACAGAGACCAGGAATCGGCCACTAAAAAACATGTATATGGGGAGGGGAACCATTTACCGTAATAGTCCACATTTCTGGGCCAGGAACGAGTGATGCAGTGACTGGCACGGGCTACCCCGCCTCCTGAGTCCATTAATGCACTTATCGGCCCCTGAATTAGTAGCCCTGCTATACCACTAGAGATGCGGTTCGGCCCCTGATCCCGCCATATGACAACCTAACCCTTGCATTGGAAGCTTAGATCGGCAGTTTGTGGAGCTAAATCATTTCTGGTAGGTTGACACTGATCTAGTATACTGTCCCACTAATGTGATACATTCATGCAAGCGCTGCTTTCATGCAGTTCATGGCAGATCCTCCTTTGCTCATTGGTCTCCTTTTGCTAGATCTTTCTAGGCTTTGTGCCTTTGTTTCTTTGTCCCATGAAGCTATATAGATGACCTTCATGACAGTAGTTAGATATCATCATCATCATCTATCATTACCATTCAGCTACTGTTGGTCATCACTTCCTTTGAAGATCTGTAGGACTTGGTCCAATAATGGATCTACCCGGACTTCGTGCGTCCTTCAATATGATGCAGGAATGCACTTATCGTCCCCTACATTAGTTCGAGGCCTGCTGTGCTACTGGAGATGCGGTTCGGCCCTTGATCCCACTCCATAACAATATAGACCGTGCATCTGAAGTTTAAATCGCTGGTTTGTGGAGCTGAATCACTTCTGGTAGTTTGACACTGATCTACAATGCTGCCCGGCTAAGGAATATATGGCCAGAGAGCTTCAGCACTACAAAAGTCTAGCTTATCCCCAGGCTTCACCATCATGCCAACGATATCTTTCCCATCGCTATCATAATTTGCCTTGGATCAGTACCAAGGCTCGCTCATAAACCCATGATGGTACGCATTTGGGGCGCCCTTCTTCTTAGCTTGGGTGCTAGTCATGTGGCTGCGCAGGACTCTCAGATACCGCTGGTGCCAGCTCTGAGCGGCTCCGGGCTTCTTCAGTTTTCAAATAACTCCACGGGGGAGCCCGTGGATGCTGGAAAATACCGAACCATCAGTTTGGACGACATTGTTCCTATCGCTGACGCTGATGGGAATGTCAAGTGCTGTCCCCGAGGCACGGTCTCCAGCGGACAGGAGTGCATCTTCCCTAATATTCCTATCTGTCCAGAGGGCACCGCGCTTGACGGAGCCGTCTGTGTTACTGCTCCTCGCTGCCCCATAGGTCTTCAGTTTGATGGCCATATTTGTATCTCCGTCGGACCCCCAATGTGCCCGCCTGGCTCGATTTTCGATAGTAATCTATGTGTGGCTAACCAAAACCCCTCGTGTCCGCCTGGCTTCACTTATCAGGGTGGAAGGTGTGTCTTGGATAGCACTGCTTCTTGTCCTCCTGGATTCAAGCTGAAAGGCAGCATGTGTGTTTCCATCCAGACACCCTCTTGTCCGGATGGATTGAGCTTCGACGGTACATCCTGTGTCGACTCTAGGCCGCCAACCTGTCCCCCAGGAACTTTGCTGGTCGGCGGCCTCTGCGCCTCTCAATACGAACCTTCCTGCCCTCCCGGGTCCCGGTACCACGAAAACGCTTGTTTATCAAGTGAGCGGCCTGCATGTCCTCCAGCCACCGCGTTTGACGGCGGAGTCTGCCGCTCTGAGGGGCCCGCCAACTGTCCTCCTGGGTCGACCCTCGATGGCAATATCTGTCGCTCAACAACGCCCCCTTCGTGTCCCCCCGGATCCAGCTTTGACGGGTCCCTTTGCTCCTCGTCTCAAGGCCCCATCTGCCCCCCGGGTCAGAGTCTGTCATTGGGGGGACAAAGCGGCCAAGTCAGCTGCTGTGTGACTGGCCTTACCTGGGACGGCTCAACCTGTGTCCTTGTTCCTAACAATCCTAACGCCTGTCCCTTCGGAACTCACTACGATGGCCATAGATGTGTCTTCACACCAACGGTGGAGCCTTCTTGCCCCCCTGGAACCGCCTTAAGAGACGGACAGTGCTACACTACCACCAGTCCTTCATGTCCCCCGGGTACAACATTCAATGGCAAGGTCTGTGTGACCACTGACTTGCCTTCTTGCCCCCCAGGATTTACCTTTGATGGAAGAAGATGTGTCCACTCTTTGCAACCGTCGTGCCAGCCTGGGGCTGCGCTGAGCGGCAACCATTGTATCTCTAATACTTCGCCTTCCTGTCCTCCAGGCACCACTCTGACAGTTGATATTTGCGTGAGCATGGAGCGTCCAACATGCCCGCCTGGATCCACCCTCATCGACAAAGCATGTGTATACCCCCAGCATCCGGAATGTCCACCGGGATCCACGCTAAATGGTGAGGATTGTGTGACTGGTAGACCACCTTCGTGCCCTCCTGGGACCATTTTTGATGGTTCTGCCTGCGTCACTAGCGACCGACCAAGTTGCCCCCCGGGATTCTCCTTCAATGGCAATTCATGTGCCTCTGAGCAACAGCCGTCATGTCCTCCGGATACCACTTTCGATGGCCATAAGTGCGTCTCGAGCCATCGACCCACTTGCCCTCCTAGCACGGCTTTTGATGGAACATCCTGCACCTCAAACACGCAGCCCATTTGCCCACCGGGTCTGATTTTTGATGGTAACACCTGTGTCCACGAAGGCCGCCCGGCCTGCCCTCCTGGCACCACCTTTGATGGAACTACGTGTGTTTCTGTCGAGAGCCCCACTTGCCCGCCTGGTACCACATTTGACGGAAACGACTGTGTGGCCAAGAGCCGACCCAGCTGCCCGCCTGGCACTCAGTTCAACGGGGCTGTCTGTGTAGGTGTCGAGCTTCCCGGCTGCCCTCCCGGAAACCGCTTTGATGGGCGACAGTGCATAACCGAATCCCAACCGTCGTGCCCGCCCGGACAGGTCATGGTCAACAACACTTGCCAGCACAAGGAAAGTCCGAACTGTCCTCCGGGAACGGCCTTCGACGGAACCAGATGTATTGTTGTTGTCCAGCCCGAGTGCTTTAACCTCAGCGTCTGCCCTTCCACTGGTCCTTTTGGTCGGAATTCGGTGTAGGCCCATACTCGTGGGACTCGATCTGCCTGCAATATTCTGAGCTCTTCCCAAGGAGTTAAATGGCGGATAAAACCGGCCAATTAACCTTCAACATTCGGGAACGAGAGAACAGCATCGTGGCAAATATCGTGGCTGGCTGAACGGAGTGGCGAGACTTAGGGTTCTTTGGGCGCTAAGGAATTTGGATCTTACTTTGATTAGCCTTGGTATGGGGCTTTCCCCCATTCGTGTACAGACTGGGTTTTCCCCATCCTCTTAAGCAAATGCTGAGGCATCTCTATAATAAATTCCTGAGTTCAATGTTGAATTATTTTACAACAAGCCTTCAGGGAAAGCCCTCTGGGGCATGTTACAATCCCAGACCTTTGAATTTGTTGAATATATCCACTAGTAACTCAGCAGAGCAAGAGGGTAGGATCTTATTAGCTATCCAGGCTATTACCTAGATAAGAATCAAGAAATTAACACTATTCGTGAAGCAGCACACTGTTTTAACGTACCCTTCTCTTCCTTACGGAACCGCCTTACCGGCCTTCAAGATCGCTCCGAATATCGCGTCAATAACCACAAATTGACAGAAATGGAGGACGAATCTCTTCAACAATGAATTCTCTCACTTGATGCTTGCGGAGCAGCCCCCGGCCTTCTACTGTACGAGAAACTGCGAATCTTCTTCTCGCAGCGCATGGATCTACCCCGGTTCAAACAGTCGGCGAGAAATGGGTCTATAATTTTGTGAAACGACATCCTCTCCTTTCCCCCAAGTCCTCGAGACGCTACAGAGAAGGCGCGGTGGCATATCATTCGCATACATAGCACTTCCAGAGGAATCATCCACAAGAGAACCACAGTCGGGGAAGTTTAAAGCAATGCATGCATGGTAAAGGATAAAGTGAGCCAATGTTCAATTCCCCGGGTTCTTTCTGCTCGAATGTTGATCAGGTAAATCATGGACTATTCTGACTACCGCGAATACGAATAGTAATAAAGTCTTGTGATTCTAGGAAAAATGCCTTAGAGGTATACAAAAGAGGGATATCAAACAAAAAAAAAACATCACTGACGAGCATTCTTCAACAAAACGTCAGTACCTTCCAGCCATCCAAAAGAATTAGCCATGTCTAAAACCGTGGTGCCGGTCTCATCTTTCTGAGCAAGATCAACCAACCCACCCTTCTCAATCAAAAGCCGCAACAACCGAATATCACGGTCCTCAATGGCCTGCATGATCGCGTTCCAGTCGCGGTAGCATTTGTTGGGATCTGCGCCCCGCTCGAGAAGCAACTCAATCATAGCAAAATCGCCATCGTCGCATCTCCGAATCGCCTTCACGAGTGGCAAATGCTCACCAGGAGCATTGGGGTCGGCACCAGCCTGGTCCAGGAGATAACGCACAATGGCCCAGTGGTTCTCGCGCAGTGCTGTTGTCAGCGGTGAGAACACACCTCCGTTCTTCCACTCTACACTAGCACCGGCTGCGATGAGTAATTTGACGCTTTCTAGTTGATTTGCTTGGACTGCTTTTTCCATGACACCCTTGTGCGCGGAGAGATCAGTTATTCTGGGCAGAATTAGTCGTAGTATGCTCGGTGATTGAGTTGCCATGTATATGGGCCAGTCTTTCCCGCGTAGGTTAGGGTCGGCACCATTTGCCAATAACCATTCCAGCATTTCTGTACGGTTCTTCCGGATGGCAGTTGTGATGGCTGTGTGGCCATGCTCGTTGCGGTCGTTTGGATCGGCGCCTCCTTGGCCCACCAGCCAGTGTAGGGCCTCCGTGCTGTTTTCCTGCACGGCGCACTCCACAATGCCTGGTGGTTTACGGAGATCTGCGCCGGCTGCCACCAAGTCTGGGAGGAGGTGGAGGCGTTTGTGGGTGATACACTTCCACGCTGGGTACTCAGATGCCATCAAATTAGGGTCAGCTCCGTGATGGAGTAGCAAGGCGAGGATATCTGGGCGGTCATCGCGGATGGCGGAGCAGAGGGGTGTGTATATTCCATCCTTTTTGGAATTTGGGTCCATACTAGCCTGTAGCAGGATGCGCACGGCATCGATATTGTTGACACTTGTCGCTTGTTCCATAAGACCGGGTGTCTTTTTGATGTCGGCGCCGCGTGCGAGCAGGATGCGCAGGCAGCCTGGGCGGTGGACTGCGGACCAGAGGACGTGCTCGGGTCCTGGGAGGTTTGGATTTGCGTCTTTATTTAGTAAGGCTGTCACGATAGATGGCTGGTCGCTTTGCACAGCTTCGCATAGCGCTGTCTTGCCGTGGTCGTCTTTGCGATTGGGGTCGCAGCCGGAATTGAGCAAGGTTTCGATGGCTTGCTGCGTTGCGCGCTTACGAATCGCTTCGATAAGTAACGTTGTGCCATCGCGCGTCTCATCTCTGAGATTGACGCCGTGCGCCAGCAGAGTTTGCGTTAGCTTGGAACTGGCGGTATCGTGATCGGAATAGGTGTCATTGCGGAGGCTGATTTCCTCAGCAGAAGCTGTTGAGTCTGTTTTGCCCGGTCGGTGCGGCAGTACTCGGTGATCGAAATAGGGCATTTTCTCAGTCTCACGAGGCTGTTGGTCGAGGAAACCGTTCAAAGACAGGATGGAGGACATATCATCCGCCATAATTTTAGGTTCTTGGCGAATGCCTTGATTGAGTCGGGATGCGGTAAATGATTCTTTCGGGGGCACGGATGGCGTCGAGCGGATTGAATCAGGCGTTTGGCTTTGAATTGATGCGGATCGCTCAGGCTCGAAGGACTTGGCCTTGTTTATGCCCATCACGGAGCGGCCTTTGGATACGCGATCGAGCGCAGCCGCTAAGCCAGCGTAGCCAATTCCCACAGACTCCTCCGGGTGTGCGTCTCCGAGCGACCAGTGAAAGGCCATGCCACTAATCTGAAGGGTTTCGGTGGTCTTCTTCAGCGACTCGTGAATGCGATTGAGGTCATTGCTTGGCCGATGCCACCCTCGCTGAAGCTTTCCCAGTGTTCCGCGATGTTCATACTGGACAAGCTTCACAATGATCTTGTCAAGTTGTTGGAAGTCACGATAGGTGGAGACAAATTTCTTTTCCACCTCTTCAATTATAACATCAGGTAGGGCGCGATTGGCGCCGGCTAGTTCGGTCACTCCGGCTTCAATGGCCCATAACATGCGACAGGTGTCGAGGAAGGTATGAGAAAGTTCGCGAAATCCGTCAGGGAGATCTTTGGTGGTACTGAGGTAATTGAGCATGTGCACAGAGATTTGGTTACCTAATTGCGTGGCTAGAGCTGAGACGCTGCAGATGGTTTCCTCTGGCTTGGCCGGCATGATTTCGCGTGAGAGGTTCACCTAGACAGGGAGAAGGACATATATAGAGGAGTAGGGAGAGACCGAAGAGAACGGATTGCCGAAATAAACATGGGGGGCCATCTAGCCAAACCGGTGAAACTTGGGGCAAAATCCTGCATCTATACAGTGGGTCTTGTTCTCCAAGGTGGGGTGTAAACCAGGGGTTTGTCCTCATTAGTATCTGTTGGACCCATGGTTCAACTGGATCATTTTACAGCCTTGCCGCGTTTGAAATAGTTACATCAGAGAAACAGGGATAAATTTACTAGTATTCAATTATCTCGGTAGACACCGAAAAAAAAAGACTTAGGCTTGCCAGTGCCAGAATGGAATGTGGGTCCAGTAAGTGACTACATGTACATGACATGATTGCTGCGGTTGAAGCACATACATGTACAAACATACAAATCGGAGAACAGTACATTCAAACCCACTTGAAATATCGACAACGTGGAATAAATCTCATCTTCGTTCAATTGAACATATCCTCGCATTCCACTCCCATAAAGGCATCCATGGATATTCCCACGTAACCCTTTTGGGTTTGGCGCTATGCTGCGCCCCGCTTAGCTTCCCATTGAGTTTCCGAAATTTTGGAAGCCTTAGTGAGCAAGATGTTTCACAATTGTTCCCTAAACTTTACCCTGGATGGTTTCGAATCTGAGTCTGAAACTTGAGTATAGTATAGCTTCGTCGCAGAACTTGAGACGCATGATTCGCAGTCGCATTTTGAATTTTCTTGTTGCACCAGGGTATCGCATTATCAAGCTCGTGTTCTCAGCCAGCCATAAATGTGGAGTCCACGTGGCTAGATCACGATTCTGAGACACGATGCTTTTTGAGTTTCTACATTAGATAACCGAGGCCCCACCGTCGCCAGCCGATCATCAAGAAGGCATGATATGGGAATTGCTACAGTCCTGATGAAGTTCACCTCACCTTCTCGTTTCCAGGACTTGGGTCTTATCCGAAGTACATGACAGGAATCAGTATATTTTGCTATTGTGCTACCCATCTTCTGTATATATCAGCTTCAATTAGTAGCAAAACTGGTGGTAACGGCGTAGTATGGCACCTAGCTATTGGATACTCTCATGATTGGATTTGAGGATATCACGGCTTGATCGTGGGATCAACGCCTAAGGTGGCTCGTGATCAATATTATATTGGGATGGTAGCAGAATGTAGTTGTCTATCGACCGTTCTAGAGCTTGGGCCAAATTGCCAAGGTTTAAAAAGCCAGTTCAAGAGACAAGGCTTCTGTCAAGTGATCGTGAACACTGGTCACCACTTGACGGTTAAAGATGAAGCTCCTGGTCTTGAGGACCGGATTTCAAAGGATGGTCTATTGTACATACGAATCCTTCCAATTCCAATTGAATTCATTGGAACGAGTCGGTCATTTATGGCTGAGAAACAATCAAATATTTGTAGCCGGTCATTCAAGAAATTAAATCCACACGCATATACGTTTCATAAATTTTGGCTGGCATCGCATGGTTGCAACCGTATGAAGCTTTAGGTACAACCTACGGAGTAGTTATACATTTGACTCAATTAATATATTGTTGGATCATGCCTTTGTTCAGGGCTTTGTATGCTTGCAGATTGAGCGCTTCTTTGTTGGCTTCAGGGTATAAATCTCCTGCTATTGATAGATTGAATGAACAACGATTCTTCTCTCTCTTTCCCCTTAGTTAGTAGCCACAAGATATATAATAATATATTATCTTAAGATACTAAAAAATAGTGTTTTCATTCCGCTTCCGCCTGGTAGTCTATGGTAGTAACTAACCGCCACTCCTCTCCTGATAGATATCTCTCACGGGGATAATCTCGTCTTAATAAGGGTCGAGATCAATTTAAAAAGCGGGCATATGTGAAGAGGAGCACTCTATACATGATACAATGTGGAACTACTAATTGAGAAGGAGGATAGACTCTATCCGTTCTATTGACCCGATTGATCCTTTTTGTCGCAATTTTGGCAATATTATTCGGTTATTTGAGTTTGATGGAATGTGTCCTAGCTGAGAAAATTTTTGACCTGAAGAGCGCTATTTTGTTGTCTTTGGACATAAATTCACAGGGAGATACCACTGGGGAGAGAATAGGTAGGATGGCTTGGAAACGAGAGATCCTCAAATTTTACCAGCCGTTCAGTGTGACGTTTTTTTTTGATCAACATTCATTCGGTTTCTGACGATGTCTAGGTTCTTGAAATTCGTGATAACTAGTCATAAATGCGCATGTGTAAGTCTGGGTGCGACAAAGGGATAGGTTTTAGGCGGACGGGTTTGTCACCACAGGCTGGTCAACCATATACACACAACCAAACACAAACCAACATGATATTTATCACAATTGCTGGATCTAATCCTTTAGTATGATCTAGGTTCTAGAGACAGTTGATGATGCCCTGCCCTTGGCCAATAGTAGCACCACTCGCCGGTGAGACTCGAAACTCCATAGCAAAGCTTGGATTGACTTTTGACAAGTTAACCGGGGCCAATATTTTGTAATTAACGTGATTCAGACCATCAAGGTTGCAGTGAACCTTCGAATTTGGATTCTCGCAGAGACGGGTGTGGTGATGTTCTTCCGTGCGGCGGACTACTGAGTTCAGAGCCAGGGTTCCAGTGTTTCCGCAACTACTTCGAATTTTATTTTGTCCCAGATTAAAGACGGGTCTTTTCGCGCAATTGCAAGATTCTCGGGACCAGATATGTGGTGATTATGAGACCGTGTGCAGCGTTGACAGTCCACATTGGTGGGGTTTTTTGACCGGGCGTAATGTTGGAAGATATAATGCAGCTTGTTCGCTTTTGGTGTTTTTCTTATAGTCCTTAAATTCAATAGCAACAATGAGAGCCAGATAAAGCAACCGTCATATTCGTTGTTGGCATTAATACGGCAGTGCACGTGTTCAGTTCGACGAGAGACGATACAGAACCCCGGCTGCGAGACTAACTACAGTGTTGGCCTTTGACCCTGCAGGCTAACGGCGTTGGTGGGGATGAATAATTGGATAAAGTTGCGCAGTTAATCACGCTTATATTGGATATGTAGCTAGATGTGCAGAGGCGAGTTTGAGAGTGAAAGTTTGCGCCAGAGTGCCTGTGGCTAATGCCAATAAAAGGGAAGACACCCAGTTGGAATCGTGAATAAAAGAAGTCCTCATTTTGGTGAATTAATCCTGATTGCCTTTTAATACTAGACCGGGTATACGTTGGAGAGTGTAAAAGGCTAGAGGACGTTCCTAGCGAGTGTCGGGAAAAAAGACATTGAACGTAACTGATAAGCTCTTGTAGGAGGTTGAGGACAGAGACGGGTTGTAAAATGCCTTACATATGCGATATCACGTAAATGTAATGGTCGCCGACGGTATGACGGGTAGAAAGGCGGGATTTGTGTAAATATGAATGAATCTAAGTTCGTCTCTTCATATACCTACAGAGGATTTCAAAGTTGTGCCGAAGATCGCCGATGATGATTGACGGGGATTACGGCAAGGATAGGGAGAGAGCCGATGATATGACAATTCGAGACATGACGTGACTATAGGCTTATCAAGTTCCCATCCATTTCCAAAGGATTCGCAAAAGCTGATCCCGGCGGACTGGTTTCCCAATATAATCATTCATCCCCTTGGCGAGATACGTTTCTGCATCGCCTTTGAGTGCATTTGCCGTGAGCGCAATGATAGGCACGTCGATGTCCATGCTCCGGATCTGTGAGGTCGCTTCCAGTCCATCTAGAACTGGCATGCTGATATCCATGAGAACCACGTTGTACGACAAAGGCGTCTGCTTGATCAGTCGAACTGCCTCGGCTCCGTTCCAGGCTACATCAACGCGCCTGAAGCCAATGCTTCGAAGTAGTTTCAACATTACCGTGTTGTTGACAATGTTGTCTTCAACTAGTAGCATATGCTTGCTCGGTGCGAGCTCTCGTATTTTGCCCATGAGGTCCTCCGAGTCGTCGGTTATAGATGCTTTGGTCTTTTCGCCTGCAGGTGCCATGCCTTTGCAGTCCATTCTCGCGGTAAACCAAAACACACTGCCTTTGCCTTCTCGGTTGTGTCGGTACCCCACCGTGCCGTCCATAAGCTCTGCTAGACTCTTGCATATGGAAAGACCAAGTCCAGTGCCTTGATATCTCCGGGAAGTGGAATCGGCGAATCGTGTGAATGGAGTGAACAGAGTGTTGACAGCGCAGTCAGGGACCCCGACTCCTGTGTCGGTAATCTCCGTCGCGACTATGTACTTCTTCGGATCACGTTCGTCGACGGAAAAGGTTGTGGAAAGTCGAATATAGCCCGAATGCGTGAACTTCACCGCATTTCCAACTAGGTTCTGGACCACTTGGCGATACCGTAGAGGATCGCCATACATCACATTGGGGAAGTTCGGTGAAACAGACCAGGTCAGCTCAACTCCGGGCTCCAGGAGAGGCTTGCAGTTGCGCACGACAGCGCCAAAGATGCTCTCAATATTCACAACGTCAGAATTGAGGGAGAATGAACCTGAGGAGAGCTTCGAGTAGTCGAGGACATCGTTTATAATCTGGAGTAAGATCGACATAGAGTCATCGATAATCGCAGTGTACTCGCGTTGCTCTTCGGTAAGCTCCGTATCAGCCACCATCGTCAGCGCGAGCAGCATGCCGTTCATTGGGGTCCGAATCTCGTGGCTCATATTCGCCAAGAAGTCGGCCTTCATTTTTGACGACTCCTCGAAGGCCGCGATCATGCGTGCCTCACCCGCCTTCCGCTCCGTCAGGTCCCGCGTTACCTTGGCGAAACCAACATGACGGCCAAACTGGTAGACAGGCGTGATCATCACGTTGGCCCAAAATCGTGATCCATCGCGTCGGTACCGCCAGCCTTCATCTTCCAGTCGTCCTTTTCGTAGAGACTCAGCTAAACCCCTAGCTGGCCTTTTGTTACGACGGTCCTCGGGACTGTAGAAAATTGAAAAGTGCTTTCCGATAATTTCCGACGCCGAGTATCCCTTCAAAATGGCAGCACCAGAATTCCAGGTGGTGATGTTGCCTCTTATATCTAGCATGAAGATGGCATAGTCTTTGACAGTATCGACTAAGATCTTATAAGTTTCGTTCACGTAGGCGTGTTGGTTATCAGACGCCGCCCAGTGAGCCTTCGTAATATCGTGACCTTCCAACACGACGTATATTAACGATGATTCTTCCAACACTGGCGTTACCCGAAGCTGGTAGAATGACCTATTGTTTTCGAGCTGTATGCTTTCGATGATTTGAATTTCTTTCGAGGTTATGGCTGCGCGTAACGCTCCATAAAGAGTAGGGATATCCGGCGCAGGGATGGTGTGAGACGGAACTTCGCAGATGCAGGTGCCCATCAACGAATCCCTCGATTGACCCGAGAAGGCACAGTGGCTGTCTGAGACCTCCACAACACATAGACAAGCATCGAGGATGAGGGTAGGGACCGGGGTGTAGCGATATATTCGGCTCAAGGCAGCATCAAACATGGGGCGTTTGTCCTCAAGGTGTGACGAAACAATGTTCTTCTGTTTTTTATTCGAGTCACAGTTCAGTTCTGCGAGGTTGGGTTCCTCGTCTTCCAGTGGCGTCGCGACGATGGGGTTGTTGACAGACCTGTCCGCATCGTCTATGTTTATGTTTACGAGACAGTCGGTAGCCGCCATATTCGTCATTCGTTTTGAAAGGTCTGTGCGATGGCGATAGGATGAACGGAGTTGCCTGTTCGAAGAAACGTGAGGTCAAGTGAGGGATGATAGATGCAGCACACCAACAGTAGCATCTCTCTCCACATAAAAGAAATTTGAATATATCTAAAAAGAAAGCAGCCCTTTGTTCAATGACCTAGCTTGTGAGAATGTAAAAGATTCGATGAAGAGGGATGATGATGAGCCTGAGTGGTAGCATTTAAGGCAGATGGTGAACTGCAGGCCTGTATATATAAAAGATTTGGATCCTGGTAAAGCGGGGAAGAGACCGAACCTCGGATACTACAAGTCTTGGAATCCGCTTCTATTCGTTGTCTGATTGAATGGATACACCACCAAAGGTTGTATGACGCCTCAGTTTACCGTTGGTTTTATATAAAATTGGGCACAAGTTGTATACCAGAAAAGGACCTTGTGTGTCCAGAGACGGGTTTGATTATTATGGGTAATAACTTTCAGACTATGTACTGTGTATATATCATATTGTCAATGTCCTCAACCCCTACCAGCTGCTTTGGACGACCGTGGCAAGGCATAATATAATGGAAATAATATGACGTCACAACACTCTTCGCTGATAATCAAATATTTCCTTTGTTGCTTGGCCAGATCATCGTTTAGGTTATATTTTTATCCCACGCGATGTTGACAAATGGCTCTATCCTGCTCGCCTCTTTGGTTTTCGCTTGTATTCTCTAAAATCGCCATCGATATTGTGCCCTTGTTCTCCATTATCGCCCCTACTTGAATTTGGATCGAACCCTGCAGTAACAATGGTTACTCGCGGAATATGTTTAATCCGATTAAGATGCCATGCCAGAGGCTCGCGAGCTCTCGCGGTATTTTCAACGGTCAAATCCAATCGCATGAAATACAGCATGGCTTCCGTCTGGTAACGATTCAGCTAGTACTACAGCAGGGATAGTTACTACGGCTACTACTGCCAACACCTCAACCTGTACTAAATCCAGTCTTCAGCAGAACCGAAGGGCTGCGTAAAGAAAACAAGCGAGAAAAGACAATAATAACAGTATAATTGCAATGGTTGGTTAGTTCAGGAGAGAAAAGGACTATCTACAACTATAGGAAATAAACTATCAACAACGTAGACTCAGGACTTGGATGAATTTGGGAAATTAATGGGAAAAGCAGTAGTAGGGTTCAATGCTGAACTAATCGCTGGGGTCCGGAGACTCCAGCTCTTGGGTCATTTAAATACTACTGTGGGATCATGTGGCTCACCTAAGCAAGCCTGGGCCGACAGGGAAACTCCCTGTAGATCGTGGTCCCGCATGGACTGCGTGGCCCATCCTCGCAGGTCTGCGTAGACATGCGAGGCACATATCATCAGACCTGCTCAGTACTGTGGTCCTGACAGCGGTACTCAACGACGGGCTAGATTAAGAGATGCACAGAAACGCTGTAACCCGAATAACCCCCAATTTACATATTATAAATAGATTTAATGGCTTTAAAATAAAGATGCTTGAATACCTAAGATATACTACAATTACAACCAGAATTAAGTAAATGTAATACCTGAAACATACGCACGGTCCCAAAGAGATAGGGCGTCCGAGTCACAATCGTTCGGTGAGTGCTCGCCTAACCGCCCTAAGGTGAATGCGGACTCTTCGCGAGACATGGCTATTGCGAACTTATCGACGCGAGAAGACGGCAAAGAGCAAAATGCGATATGGTAGTAGCACCGTAGTCTGGACTCAAAGGATTGGCGCTGCTAGCTGGCTCGTTTGTGTTGTCGCTATGTTTATTAATGTAATACGGTGCTGGCTAGAAGTTACATAGCTCTTGACTTGATACTATGATATGAATGACGGAATGCATTCGCGACGCACCCCGCCAATTTAGTATGGTTTAGCAAATAATAATAGTGAAATAGCTTACAACGACGTCCAAATAGACTAGATGGTGTCAAAGAATAAGGGTTGACCGTATCCGCCGATCTTGACCAAGAGTCTTGACGTTGAACGGCAACTGGAACCCTGCTGTAACCTCGGTAGGTTAGCCCCGTTCAAATATTATATTAAGATTAAACAGATGCACGTGTTCCACTCCGTGCGTAAATACAGCCTTTCATTGGAGTCAAAACAATCCATTCAAGCCTAGATTTACTGATGACAGAAACCAGATCTTCTAATCAATACCTCTTCAGTAGTGGTGACGAACCGTCTTCCCAAAAGAAAGAAAGAAAAAAACAGACAAAGCAACCTCAGAGGAAAAGGACAAATCCGAGGAGCGATGGAGGACACTTTATAGGGAGACGCACGGAGATGCAGAAGCTTTGCTAATTACATAAATCGCAATGAATCAATGCAAGACGAGTCCACATTAGTCACTGTTTCACCCTTTTTATCAATCGTTCAGATCGTCTAAGTTCAGGGGAGACGCCGTCGCTATCTGAAAGTTTGCGTTTTGTTGATCCTCTGCCGCAAGAGCCATGCGGTGGTTCCTTCATAACACACTTATCGGTATCGTTTGGATGAGTTCGTGTATAACCAGTATAGGCCAGTCCGAGGGCTCATCTGGGATTAAGGCTTTGCAATATCAAGTTAGCGAAATCAATAATGCATCTAGAAGATCTCTCACTGAACGCATCGAGCACGTTGTTTGTAAAAATGCTCATACTGACTAGAGCGAGAAGAAGAGACGGAAAAAAGTACTCGTTGATTGATATAGGGCAAGACTTAGGACTGTAATTAAGATCAAAGACCTAATTCGATTCTTGACTACTATTATCGGGGAAATAGCGCGCGAGATATAGGACTTTATATCTCTCGTCTGGCCGATTACGCCTTATTCAACCTGTAGGGTGGGGCGGGCACCGTCGTCCAGGTCTCAACTTCAGACGACAACTAGTAGGATCGCTTCTAGACGAGGCCTATCTGCCAATCGTCTCTATGTCCAATACACAGTGTATAGTAATACCGCACGATTAATCAGCTTCTCGTTCATTTGATCCAATAATATCATAAAGCGCTGTTGCTATTTAGGGGAACTGCACTCCTACTCATCGTTCGCGCCTAGTAACATCACCACCGTTTCTATTAAGCTCTACTTGCCAGTCGTTCTGTGGCCTAGGATAGTAGACGAAACGCGTAGGATGGAGTAAGACAGAGACAAAGACCCCCTCATCATCTCCAGTCCGCGCGACGCAGATGTTATAGGAGTAAAATCTATTTTCGTGTCCGTCCGTCTCGTCCTATATACCAATCGATCATGAAGCCAAAGGGAATTTCGGTAAGAAGGCGCCTTTGTTGACAGGGGTCGGGGCTACGTAGATCTCCCGGCGGGTGACCGCGCGAAAAAGTAGTGTAGGTCGAAGAAATGGATCACCTTAGCTTTTCAGATCCGGAGGCCGCTCTAGAGTCTCGACATAGCCGTCGTGGAATTTTACGGTCATCGCGAAAGAATAAGATGTCACTATATTTGTCTCATGAACTCTCGCGGACTTAGCAGCTACCGATTGACGCGAATGAGTAGTACTGTACGATCCCGGTCTTCCTCGGTTCCAAAATGACACGAGCGCCATCAGCCAAGGTGGACAAGGCCCTCACCCGGCCTTTGCATCCCCAAGGCAGATTTGGAGCCCCGCTGCGCAGACGCGACTGTCCAGAAAGAGCGTAGGGTGAATGCCTCTAGATTCGCAGTAGTTTGACAATTAACCAACCCACCAGCATACGAGGCGACGGATCCGCAGGTCGGCGTAGCAGGCCAAAGGAGAAAGGAGAAGTGGGCGGGCTAAAAACAGCGAGAAGTTAAGGGGGCGATAGAAGGGACTATATAGAACCTCGCACGGGCATGCAAAGGGACCGGTGGCGCTAAACCGGAAGAGTCAACACTAAAACTAACAACCCAATTCATCGTACCCATCCGATATGGTGTAGTGGCTAACATCGCCGTCTCTCACACGGCAGCCGGGGGTTCGATTCCCCCTATCGGAGACCATCGTGAGATGTCTTTTTGAGCACGGAACCTCATGTACTTATCTTTTTACTCACGAGAAGCATATGTTTCGGGCAGGTTGTTGATATAGGACGCAATCCGCCCCTCCTGTAGTGTGCCCGAAGACATTTACCTCGCATGGCAACCACTGAAGGAATACTAACAAAATCCTAATCCGTGTGCTCCCGTAGTTACTGTTACGTTGTACCCAAACGCGCACATATAATCAATGAACCTTCTAAATCATCTTGCAAACTATACGAGAAACAGACAGATGAGATAATGGCAGAGCAAAGGTGGCACCTAGGATTTTCCTTGTTTGTAATAGTGATCAATTCTGCGAACAGATTGATACTAGGAAAGTAATGACAGTCTCTGATGTAAAAGTATTATTGAACAATTCAACTGCAGTCTGAAAATAAATTTCCGGCCAGCGAAGAGAGAAATTAGGTTAAACAGACTAATTCGATGTTATGAGCGGACAAGCCAACCAACCTTTGCCAGACTTTGCAGACCGAAAGGGGTTAATCCTTTAGGCAGTGCAAACGACATTTTGGCCACTCTATTTTAGATATTAGCCCCTCGCCCCTCTATATTAGATCAAAGTCCAGAGAAGTTTAAGCTTACCGGGATCTGGCCACCATCGCAGCAAAGGAAATTCTTACCCGCAGGGCAGGTGTAGGTTCCACTAACCGGAGCCGGGGCTAATACCCATATTAATAGATATTCTTTTTTCAATATATACTCAGTAATGGCTCACCTGGGGCACAACCCGACCCAACTTTTCGAATGAAGAGTAAGTTGAAGTCGAATGCTTGAGTACAGCAATACACCTGGGTGGGTTTGGAACATGTTCCAGTGAGTGCTCTCGATTCAAGATCTCCAGTTGGATTAGCAGTGGCTACGCCGGTCAGAGCAAGAGCGGTAAGGATATTCTTCATAAGCATGTTGATAGGTGTTAGATATGAAATAAGTATTCAATATAGTATGAGTTAACCAGGAAAGAATGGGAGATATCCTCAACGTTTAAGTAGATAAATTGGCACCTTAACACATTAGCTAGAACCTATCTATTTTCTTACCATTCACTCGATGATCTCAACCGGTGCGTCTAGATCAAGAGATGACACACCTGACAGAATCAATCTGAAGGGTGGCAAACAAAAGAAAACAAGCAAGTGGAGAAAACACAGGCAAAACTTAAATGGATCTAAATTCATCAACCAGTTATCAATGCGATGGGGAGAAATACCTTACAACTTTTACACCATCAGCTGAACATAGATACATTATTTTTGTACAGCTTATAACGTAAACTCTTGCTAGAAAAATAGTATATCCAGAGGAGTACCGATCAAAAAAAAGAAAGTAAAAAAAAGGAAGGGTCGGAAATACTGCAGTAAAACAGCACGCTGGATTGAAAACATTCACTGATAGCCCAATCAAATCCTTTGGGTGATTTAATTGGGGTCATAACCCTGATTCACTGTCGATTTCATACAAGTGCAAAGTATAACCTATGGTTCGTGTAGAGCTAGGTCTAGATCGACAGTTGAATAGTCAAGGAAAGCAAAACGAAGCTTCAATTTTGGTAAAGATTATGTGGTAGGTGATGAAGTTATGATCATTGTCGAGATAACCTCAATTTTCCACCCATGTCATGATCTACCTAGATCCCAGAAAACACGAGGGAGGGCGAAAGGAAGTGATAAAATTATGATGAGGCCAAGCCGAATCAGAAGGTTGCGGAGTTTAGTGGATAGATGTAATTGCACCTGTGGAACCCCCGGGGCCCCACCCCCATAAGTTTATTGAAGAAACGGTGGAGATGGTTCGTCTAAAGAACAGGGTAAAATCCGCTACATCCGCTACCTTAATCTATCAGAATGTCCGCGGAGACCCTTGGACGAGCGTAAGCCATCCATCCTCTGAACCATGTTCAGATAATCAAAAGTTAGTATACTAATTTGGTTCTAGGTGCAAGTAGAGTATAGTCCGTTCAACCTAGACATTAAGAATCCGGCGATCGATCTGCCACCTATTCACCGTTACATACCGAGGTTACCCATACATTGTCATACCGCCACATTTACTGTCATTTTTCGACAAGCCATAATATTACATAATATGGGGGTGGGGCCTCTGGGGTTCGTCCCACAGGTGCAAATTACTTCTATCCACTGAACCCCGTGACCTTCTGATTCGGCTTGGCCTCATCATAATTTTATCACTTCCTTTCGCCCTAGTGTTTTCTGGAATCTAGATATCATGCAGTGGCAGTAATGCAAATGGATAGAGTCAACTCCTAGCTTCTATGACTTAGGTTGCACCCCTTCTAAACATACGAGAGATCATTGCGCACGATCTAGGTCTGGCCACCATCCTCAGATGTTACAGCGAAGTTGCTAGAGAGGAATATGTCATAGCGACAGCCAGTGCGAGCAAACAATTTCCCCAGGATCTCCTCATTGTCACCGTAGCAATCAGCCGAGTCCCAGTGTGCACTTCAACATTCTCGAGCAATGCTAGTATATATATATTTTTCCGGCCGATAATGTCTCTAGAGATTTAGTCTTAAATGACGACAATTTCCAAATACCAGTGTCATTTAGATAGGATAGATGAAGAATGGGTTCTCCATATCAGTCATATCCAACATGGCAATTTCGACTTGCCTGCGTATCATATTTCCATTTTCATCAAGCTCCTCGACTACTCCCAATTCGTGAGCCTTTCTCTCTTCACTGGTCAAGGATGCAGCCCAAGCCTCCCGTTGATCGTTCCTACGTTTCAAGATGAATTGTATAATGAAAAGAATCAATGGTGTCCCCACCCAGCTGACCACAATCATGGAGATCCAGGCACCGTAATAGCGAGGTGCGTCCTTAGGAACCCATATTTGTGGCGAGCAAATGTTTGCAATGGAATAACCAACCATGAACATAACATTTCGGGTGAGCTTCTTTGTGTAGCCGGCTGCAGATGATGTAGTCCAACCCAACGCGATAATGTAGGTATTACCATAGGTGTGGCCTGCTAACAACAGACAAGCCAGCATCCCTAGCTTCTGGTCCCAGTCAATAGCAACCATCCCAATTCCACCTGCAATTGCAGGGATACACCAGAAGAGTCCATGGAGGGCAAGGTTTGAAGGCCACCACCGCAGGGCATAGGCTCCTGCCAGACAAACCAGGACACCGAAACCGCCGCCGGCTGCTGCCACGAGAGTCGAACCCAAACTGTCCACTCCAAGGGCTTTTGTAATGAGGTTCTGTTGTCCGTAGGTGAGATTATTGGACATCATCAAGGTGAAGGCTTGCAGAGTAAATAGCCATGAGATGGGATCGCGGAGCGTCTCCTTAAACTGGCTTTTCTTGAACTGCTTCTGTTCAATGGAGCTTTGACTGGACTCGTGTACTCGTTTGATAGTGTGGATTCTCTCCTCCAGTGACAGGAATTTAGCCTCAGCTGGGTTGTTCGGATACTGAAACCAAACAAGAACAGAAAGAAGTACTGAGACACCCCCGGTAATAATCATGAAGAGCTTCCATGGCAGGATGGCGCTATGACTCCAAAGCAAACCATAGGAGATGAACGCGGCACATATAGGGGCGGCTGCCGATGTCAACCAAAGGAAGGGCTGGAGAAACGACTGTTCGTAACGATTAAAGAACATTCCAATTGTGACTTCCATTGCAGGCACAACGACAGATTCAGCGGCACCGAGCGCCAGTCGCAGAACCACAAGAGCGGCATAAGTTGTGGCAACGCAATGAAGAAGCAGGATGACACCCCACATGAAGACAAGAGCGGCGACAAATTTTCCAAATGGTAGCTTTTGCATAGCATAATGTCCGGGCCATTGTGCAACAATGTAACCTACAGCAGTGTTAGGGAAGGTGGATATAATCGAAGAAACAATCCATGGATACTCTCACGTACCAACGTAGAAGAAAGTTCCTAGATTGTTGTATTGGGCCTTGCTGATGCCTGTCTCTTCGAACAGGCCGAGAATAGCGGCATAACCCAGGGTAGATTTGTCGATCTAGAAAAGTTAGAGGTTGCAGACAAGAGGTTTCAATATCGAGCTCACAAAGAGCAGTAGGTTGATGGCGGAGAGTAGCCCGAAAATACGCCAGTACAATTTGCGTCTTAGCTTTTTCTCCTTCTCCGCCGTCAATGGACCAACAGAGTCTCCATGAAGCTCAAGAATGCGCAGAGTTTCATCAGCGTATTTGGTGTCGATAGCTCTCTCGTTCTTAGGTGATGGACTCTCCGTGGCCGTAGGCTCAGCTTTGAAGGCCAAATCCATCCCTGCGTGCAGCTTGTTTCTTGGCGGCAATGAAAAGAGGCGTGCACCGTCAGCTCAAGTCTTTGAATGAATAGGCACTCAGGAAGTAAGAGTGAATGAGCTGAGTGAGCTATTTTGTATATTTTGGCGTACGCAAAAATTTCATCACGCCATAATTTGCATAAAAAACGTATCAATCTGTTTCTTGGCTCTAGAAATGTGGTTGATTAATACGAGACCTTAAAATTATCGTTGTGAAGACTCCGAGTCACATGAGTCCCCAGTTATGCTCCTCCGGTCATAATCAAATTTCTCCAGTAGCAAGGATTTGACAGGGGGCATGTGAAGCAAGTAGACAAGAATGAGCAACATCCATTGTTTTCTTTTTGCCTCAGGCACTAAACTCTAAATAGGGGCCGGTGTGGGGATCGGCCGAATCCCCCGGGCTGGTTCCCGTCGTCAACCAATGTTGATACTGCGGTGGCCTATATCGGCCTCATCAGGTTCCACATATCCAGAGACCTCCGAATCTTTTCCAGATCCATTCTAGGGCCCCGATAGGTGTATTCAGAATCCTTCCTTCGAGGTACCTCGTTCGACTTCACGATTGGCCGTCCGTCCGAGTGAAGCGCCTCAGGGTCTAGCGATTTTGTCTGCATGATTCGCATGGAGCGAAGCGGACGGAGAGAGAAAGGGGGAGAGATAGTGGAGGGAGGATCTAACTAACTACATGTTCTGTCCCATTGAGACCTAACCCCCTATGGGGCCTGAGGCCACAAAACATACCTAGGTACATCTCTTCAAGACGTCGCTCGCACTCATCCCAACAACACATGACGTGATAGGTAGCAAGACAACCCCCCACAATATCTAATAACACACCATCGTTGCACGAAATGGCATGGTTTGAGCCAACCCAACTTCGTGCATCTACGTCTGACACCAGCCCCAGCCAAGCTTCTTCCTTTCGCCATTTAGCTGGCTATTACGTGCCAGATCTACTTTGGCTGGAAAGAATGGTACTACCATAAACATTCGGAGTTGATTTATCTTGCGATGCAAATTTCAGCTAGGCAAACCTCCAAACACCCCCTACCGGTACAGATATACTGACAGACATCTTTGATTGAATACAATTATTCTGCGATACTTAACCGCATGATTCACCGATACAAAGCTTTCAACTCCGGCAGCGATTATGGAGACCCAGTCATTGCGCGATACTTTCCCCACTTGTAGTGCATAAGAGTTACAGGCTACATGCTTTTGACAAGAATATTATACATATACCTGGGCACCAGATGACGAATTATTTTTGCGTTTCTGCTTACCATGACGCCTTCTACGTCAAGGTCGGAATCCGAATGGTCGGTCTTCCATTCGTCCCACTACTACTTTGGTAGTAACATTCGCCCCTCCGATGTTGAAATCGTTATGCTCCACAAACAAAACGTTACCTGCACTCCAATTGAAATCCTGAGCGTTGTATTGGACAACAGCTCCGGGCATGCGATAAGGAAAGACAAAAGGTGCAGCGCCGTGATATATAGATGGCCGATGCGGTGCGGCTTTTATTTTCCTTCTCAAGCATATAATATAAACCATCCTATCAACCTACGGGAGTCTTGACACTCACCACTTTGCTTTTTCTGCCGTTCTTTTCGCAAGGAACCTTCTCAGACCTTCCTGAGTTCGAGAGGTCTTGACAATTGTTCGCAATGGGTTGGCGGCGATCCTTTAGCAAACGTCCTGCTGCGTTCAGCACTGTGGCCGAAGGCCAGACGGAGCAGATTTCAACTGCTGGCGGGAAGTACATCGGCGAGACAGGAGGCAATGATGCGGCAACAACGTACCAAGACGCATCTGGCGCTCCAGTTGAGAACAACTCTCCGTTGGGATACTCTGTCGGCCCCGTCACAATTACCTTGCTGAACATCACAATGATGATCGGCGCCGGTATTTACTCCACGCGTGAGTGTGACACAACCCATGCATATCCAGAAATACCGGCTAATATGACGAAGCTTCCTCTATCCTGTCCGGTACAGGCTCGGTCGGCGTCAGTCTCATTTATTGGACCCTCGGTTACTTGGTATGTCTCACCCATGATTGGAAAGCAGCATCGACTGATCATTTTTATTCCATCCTAGATATGTCTCACGTCTGGAGCTGTATACCTTGAGTTTACGGCATACTTCCCTAGTCGATCGGGTTCAGAAGTCGTTTTCCTCGAACAAGCTTACCCTAATCCAAAATGGCTTTTTCCAACCACCTTTGCGGTTCAAAGTGTCATTCTTTCGTTTGGAAGTGCCAATGCTACAGGTGAGTGGCTGGTCGCATTTCATTTGTTGCAAGGCATTAATTAACAAACCATCACAGTCATGGCCAAGTATCTTATTGCCATCTCCGGGCACACGGGCACCGACTGGCAAATCAAAGGCACAGCTCTAGCCTGCTATAGTCTTGCTACCTTGAGTAAGTTGCTCTTAATGCATCACTTTGTTTGAACCTAGGATGCTGACAACCTGCAGCATTGGTGTTCAACACGAAATACGCATATTGGTTCTCAAATGCTGTTGGGATTGTGAAGATTTGCACTCTTCTCTTCGTTATAGTCACTGGCTTCGTTGTTTTAGGGGGCAAGACCAAGGTTGAGAACCCTACGGCAAATTTCCAAGACGCGTGGTCAGGTAGCTCTACAGCTTCTGCATACGGATTTACTACCGCCTTGTACCGTATCATTTTCTCCTATGGAGGTTATAATAATGCCTTCAATGTTGCCAACGAGGTCAAGGTATGGCGGATTGGGATTCATGTGGCACGGGGCTGAGACTGACATTTCTGTTGATAGAATCCCGTCAGGTCACTCAAAATCTACGCCACCACTGCTCTAACGACGGTTTATGTGTTATACATGTTTGCTAACATAGCGTTCTTTGCTGCTGGTTAGTTACCAATACCCCATCCTATGCTAGGATCACCACACTAATTTTATATGATTTCACAGTCCCCAAGGAGGAGATAGAGAGCTCTGACCTAACGACTGCAAGTCTATTTTTTAAGAAGGTCTTCGGCGACAGCGGTGCAGTTCGGGGCCTCAACTTCCTCATTGCCTTGGCTTCCTTCGGTAACATGATAGCCGTGATTATTGGCCTATCTCGGCGGATTAGAGAATGTGGCCGACAGGGAGTTCTACCTTGGACGACTTTCTGGGTCTCGACTAAGCCCTTCGGCACGACCTTAGGCCCATACGCCGTTATTTGGTTTCTGACCGCGCTGATGATCCTAGCTGTCCCTGCTGGAGACGCTTTCACTTTTGGTATGTTTTCCTTTCTCTTTTCCCCCGTCAGAAGCCGGCCGCGCGTTCTTGCAATGCTAATATTGAATAGTCAACGATTTGAACATCATCCCTTCTGCTGCCTTTAACCTTGCAATGGCCCTTGGTATCTACGTTGTTCGCTGGCGTCGAAGTAAAGCCAATCTCCCCGAACCCGAATTCAAGGCCTGGAATTTCGTGATTCTCTTCAATATTCTCATCCAGCTCTACCTGCTTGTCATGCCCTGGTATCCACCCATCGGTGGCCAGTATGCTGGTGATGTCAGCTTCTGGTATGCAACGTATGCCGTGACGGGAATTGGAATGTAAGTCAACGAAACTTCGCCTACGCGTCTTTACTGCTACTAGTCTACTCTTACTGACGAAAATACCTAGTCTTCTTGCTTGTGCCACCTATTACTACGTCTGGGCCTTCCTTATTCCCAAATGGAGGGGCTACAAACTGCGACAGGAACTTCTCAGCCTAGACGGCGGGGTTCAAAGCAACCGGCTTAAAAAGGTCCCTAACTCCGAGGTCGCGGAATGGGATGCGATGCATGATGCGGCTGGCCGTCTCATCGAGTCCCCGGTTCACGTTCAGATTCGGCCAAAAGACAGCGATGAGACGCTCTAGGAGTGCTGGAGGATTCTATCGGTAGCTTCTGCCTATTGACTTGTTGGGTTGCTTGCATGTTTATAGGATTATGAGCGGAGAGGGAGACCTATATAAATACTCCGACCCTACTGGTTGCTTCCCTCCTTTCTCTTTCCCCTTCTCCTTAGGATAGAGCGATCCTGGCCAATGTAGTAGTATAAATAAAATGGGTTACAACGAGGCGAAAATCTACGCTTCAAAGGGTTTAGTTGATAGAGACTTTTCTCGAAACGAAGCGGCATATACTCCTGCACCAACCTCTCTAGACACAAACCCGACCTAACCCGGTAACTCTGAAATTATTTACGGAGGAGTATATTATAACAACAACGAAAGATCTTCTATTATATAAGTCTGCCTATCTGAACTTTATTATTTTCACTTGGAGACAGGAGGGAGAAACCCCTCTCTCCCTCCAAATCAAGACATCTTGAATAGAAGACAAAGCTATTAATTCCTATTATAATCTATTCCAATGTCTTCTAATGTCTTCAAGTTTATTAGGATAGACTTGAAAATTAAATGTGACAATGATCACAATGGTAATAGTAAGGGGCGTATTATCTTCCACGGCGTGTTAAGAGACATAGATGATCTACCGACATATCTGTGTAGCCTCCCTAACTGCAGCCTCAGCCAGGGATCGATACTCGGCGCAGTCCTTCAAAAGTCCCTCGATCCCTTCATTGGGTGTCCCAAGGACCAAGGATGACACAAATGCTTCCACTTGCATGATAAGCCTGATGTGATATGTGCGCGAGGTGTCCCATGGATTCCGAACAATGGTAGAGGACAGTGTTTTGGATGCGAGAATAGGATAATAGATCATGATCCTTGCTTATATTAGCCACAGAACAAGGAAGCAAAAGAACAGATGTGTTTAATCTGAGGTATCACGTACCCTATGACGATGATATTAGATTTCGGGATATATTTGGTCAGGTTAATCGACGCTGTTGCAGCTTTCGTGCACAGAGATTCCGATGTGAATACAACTGGGCTGGGTAGAGTGTAGACACTGTTCCTTTCGACTAGATCCATACCTAGCCTGGACCCCCGGGCCGCAGTTACCCGATGGATAGCGATCAGACAGTTGAAGTATGATAAATGCATAAAAAGAAGGACCGTAGCTATCGGTGACTGTGGAAAAGCGGCGGGTCGAAATTCGGTGGGAACACTATCCTTCCACTGTTGGAGCTTTTCGTTCAACATCGCAACCGTGGCGGCGACTTCAACAAGCGGGCGATCTGCTGCTGCGACCGAATAGAGGTGTTTGTGTACTTGGCTCTTGATTAAGGCCAGTTCACAGGTCGATCTGAACGCGTTGAAGGTCCCTTGTTGGTCTGTTGTTGACATGATTCCTATGTTATCCAGTGGAACTTCCATTGGTAATAAGACATCCATATCATCGTCGTGTTGCGCTAGTGGAATACCAGCCCGGAGGGATATCCTAGGGCAGGTCAGTCTGGGCTTGAGATGTCAATATTATCATGTTTCCTACTCTTTGTCAAAACAGTATGCAATCCAAAAGATCCGCCTCCGTTGTTCTAGTTCTTCAGGACACAGTCCAGACCCATTCTCACTTCGTTCCAATCGAATCTGATGGCATATTTGCATAACGGAGGAAATTAAATACCCACAAGGCTGGCTGCTCACTGTCCCCAATAGAAAGACGATCTATAAAGAAAGTACTGTTAGTCAGATTTCCCCTCAAGGCAGTTGATCGCCTTACCATCCCTAAGAGCGCTTGTACGGTCCATAGATCTGGTAACCCGAAGCAGAGCTCATTCAAAACGCCCAAGGCATTCTTCATGAACAACCAGCTCTTCTGATGGTAAATCTGCACAAGAGAGCTATTCTCTATGCGCAGCATATACCCTATCGCTAAAACAACATTGAGGCTCGCCCAACGACCGGGGAAATTGAATATGCTCTGTAAGTTGTCGTCATCGCAAAGTGACAATAGCGCCGACGGTCGAAATATGGGACACATTGAGTTGAACTGCTGCAAATAGTCATCGACCAACGATGCGATCTCATCTTTCGGGGGCAATGGACAGAAAGGTTTGTCGGGCAATAAACCCTCAAGTAGGCCTCGATTGGTTCCATGGGGGATACCTAATGAAAAGAAGGATTCTAAATTGTCAACGGATGCCCCTTCCATTTTATCAGTTATCCATTTTGTTCCTTCAGGAGATAGGGCTGAGAAGCCTATACGGACCAATAATCAGCGTTTATCAGCCATGAAATCGGCTATGGTTCTCACCAGGGTTTGGTGTATCCGTGAAACACCTTGGAACATTGAAGCAGGGCAGATGCTCCGGAATTACAGTGCGGATTTCATCCAAGCCTGGGTTGACTAGCGTATGGTATAACTTCTGCGTAGCAGCAGAGTGGTCTTGTTCAGCGTCCACGAGTATTGGTTCCGAATTCCAAATACCCGCGTCTGCTATTAGATCGTCATTTTCAGCTGCACTCGACGATAGGAATTCACCTGACTGCTCAAGCTGCTCGATAAAGAATGACCCGTTCACGTCGTCACCCAGGTCAAGCCCAATGTTCTGAAAATGAGCCTCCATGCGCTGGATATTTGTCTCCAGGCGATCGATCATACTCAGGCTGTTCGATTGTTATTCATTACTGACGAATTATAATATCGACTGTGGTGTCGTACTTCTGCAAGTGCCTTTGCCGCCTATAATCAACCAGAGAACAAGGAACGTTGGCTTTGCTGCAGTACGAGCATTTAGACTTGGTGGTAATCTCGCATTTTATTTTCCTGTGTCGACAAGTGTCGCATGCCTAATGATATTATTAGTACATGACTTTATTTGTGTTTGTGGAGTCCAACTTTTCTCTTCCGCTGTCTTTTCCTTGGGTGTCCGTTTTCTGGCCTTGGGAGTTGGGATAAATGGCGCAATGCAGAGTTGCCGCGGGCTTGGCTATCGAGCACTCCATTCATTTTGAATGTTCGCGAGTTGTAACAAGTAATATGGGAGTTGTTCTCCGAGATTGGAGGCACAACGTTGAAACCCTTGGTGTGTATTCACAAACACAAATCCACAGGTGGTATGTCTGAAGAGAGATGCGAAGCATCAGAATGGAAAACAAAGCGAGCGGTCACATAATTGTGACTAAGCACTCACCTACACCCTTTCCCGGTGTAGGTGAGCCCACACCTATTAACAAACCCATACCTGTTAACAAAAAAATCAACATTTCAATTTTAAACCTATTTTTCAGCCACCATACCATCTGGATCTACATATCTAAATAGCTCACTATTAACATCAAGATAATCTCTATCCCCTGATGCCTCTTCTTTTTCTTTGAGAGCCTGATTCGCGCGATGCCAGTAGTCTCGAATCCTTGCGTTCCCAGCCTCATGCCGAATATCCAATTTAGATTCCTTCGTACATCGCCGATACACCTTCGAATTGCCTGCAATTGATGATAATGGACTCTTAGCAGCACCTTTTACCATGCGCTTAGATTTTTTGATAGGAATTTTGTGGCTTTGCATCCTTTTTATCGTTTGTTTTGCAAGTGCTAGGTCTTGGATAGCCTGCTTACCACCACGAATTGCACGGTCTATATGCTTTTGAAGCTTTGGAAGGTCTGGTTCATCGTTCTCGAGTATCAATTGAACCTTATTCTCAACCTTTGAGAATCTTTGATCTGAATTAGGCGGCGAATTCGTTGCCGAACTGGGAAATTCACGGTCTGGTGACGGCGTATGACCATATATCTCAAGGACTGGTTCATCTTCCCAGCCAGGATCAATTTGATCACAAACAATATGTAAATCATAAGGCCAAAGACCTGTATCTCGAAATGATGATTTAATAGTCTGTGCCTTAAAGGTGTCTTTGCGAACTGTTTTGATCATTCGAAGAAAATGTCGTTTATCATCAACATCTCCACCCCATCGTACAATCTCATTGTTCTTTTTTCGGAATTTTTGTTTAAGAACTGAGAATGGCTTGCCATCAAGAGGCTGGCATCGATGTGTTAACTTTGGTATAAACCACCAAGGTATAATGTTGAAGCTTTGGCAAATATGTTCGAATTCCGGGGTTCCATGAGACCCATGATTATCCATAACCAAAATCCTAGGTCTGCCTTTAGCGACTCGCTTTTTAGTGGCATAATGGAAATCTAATAGCCATTGAATAGCAGTTTTATCATCCGTCCAGCCTTTAGCAGTTGGTTTAATAACCCTATAGTTGGTAGGATCATCATCGCCATCGAACCAATCTTCCATTTGTTCGGAACCACGCATTAAAAACCATGGATGCATAACCCAGCCATCGGCAGAGATGCATTCAATGCCGGTAATATTCTGGCCTATTCCACCGGTCGCAATAGTCTCATATTTACGGGTGGAAGCAACATTTTCCTTGGTTCCAATACCAAGCTGAAAGCCAGTCTCATCCCAGTTGTATAGTTCATGGGCCTGGATTTTATTCTTTTTAAGAAACTGGCCAAAAACCTGGTACCAATGAACTAAATCACTGTGTAATTCAGCTTCAATCCTTGCTTTTTCCATTGGTTTTTGTGTGCGTAGAGTAATATGGGGTGGTAGGCGTTGAATGAATTGATAGCCGTACATTTTGCCAACCTGCCGGTCGGAACCACAATGTTGTAAAAGACGATTCGCAGCACCCTCAATATCGATAGCAGTTGGCGGTGTATATACTGAATTAAGGTGCTCAATCCAGCGAATAAGAGAGGCCTCTTGTGAGGAATTTAGGGCCTTTTTGGTAGCTGCACGGCCTTTTCCATTTGTTCTACCGTCCTTTCGGTTTCGAAGCTTCCACTTTGAGACGCCAAAATGAGAGGCTGCGGCCTGAATACTAGTAAATTGGCCTGATTTATAGGATTCGAGGGCATTTGAGAGAAGAATCTCTTCTTTTTCGGAGGAATTCGGCATGGTTTTGATGGTAAAAAATAGGTTTAAAATTGAAATGTTGATTTTTTTGTTAACAGGTATGGGTTTGTTAATAGGTGTGGGCTCACCTACACCGGGAAAGGGTGTAGGTGAGTGCTTAGTCACAATTAACTGCATAAGATTATGGTGGCAAACCGTGCAAATTGTGCAAAGTATGCAAATTGTGGAACGCTTCCCCAGATAAAGTGTGCTCTGACCCAAGGTTGTCCACGGGTTACGGGAATGACTAAGCTGATTCGGGATCGCTTAGATCCGATACCCCGATATCAAGTCCCTATGTATTCCTATTCCAGCATGTATTCACGCACGCGATGTTTGGGATCCATTGCAGACAAGGCAGCATTTGTTAGGTAGAGCCTGACCAATACATAGTTATTTTTTATCACTTTCTCAACCTCAAGTGCTGTTTAGGTGTAGTCCTGGCATGATCTTAGTAGTAGAATCCATCGGATGCCGGATGTTCTTTAGTCGGTAAATACCGCGTATTGAGACGTATTGAGACGATATGCCAAGGCCGGGGCCCTAACCCGAGACTCACTTTCGACTTTTCGACTCTCTCCACCTAGACCTCTAAAGGGTTCTTGTTCGGAAAAAAAAATTGGGGCATCATAAAAATGAGCCCCGTTTCGGGATGCGGAAGTACGAGAGCAAACTGCAATAGCCCGGACACATGCCTGGCTATCGGATTTAATTATCCAGGGTCTAACCTATGTCGGTACTCCGGAGGTTCTTCTATCACAGCTACATATCTGTTCACAAAAGATGATTACTCCTAACCTGGCCGGATCTGTCGGCATGCCAATTGATTCTTGGTTTGTTCGCTGGTGTCATTTTGTCTGTGGATTTGGAGATAAACTTATATATGCCGAGCTCCCAGACTGCTTGCGGTCTGCTATGGTTGACTAGGACACAGATTCTTTTGTCGACAGCTTTCTCGACCTCTTATCAATTAAATTTTTTCACATTTTTATATTTAGTTTCAGTGTTGTGTTTATTTTGTTGCTGTCGTGTCATTCTGTTCCCTCTAGCGCAAGCACCCAGCGATACAACAATCCTACCTAAGTCTATGTCACCCTAGACTTAAAAGGTTGATATCGAAACCAAGATGTCGCTCTTGGGGACATTCAACCCGAATCCCGCTCGATCCCAGTCCGTGGTCAGCCACAATTCAACGCAGCTCCCGGCTGAGCACGATCTTGACATGGTTCCCGATCCAGAAAAGAATGACGATGAAGACACTGCGCAGGAGGAGGAAGAAAATAGAGAGGTGCTGGTTGGCCGACTAGCACGACAACTCACCCGTCAATCTACTCGATTCTCTGCGAACGGTCCATTGGACAATCCGTTCACTAATGGAGACTCCGACTCCTCGCTCAATCCCAATAGTCCCAAGTTCAAGGTGCGGGACTGGATGAAGATGTTGCTGGCTATCCGGTCTCGCAGTCCCGACAAATACCCAGATCGGACTGCTGGTATTTCGTTCAAGAATTTGAGCGTCCACGGATTTGGTTCTCCCACTGATTATCAGAAGGACGTCCTGAACTCGATCCTGGAGCTTGGGACCATGGTCCGCCGACTGCTTGGCCTGAAGCTCCAAAGAATTCAGATTCTTCGTGATTTCGATGGTCTCGTCAAGAGCGGAGAAACATTGGTCGTCCTGGGAAAGCCAGGTAGTGGTTGTTCCACTTTACTCAAGACCATTGCCGGCGAAATGAATGGCATTGAGATGTCGGAGGAGTCGGTTCTCAACTATCAGGGTAAGTCTATTGCTACACCATGCTATATAGCTTTGCTTTGCTGGAGAAGTTCTGACACATACCAATGGATTTAGGTATCTCTGCAAAGGACATGCAAAATTCCTTCAAAGGCGAGGCAATCTACGCAGCAGAGACCGATGTCCACTTCCCCCAACTCTCCGTCGGCGATACACTCATGTTCGCGGCATTGGCGAGAGCCCCCGAAACCGCCTTGAGGGGGTGGAAACCAAGCAATACGCCGAACATATGAGAGATGTGGTCATGGCCATGCTTGGCCTTTCCCATACGATCAACACCCGGGTTGGGAATGACTTCATCCGCGGTGTCAGTGGAGGCGAGAGGAAACGCGTTAGTATTGCAGAAGCTACTCTCAGTCAGAGCCCCCTGCAGTGCTGGGACAATAGTACGAGAGGCCTTGATAGCGCAAATGCGCTTGAATTTTGCCGAAATCTTGCTCTTATGAGTAAATATTCTGGAACAACAGCGTGTGTTGCCATCTACCAAGCATCACAGAATGCTTATGATGTTTTTGACAAGGTCACCTTGCTTTATGAAGGAAGGCAGATCTACTTCGGACCAGCCACCGAGGCCAGGAAATACTTTGAAGATATGGGCTATGAGTGCCCAGATCGTCAAACCACGGCAGACTTTTTAACGTCGATCACCAGCTCTTCGGAACGCGTGGTCCGGAGTGGGTTTGAGAACCGTGCTATTCCTCGCACTCCTGACGAATTCGCGGCAGCATGGAAGAGAAGCGACGCGCGTGCCAAACTTCTCATTGAAATCGAGGAGTACGAGAGAAATTATCCTATCAAAGGTAGCTCATACGATGCATTTGTCGATGCCCGTAGGGCCATCCAAGACAAGCACCAGAGGGTGAAATCGCCATACACTATATCGGTACGGAAACAAATTTCCCTCTGTGTGACCCGTGGCTTTCAGCGCCTTCGTGGAGACTATAGCTTAACAGCGACAGCTTTGGTTGGAAACTTCATAATGGCTCTGATAATTGGCTCGGTCTTTGTGAACCTGCCCAAGGATACCTCCAGCTTCTACTCTCGGGGAGCTCTTTTGTTTTTTGCCGTTCTCCTGAATGCTTTCTCCAGCGCACTGGAAATCTTGACCCTGTACGCCCAACGTCCAATTGTTGAGAAGCAAGCCAGATATGCCTTCTACCACCCCTTCGCCGAGGCACTTGCATCGATGCTGTGCGATACACCGTACAAACTGATCAACTCATTCACCTTCAATATACCATTGTACTTTATGACCGACCTACGTCGCGAGGCCGGGGCGTTCTTTACATTTTGGCTATTTTCGATTATCACCACGTTCACAATGTCAATGATATTCAGAACAATTGCGGCATCTTCCCGATCCCTCTCACAGGCATTGGTCCCAGCTGCCATTTTGATCTTGGGTATGGTGATCTATACTGGATTCGTTATCCCCACGCGCAATATGCTTGGGTGGTCCCGCTGGATGAACTATATCAATCCCGTTGCCTACGCGTTTGAAAGTTTTATGGTCAATGAATTCCAGAATCGTTATTTCGAATGCGCTGCTGTTGTTCCATCTGGTGGTGAATACGACAATGTCTCAATGGACCATCGCATCTGCTCGACTGTTGGTGCTCAGTCAGGGTCCACCAATGTGTCCGGATCACTGTATCTCAGCCAGAGCTTCGGGTATCTTAAGGGACATTTGTGGAGAAACTTTGGAATCCTCATCGCCTTCCTAATATTCTTCATGTTCACCTATCTGCTTGGTACTGAGTACATTTCCGAGAAAAAGTCGAAAGGCGAAGTGCTTCTATTCCGCCGTGGCCATCAGCCGAAACATGCCTCTGGGCAGAGTGACTTAGAGACATCTTCCCAACCTTCTGCGATCGCCAAGACAGACGATTCTCCTCCCCAAGCAACCGCCATTCAGCGACAAACTGCGATATTCCATTGGCAGGATGTCTGTTACGATATCAAAATTAAAGGAGAACCTAGAAGGATCTTGGACAATGTCGACGGCTGGGTAAAACCGGGTACCTGTACGGCATTGATGGGTGTCTCTGGAGCTGGAAAGACGACCTTGCTTGACGTGCTCGCAACGCGAGTTACCATGGGTGTTGTCACTGGTGAGATGCTCGTTGACGGACACCCCACAGATCAATCCTTCCAGCGAAAGACTGGGTATGTTCAACAGCAGGACTTGCACTTGTCTACGTCGACAGTCCGGGAAGCCCTAGTGTTTAGTGCCTTGCTGCGCCAACCCGCCACCGTCAGTCGGCAGGAAAAGCTGGATTATGCCGACGAAGTCATCAAGCTCCTTGGTATGGAGGCGTATGCTGACGCCGTTGTTGGTGTTCCGGGCGAGGGATTGAATGTTGAACAGCGCAAAAGACTGACGATCGGTGTGGAACTTGCCGCGAAGCCCCAGCTCCTACTCTTCCTTGATGAACCTACGAGTGGCCTAGATTCTCAGACTTCTTGGTCCATTCTCGACCTCATCGACACGCTAACTAAGCACGGACAAGCAATTCTCTGCACTATCCATCAACCTTCAGCCATGTTGTTTCAGCGATTTGACCGTCTTCTCTTCTTGGCCAAAGGGGGTAGAACGATATACTTTGGTGAAATTGGTGAAAACTCATCCACTTTGTCAAACTATTTCCAACGCAACGGCGCCCACCATCTGACTCCCGGGGAAAACCCCGCTGAATGGATGTTGGATGTCATTGGTGCAGCGCCGGGCACACACAGCGAGATTGAGTGGCCGATGGTATGGCGGAACAGTCCCGAGTATGGCAAGGTTAAGGAGCACCTCTCCGAGCTGAAGTCCACCTTATCTTCAAAGTCACAAGCTGATACTTCGCCTAACGCATTCCGTGAATTTGCCGCGCCTTTCCATGTCCAACTATGGGAGTGTCTCCTGCGTGTCTTTGCACAGTACTTTCGAACCCCGACTTATATATGGTCGAAAGCTGCCCTTTGCATTCTCACGTCGCTCTATATTGGATTCTCATTTTTCCACGCCCAGAATTCAATTCAAGGCCTCCAAAACCAGATGTTCAGTGTTTTCATGTTGATGACGATTTTCGGTAACCTAGTGCAACAGATCATGCCAAACTTCGTTACCCAACGCTCTCTTTACGAGGTGCGAGAGCGGCCATCCAAGGCATACAGTTGGAAGGCGTTTATGATGTCGAATATTCTGGTGGAATTGCCTTGGAATACACTCATGGCTGTGTTTATCTTCTTCTGTTGGTATTATCCAATTGGTCTGTACAGAAACGCAGAGCCCGACAACGCAGTGAGCGAACGAGGGGCCCTCATGTTCCTATTGATCTGGACATTCTTGTTATTTACGTCAACCTTCGCACACATGGTGATTGCAGGAATTGAACTGGCTGAGACTGGTGGCAATATTGCGACGATGTTGTTCTCCCTCTGCTTGATCTTCTGCGGCGTTCTTTCAACCAAGGAGGCCTTGCCTGGGTTTTGGATATTCATGTACCGCGTTTCACCGTTTACCTACTTGGTGTCAGCGATGCTTTCCACGGGTGTTTCAGGTGCTGACGCAGTCTGCGAGGCAGTCGAGTTCCTGAAGTTTAACCCCCAGCCAACCAAACTTGCCAGGACTATATGGACCCTTTTATCAAAATGGCCGGGACCGGGTATCTGAAAGATCCCCTGGCTAGCACCGACTGCGCGTTCTGCACGGTCAGCAAAACCAATACGTACCTCTTGCGAATCTCCAGCGATTTCGCTGACGCTTGGCGGAACTTCGGTCTGATGTGGGTGTACATCGTGGCCAACATTTTCGGCGCTGTGTTTATCTACTGGCTCGCTCGTGTGCCAAAGGGGAAGAAGACAACAGGTAGTACCTAGGGGGGAGGGGGTGGGTTGTCGACGCACCCTCTCTAGTCCCTGGGCCTATCTTCCCTCTGTGGGTTCGATATTTATCCCTTTTTTGGTTCCCTTGTACAGGATCGTCTTGATCCGCTCTTTCTATTTTCTTCTTTTTCGTTCTTTTTACATTCACTTTTCATTCCTTTTTCTCCCATCATTGATTTGTCGGTGGCCTCAGCCCCTCATGTTTAATAGGATCGGCACATAAACAGCTTGCTGCTGTCTATCATCCGTTCACTCTTTCCTTTCTGTCCACTCTGTTCAATACATAGAAATATAGAGAGTTCTCTCAGTACACATATATTATCTAGACATTAAAACTCTCTCTCTTCGTGAATTCATCTTAACAAATACGCCACCAATATTGTGAGATGTGAGGGATAAGATGGCCGGATGGGCAACCACACTCCCACTTGTCTGCATGGCATTTGAAGATTCATTCCAACGCAGGCGGTGTGGGACAATAGTCCTGCTGTATAAAAGTACCTCACCCCCACCCTCGTGAGGTCAAAAAGTGTTGTGCGTTTCAACTTCCAATGATTCGGCAGTACATAGCAGGACCTGCGACCCATCCAGAAAATCCGCTTTGCCAAACTCTGTCAAATTGTTTCTACCGCTATGGGGGTAGCCGCGTTATCTGGTCACCCTGTGACGCTCCTCTGCAGTCTCTTGAGCCTATATATTATCAGGGTTATCATGATGTATGCTAAGTTAATGCAGTTCCGGGGCCCCTTGGGGACCGGCATCTCGAACTGGCCTCATAGCATGGCCATGCTTCGGGGCAATTGCCACGAGTGGTACGCCGAGGTCAACAAGAAATATGGTGCGAGTTATCTTCAGGCAGCTCTTGTGCTTTGCGTCTCTACGAGGGTGCAGTATCCACTATAGCTAACACCTTCGACGCGAGACAGGTCCGATCGCCCGTGTCGCGCCTCTAGTCCTAATCACGTCCTGTCCGGAAGTTTGGATACACGTAAACAACAAGCCTGGCTACAAGCGCTCCGATTGGTACTACAACGCCACACGAATCGAGTACCAGAGGGACAATGTCTTCAGTCAGACGGATAACACGAAACACGAGCAACGGAGGAAGCAGATGGCTCCAGGGGTATGATAGCCATCTCATGTTTCTCTCGACTCTCTCCCCACCCCTTTATATCAGCATAGGCTGCTGACCAAATATCGTTATGAAGTATTCGGGGAGGGAGAATACCCAACTTGAGGGGTCTGTGGATGAACGACTCCAAGATCTCCTGAACCTTATCCGGACCAAATACATCTCGTCTAACAGCCATGTTGTGCCTATGGACCTAGCGAAGAAGGTTCAGTATTTCACACTGGACGTTATTAGCAGCGTCGGCCTGGGCAAGGCGTTCGGTATGTTGAAGAGTGACCGTGACGTGGACAACTACCTCCAATCGAGCGAGGAGGGACTTGCTATCGCCCATGCTTCCCTTGCCATGGGCCTCAGCTGGATCACCCAGATGCCTTTCATCGGCAAGTTCATTGCACCTTCGCCTAAGGATAACAACGGCTTCGGTAAGATGATGACGGCATGCTTCCGCCTTGTTGACGAGCGCGCTGCGAGCTCCACCGACGAGAAATCCGATATGTTAGCCTCCTTCATGCGCCACGGCTTAGCAGGGGACGAGCTGCGCACTGAGGCACTAGAGCAGATCATTGCGGGCTCCGACACTACAGCTGCCGCCATCCGTGGTACCCTTCTGCACATCATGACGAATCCCCGCGTCTACTTCAAGTTACAGCGCGAGGTGGACGATGCCGTGCGTAGCGGTCGTGCTCCGAGCACGGGTAAAGGCCTTGTTACCGCTACCCAGGCTAGAAAGCTTCCGTACCTCCAGGCCGTAATCCGCGAAGCTCTGCGAGTATGGCCACCTGTTGCGAACATATTCTCGCGCGACGTTCCAATAGGGGGCGACACTGTTGTCGTCGACGGAGAGAGCGTATTCCTTCCGGGTGGTACCTGCATCGGATACTCTGCATGCGCTATGCATAAGAGCGAGAAGATCTACGGCAAGGACGCAGAGGCGTTCCGACCCGAGCGGTGGCTCGACTCGGACCCTGCCAAGTTGGCTGTTATGGTTCGGACCAACGAGCTCATATTTGGTCACGGCAAATTTCAGTGTTTAGGGAAGACAGTGGCCCAAATCGAGATCGGAAAGATGGTGTTCGAGGTGAGTGGAAACACCTCCACATTTCTGCTTTCATCTTAGTTCTTCTCTATGACACAGTAACTGACCGCTAACCGGACACAGCTCTTACGCAACTTCGACCTGGCACTGATCAACCCGACGCGTCCCTGGGATGCGCGGAACTACCTTGGACTTTTCGCGATTTCAAATATGTGGGTGCAAGTGACAGAGCGAACGCCTTTTTCTTAACCGGGTAGATAACAGTTTCCATGTAACATCTGGAAGTACTCTGCCATGGTAATGTTTTGCAGCCTTTGGATCTAAAATGTCGACTGGGCCTTTATTCTACATTTTCTGGGCGTTGGGCGTTAGTTGCCGCGAGACTAGATCGGACTCTCTTCGTAGAATAGGAAGGTACAGACGTAGTTCCGACGTAAATAGTACAGATTCAGCAGGCACGAACCTGCTGGGTAGAGGGTATATCGTGTCTCCCCCAACGCCCCAGATGCCTTTTCATCTCAAAAACATTCTCAAAATGGTGTACACAAACATCACCACCACCATGACTGTGACGACTATGATCACCACCACCATTTTCAGCACCCTCGTCCGGGAGCCCTCTGTGCCCCCTTCGTCTGCTCCCTTCGCCCCCTCTATCTCGAAGGCTGTGGCCAACCTGGCCAAGATACCAGCAGGCCTTTGGGCCGTAATTTTCCTCGTGCTGGCCGCCGCCATAGCCGCCGGAGCTTACTTCTTGAAGAAGGAGGGCAAGAAGCCCGAGAAGGACGACGAGGAGGAGAAGAAGGAGGAGCCCAAGAAGGCCAAGGAGACCCCGTAAGTTAAAGACCATGATACCCGTAGAACCTCTTTTGGAAATTCTTTTGGATGCTCTTTTGAATGCTCTTTTGAATGCTCTTTTGAATGCTCTTTTGGATGCTCTTTTGGATGCTCTTTTGGATGCTCTTTTGGATGCTCTTTACGCACATTGGCTGACATCTCGTGGAATAGTACCGATGACCTGACTGCGGCCGCGGCGAACCCGCAAACGGCCCTCACCACCGAGTGGCTGCGGGAGAGGCGGGAAGGTAAGTTACGGCTCAAGAGACTCATCATTGCCCCTATGCTCTAGGAGTAAACGCTGACGATTGTGGATCATGTTGAAGGCAAAACCCGCCGGCCCCTCCCCATCTTGGTGGAGGCCACTGCCCCCAATGTCGCCCTGCCCGCCGCCGACACTAGCGGCGAGGTCATTTTTGTCCCGGTCCCGCCTCCTCCCCCCGCCCACGTCGCGCCCGCGCCAAGAGGCGAGACCCGGAGCACCGCCCTGCGCAATACCTTCCATGGTACCGAGAAGTTCTTGCGTCCTGGTGGGAGTCCCCTCGCGGTTGCCCCGGCATGAAGGGGTGTTGAGTCGACGGCGTTCCTCGGTTGTTTTGTCCATTTTCTTCACTCCGAGAACCTTAGCGAGGTGAGCTGAATGAAAATGGAAATACGATGTTTTTTTGTGGCGTTCCTCTGGGGCTTTTTGACCGTTTTTGCTTCTCTCCGAGAACCTCAGTGAGGTGAGATGAAGGAAGAAAACTGGTGAGGTGGAAGTGAGAGAGGGAGAGGGTGTTTGTTTTTGTTTTGGTCTTTGGTTTTTTCTTTTGGTCGACTGGCTCTCTTCGGAGATGACCATGTCTGAATGTATACTGTCGGCGCCTTGGGGCACCTTGATTTTCCTCCTGGACATCCATTTCGCTGTTCACTATAGACTCTTTGTCCACTAGAGTAAGATCTTGTAGTAAATCCTCAATGATGTGCCATCATGATGGATTTGAAAGATTATTTGAAGAATTATTGAGTATTGGACTTTTAGACTGTGATATAGAATCTGCTATCTCATGGGATGAGGGAAGTGTTTAAAAAAAGGATCGTATTGGAACTTCAAATCAAGCACACGGAAACAACCTATACACCAAACCAAGCATATACATCCACATGGATCGTTAAAGTTGGTCTAAAGCAAGATAAACACCAATTTTTAGCATTGATCACTCCAGATACCCTCATTCCACCATACCATTAAGGCCGAGCTGAATGTTTCAAAATTCTCTTCCAAAAGCTCCTGGGTGGCTTTGCGGAAGCATCATGAGTCGTCTTCGAAATATTGGCCGTATCATGGGATTGAAGGCTTTGGCCAAGTTTATCATTGATCTCATCCATCTTTGGCGAGAGCGCGAAGATCCGGTCACAAGAGCACGGAGAGTCGCACGTGCAATCTCCAGCTATCTCTGTTTGTTTGGTCTCCAAATAGGGATGAGAATTGTACCCACAATCTCTCTCATAGCAGTCGCTGCGGTCCTTATAGTCCTTAGCCAGCTCGTGTTGCACCTGCGGGTTTGGATCCGGCCTTAAAGAAGCATAGGTCCGGTTGAACTCACTATCAGTGAGTCTTGACATAGCGGTATAGAGCTCGGTGTTTTGAACAGTGCGTTCCTTATAAATATTTGCCAACTCTGTAGCCGTATGCATTGCCTCTGCACAGAACCGACCCATCTCTGAACATAACTCTGCAAGCAGATGGTAATCAGTGTCGGTGGGAATTTTCTCTGCCAAGGTAAGGCACTCTGTCCCAAAATTCTCTAGCCCTTGGGCTAACATCCGGCGAGTATGCTCGTTCTCAATAACAGAGGTGAGTACATCTTGGCTGGCCTGGCTTGATTCGTATTCTGGAGGGCGGTCGTGGCAGTAGGGGACTGTCTTCGATTCTTGGCTTTCAGAAAATAGTTCGGACATTTTCAGGGATGATCAAACGATTCTTGCATAGTCCCGGAATCTTTTGTATCAGGGAGGAAATGGAAATTTCTGAAGAGAACAAGTCTGGGATTGGGGTTTATCTATCCTGGCTTCTGCTACCAGCCAGCCGCCGCCTAATATGGATTCCAGAGCCATGGTAGCCTACCAAACTAATTTGAGCTCCGGTAACCTAGAAGGGTTCTGTGTAACCTTCTCATATAGCCGCAGATTCTCCTTCAAGTATGGTAGTATTTTAGATAGGGGCTCTTTTCTCCAAAACTGGCAAAGGCATGGACCATGATTATACTAGTCCTTTCAAACAAATGACGACAGGTTGACGACGGGTTTTCAACTCCTCAATTTCTATATTATATCGATGGGCATAGCATACTACCTCAGCTTAACTAAATTTAGAATCTACCTATTCCGACTCTTAACTTTAAAACTTCTTATAGTTTTAAAAGTCGGCTTATAATAACTTCACTAGCTTTACGTTAAAGTAGGAGCGAGACACTCCTCAGTCTATTTTCGATAAAGTTAAGTAAGACATTCATTCTTAATGTAAGAGTTACCCTTTATCTTTCTCTAAAGCTTACTACTAATAAGAAAAATAAAAGTATATTAGAACTACCCTAATATTGAAATAGAAGCTCCCTACAAAGCCTAGAGAGCAATTCCTAGTTAATAGAAAAGATATAGAGTACCTAATTACATAGTATTCCGACAAATGCCAGTCTCGTTCTCACACATAGTTATCCTTAAGACGGGCTGCGACAGGTTGAAATACGGACAACAAAACAGAGAGATATCCCCATAGCCCTACCAAATTACAGAGTGAAGGCGACATAGTTACTGACACAGGTCCGCCGTCAGGGTGACTGGCTGGGGGCACCCATAGACCTTCTTGTGAGCTGGGGTACTATAGCAGTTGGCATCATTGGCCGCACAATCAAAGACCTCACAGCCGTCCCCGGGACTGAGCGAGTTGGGATTCGCTGCGAAGGGGTTGCCCCATTCCGTGCTCAGCTCGTCTTGATGAAGGATGTGGTTAATAAAGGATTCCTAGCTGACAGATAGTTTGGGTGCACTCACAGTACGCGTAGTCCGGGTTGGACGAGAACGAATAGCCAAAGAAGAGAGGCTTATCCAGCGTCTTTGTTTTGGCGATCTTGACGGTCTACACATTCCATCTCCAGTTAGGTTCCCTTGCTATATAGAGTATTGTGCAGACCGAATTGGATGGAGTAACGTACCGAGCCAGATGCGGTAAATTTCTCGGAGAAAGTTCCCCCCTTAGGAACGGTGGTGAGAGGGCCGGGGGCGCTGCCATCGTAAGGGAACGACTGCACATACACAGAGGTATCACAGTGGTTGTTCACGACGGCATTCTGGGCCGCGACCAGGCCGAGGAGGGCACTAAATGTGATCAGGGAGGTCTTCATGGTTGGTAGTTCGCTTTTTATTTTGTAATAGAAGCTTGGATTATCTGTTTCCCTCCCAGCAAGGGAAGGAATTGGCGGTCTTCATATAGGTCTGCTGTTCGGGCCATAGGTAGTAGCGATGATGTACCGATGGAGTACATCTGGGAGGCCTTTGATCTAAGACATGGCACCCATTCCATGTCTTGGATTGTCAGGCCACCGCCCGGGGGTCGGTCCCACGGCCAATCAACACGAGTGGCAGGTGAGACATGCGCATCACCGCCACTATATATACTTCACATCAAAGACATCGCATCAGGTAGCGTTACATCCACCCCGTGACCCCGCAAAATTCTTAACACTAGCTAGAGCTTTTGTTAATGATTCTCTGTGTGGAGCAAAGAATGATTTCAGCGGTGTGGAGAACCTGCTAGAATCAAGGAATTCGTCGGTTTAGGATCGAAGATTTAACCGGTTTCCCCGCTTCCGACTCGGGTCGCGGTAGCGTCCAAGTCATCTATACGTACCCCGCTTGAACCCAGTAGAGGATGATGTACCCCGCTAGACCTGAGGCTCTCTTTATTCGGCACAAGGTGACCTCGTAGTCGAGCGTACAGACAAGGGAAATGGGAGTAGGGCTCTGATAGGCAGTAGATTCTTCCTTCTTGAGCCAACATGCCCGTAGTCGACTGGTCCATACCAAGAATCCCATGTCAGTCATGCGGTCACCCTGCCTGTTCAAGCTCGTATAGTACCCACCTTGATAAACTTGTGTCGGGAACCGACCGGGGATTCTGCAAGAAGGCGGATTTAAACAACCGACTGTCTTCTACTGTAAGGAGACAAACAAGGCAACCATGGAACCAGTGCCACGCCGATGCACCTTTCTAGTACTAGTATAGGGTGTATAGAAAAAGATGCTGTTCTGCTGACTATAAATTGGCATCTATGCTACTGTAGCCACACGCCAGTGGGTTAGTAGTTGGGTGGGTGGCCACCAGCAAATCCGCACTATGCTGTTGTATGTTTTTTTGCTTTTTTTTCCTGCTTTTATTGATGATGCTTTTGCTGCAACAAATTACTGACAGTTCAAGTTCAGGATCTGGAATTGTCGGTGGCCCGATGGCCGTCAGCAAACAATCCAAAAATAAACCCCGCTAGCCTTGGCTCGTAGCTAGACGAGGAAGACCAGCTGTTAATCTAGGCGATCCTGGACCGGGGCTCAAGGGCTGAGATGTTTGAGACATTGGGCGACTGTGGATATGAGTATTGATGATTGGGATTTGTCACTGTCTTATAACAACTCCATACTACAACACTGCCCCTTCCACTAATAAAATTTGTCTCATATATGTCCTCTTATGTCCTAAATCCAGTGAAGCAGGCGTCTCCACCAGGGCCAGTCTAGTTGCTTTTCAGTCAAATACACCCCTTGTGCTTTCTCCTCTTTGATCTCCTCGATGTCGCTTCGTATGTCAATCTGATCTAGAGGGACAACCTTGGACTTCAGGTAGAATTTGAAGAAGATGTATAGTACTGCATTGCTGTTAGAATGTTCTTTTGGTGGCCATTTTAGTACCAGTAATTGCATACCGGCAAAAATAGCAATATTGAGATAGGAAGTCAGGAACACAGATGTGGTGAAGTTGCCTGTAGTGAAGACTTGAAACCCTGTATGACATTGGCCAAAAGCACCTTTTTCGCTAATCATATAAATATGAAGGAACAATTTACGCACCTGAAGTGATCACAACCATGATTACCATTAGCCCAGTCGCCCACGCCGTATACGGCTGGAACCGCGTGTGGTATGGGAGTTCTAAGGATTATCAGTTACACATTTTAACACGTGGTAAAGGATACTTCTTACCATCCCTCGAATACCCCTGCTTTTTTAAGCAAGCATAGAAACGTAAATAGGTTGCCTCAATAACAATCCACCCAATCAAACCCGCGACGGTAGTAATATTCACAAACCAATAGAATACTGTGGATGAGTTGCTCTCAGCGCTCATGTACATGAGAGGCAAGAGAAGGACAGTGAGACCAACAGCGAAGTACGGTGTTCCAAATCTGTTACATCGTTGGAAAAACATTGGCGCATGTCCGTCTTCGCTGAGGCCGTACAATGTCCGCGATGCAATAAAGATACAACTCAAGCTGCTACTAATGGCAGAGGTGCAGACCACTGCGTTAATGATGTGCGGAACAACCGAGACGCCAGATCGCACGAAGGCAATCACGAATGGTGATTGCTTTGCTGTTCCTGTGGATATGACGAGCTCGGGGTCGTTGTATGGGCTAAAGGGGTTGGTTAGATAGTAAGTACTGGTTGTTATCTGGTAGAGGGTGGTGTGCCTCACACAATGAGCCCAACGATGAAGATACTGAGAACGTAAAACACGAAGACCCGTAGGAATGTCTTGCGAGTAGCGTCCGGGATTATCTTGCGTGGGTTCTGAGTCTCGGCACCTGCGATGGCCACAACCTGGATGTTTCCGAAGCTGAATGCTGAGGTCAAGAGAACTTTCCAGAACGCAAGAAACCTGCCTGTAGAGCCTGTGTCAATGTATTCATTGAACGCACCTGGGGTCTTCCAGTAGTGGAAACCAAGACGCTCCTGGCCAGGCGTACCGCCGAGGTCGATGACAATGCCCCCAATAATCAGACCGATGATGAGCATAATTTTGAGTGACGCGAAAATTACCTCGGACTACGGGATGGTTAGATAGAACAACTAATTTTATGCTCGCGTATTCACTCACCTCTCCGTAGAGACGGACGCCACAGAAGTTGAGAGCCGCAATACAGAGACCAAATACAGTGATCCAGACTGCAGGATTGACGGAAGGATTCCAGAATTGAACCACAGTAGCAGCAGCTGTAATCTCTGCGGGTGCCGAGATAGCCATAGTATACCCTAGACCGACCTAGTCAGCATTCGACTATCGCAAAGAGAGAAAGTGGACGCGGTGCATACAAAAGTTCCAACCAGTGGCTGCACCAAGTGCAGGTTCAACAAACCTCGTTGCATGTCGAACGAAGCCTCCACTGCAAGGCATAAAAGCCGAGATTTCACCAGTCGTATAGGAAACACCAGCAGTGATAAACCCCATAAAAATATAGGCTAACAACGCGCCAGCTGGGCCAGCAATCGCAATAACCTGGCCAGAGCTCAGGAAGAGACCAGTTCCCTATCTTGGTGAGAATCTTTCCCACGACTAAACCACTAAACTTACGATCATACCCGCAATGGCTATCATGTTGATATGTCGCGATTTGAGATCGCGCTTGATCTTCTTGCCCTCCAGACAGGAGTTTGAATAGCAACGCCGCTCGATATCGGGGCCAATATTGGCATTCTTATCGTCGCGAAACGCCATTGTATAGGGCGTGCTGAGTGAGGTAGTTGAGAGCATATATGGATGTGAATAATTGAAATCCTTGCAAGTATTGACAGCTATTGGACTCAGGAGGTCACGTACTTGATAATGTCTGTCCCTTCTTGTCTTTTCCTTTCTGCTCTAGAACCCCTCCCTTGCTGATTTTTCGTCTCCAAGTAGGAATGATCAGCACCCTCTAGAAGTAGCCCCACCATAGCTATTTATCAGGCAGAGGGTGATTGTGAGGGCTAAGTGAGAAATATGGCACATATTGGACCTTTCCTCTATGTACAGTCGGGATCATTTCTAGCTTTCACCGCGAAAGTATTCGCCATGAAGGAAGATTTTGAGCTGACTCGGGGGATTTGAAATATCAGGATTACTACCGTAATCTATCATGACTCATCCGAAGTACATCATATCTAGTCGCAAGATGGGCAGAAGGATTGCCCAATTTGGTATGATGGGCTTCGGGTGGAATAACGCAATTTTCATGACCTAATGTAGTCTATATTCGAAAGCGATTGAGGGTAGATGTAAATCACTCTCTTGCTTCTTTTCTCTTCGAAATGCTCGGATAATTGAACCTCTAATCTCGAATATATTCAGGACATGTATATTAAAAAAGGTTCAATCAGCCCCAAAAGGCCGTTTGGAGCGCATCACACATCAAAGTGATACACCTCTTACCCTCAGACAACGCCCCATCCATAGCCAAAAATGGATGCGGCATGCCCTTCATAACCTGCAAATCCACAGCCACACCCGCCTTCTGCAACTTCTCCGCATACTGCTCGCCCTCTGTCCGCAGCACATCCAACTCGCCAACCATGACCAGCGCAGGCGGCAATTTCGAGTAATCGCCTTGCCAAAACAGCGGGCTAGACTCTGGGTTGATGCGGTCCGCGGCGTCGGGGACATAGTGGTCACGGTACCAGTACATCTTAAGCGCGGGGAGTGCGGGGGTCCGTTCGTATCGACGATATGACTCGTTGTTCTCTACTGTGGCAGTGTTGTCTGTCACAGGGACGGAGAGAAGCTGGGCTCGGAAATGGACAGGCGGTGACAGAGTCAGCGCCTTGTGCGTCATAATCGCGGCGAGGTTCCCGCCGGCGGATGAGCCGCCAGTTGCGATTTTGGATACATCCACTGAGAGTGCGGCGGGGCCGTCGGCAATCAGCCAGAGGAGAGCTTCCCAGCAGTCATGAACTGCGGCCGGCCAGCGGTCTTCCGGTGCGAGACTAGGAGAAAATGAGAGAAATTAGATTAAAGCTTCTCAAGGATATGTATGTATGGCGTGATTAGGTGGTGTATTTTGCTCACTTACCGGTAGTCAACTGTGATCACGACGCAGTTGCCTCGTACACAGAGATTCGAGCACACCACGTTCTCCGTATCAATGTTGCCCAGTACCCAGCCACCACCGTGGAAATACAGCATCACTGGCCATCCACCAGGAGGCGCCTGGCCTTTGGGAGTAAAGCAGCGGATGGGCACTGCTGGGCCCTTGGTAGCTCGGCGCTGAACAGTGATATCTTGGGTCTTGCCCACCTCCAGCATAGGACCTGCGCCAGGAATCAAGACACCGCTTGTCCGTGACTCTTTAACGGGCCGGAGGTGCACCTGCTGGTTATTGATGACATGCTCGTTATAAAATGCGACATACTCCGGGTCCAACAGGTCTTTAACGGACTCGTGGAGCGGATATGGTGGTTGAGTAATGCCAACAGTCATTTTGAAGTTAGAGAAAATAAAATAGAAAGGTCCTAAGCTTTCAAGGTCCCAGGGTCTGGGACCATTCAAATAAGCGTCCACCCCCACGCGGAAAGTGGGGAGAACCGCTCAAGCAACGCGGGGAGAACACCGCTGATAAGTTGATAAGCCCAACAATGTGCCTTTTTGGGTAATGATCGACAGGACTGTTGCAGTGGCCCAGTAACATCCCAGTGACACCTCCCATCGTCTCCATTATTGACTGCTACATAGCCACTGTGCCCCTCCCAAAGCCCCTCATGAGCCACTTCATGTTTCTCGGCTCTATCTTACGGGTCAATATGGAGCCACTTGTTATGTACAATCATGGCTAACGTCGGACACAGCTGTAGCTCCGGATGATGCTTTCCGGTTGATAAAGAGCGCCTCCCCCGCGCAAGGGGGACAACTTTCTGCTCCAAATCCACAAATTTATCTCAACTGACTCACCCCTAGCTCATCGACCTCTCACAAACCCTCAAAATGTCCTCCAAGACCCCGATCCTTACCGACAAGGCCCCCAAGCCCCTCCCCGGGATCTACTCTCAGGCCATCGTCGCCAATGGTGTCGTCTACTGTTCCGGCGCTGTCGCTATGGACGCTGCCACTGGCAAGTTGGTTGATGGCGATGTCAAGGCCCACACTGTAAGATACCAGTAAACACCAATTGACCCGATTCAACCTGCTAACACCTCCACTCTCCAACAGCACCAATGCATCAAGAACCTGACCCACATCCTCGAGGAGGCCGGAACCGACATCAACAAGGTCGTCAAGGTCAATGTGTTCCTATCCAACATGGATGATTTCGCCGATATGAACTCCGTATACATGCAATACTGGGGTGATGTGAAGCCCTGCCGGACGTGAGTTCTTACCCCGCTCCTTAACTGCTTATCGTTGGAGTCATTTGGAGTCATGTTTTCCCCCTCCATTTCTTTTTGTAATGTGGTGTGACTCTTGCCCTTGCATATGCATCTGTGTGACTCTTTCATATCCATGTGATTCTGTTGCTGACGTATGTGCTCTGCAGGTGTGTCGCGGTCAAGACCCTCCCTCTCAACACTGATGTTGAAATTGAGTGCATTGCTGTGCTGTAAATTGCCTTTTGCTTCCTTCAAATCTATAGATAAAATTCAACAACGATAATATGACTGCTACTGCAAATCCACCTTTCAGTAAGAGAGGTTCCAATATATTGCGCCTTTAACGCTATAGAACAGCGTTTTCTTTACCGGACAATGACTATTCACTACATACATAGGTAGAGCGCTATGTAATATATGCAACGATTCTGTGAACCTGGAAATATATGAATGCCTTTAATTGCAAATCGGAGGTAAGCCAGAAATACCATACCAGAGCTAGAAAGACTGGGTTTGCTGAACACATCCATCATAGCAAATTAATGTCTGTAACTAAGCTACTTCCTTCCAATTCCAAATTATAACACTTGAAATAATAGGTCACTGTCAAGATAAGAGCCAGCAGTGCCAACACAGCTCCAGTTATCAGTAGGCCATTGTGAATCATCGCGAGTCCTCGACCGCCCATGCCGGCATGTGTGCATTATACCCGTCTCTCTACTTCACTTTTCCCTTTTATGATTCATGAAGGGCAGTTGGTTTAATTCATGCTTTGTTTCGCCTAATAGAGAGGGAACAACACGAAAGATACTTGAATATTTGAACTGCCACTAAAGCTGATGATACATTATTTTCCCGGTTTCTCATTTATTATTCCCGTAAATCATGTGTTGAGAATCCAGGTTAATTCTCTGTAATTAACATGGAGCTTTCAAACGCTAACCCTAATTCGGCATGCTTTATGCATTACGAATCACCATACCTTTCTCGCATGCCAAGAGCTTCGGAGTCCTACGCAATCGAGGTTAGCGCTATCGATGCAGTTTGCCGTCTACACCACCAATTCCTTTATACAACCGCCAGTTTGTTGTATCACAGGAAGCCATTTCAATTCAGGCTGCATTCAGTGTTATCACCGCTCATTCAGCTCTTTCTTTTTGATTCTACCACCCTATTTCCATTACAAATTGATCAATTGAGAGATTATAGGGGGAGAGAAGGAGAAGCCTATAAATATCTATAGGCTACTTTCTATACATGAAGAGATTAGACAGTTTTACAATTTCATCTTCTGGCACTATATTCATGGTTCCATTTATCTTTGCAAGAGATACTCCCTTTACTTTACATGCTGTATAGTCCCTTTGTGTACTATTTCAACATCATGTGCCCGATGTCCGACAACATTTCTCCAAAAACTTCCGATACTGAAGGCTTATTTGTTGACTGTGCACTTCTTGTAGGCGCTATAGCCTCTTTAGGCTTGCATTCTTGGTCCCACCAACCACTAATGATTTGTGACCTCCGGGGATCCGAGCAAACCCAGCGTATCCGACGGAGGCCATCTCCAGATTTGTAGATTAATATATAATCTGTCGTGCTGTCCGGGTCAAGTGCAATGGCCTGTTGTAAAGTGAGATTTCCGAGATCTGATTAAGGCAATTGGGGAGACTCACCACTATATCCAAAGGACTACTTGCGTTGGCGAATTGGTTTAGATCCGAGTAGTATCCTTTCAAATCTTTTCGATGGCCGGAGCTTCCCCTGATAGTCGATCCGGTAGCCCATCCAAATGAAATAACATAGGTGTCATTGTATCCAACGGCCATGGCCAGAACTTTAGAACCATCCAATCGATTGGCAATTTCCGTCAAATAGTTGTTGATCTGTTCTGATGCTTGGCTCCACCAGACCCCATTCACCCACCGGGCATAGTACGTTTGTCCAGGCCCGAGGACACAAAATTCAAGATTCTTGACTCCGTGATGGGCAAGCTTGCCTGCGAGAATTGGGTAGTTCGGGAGTGAGTACTCTGAGACATGTCTTAGCTGGGTAAATTGTCGCAGATTTGAGGAATTTCTTACTCCAAGTTCCTCCTCCGTAACGAGCAATCCATGCGCCGGAACTCCCAAAACTGACAGCACCAATCCATTCCGAGCCAGCCTGCACTTTTGGCCAGCCATCCATAGAGCTGTTGGTAGAGACTATTAGTAAGTATCTCACGCATTTAGCTCCCTTGCATTGTAAACGTACGCCTTGTAATATCTTGGCCCACTGACAGCGCAACTGTGATCTCCTATAGTTACCGAATAGGGGGACCACCCTTGAACCTTCGATGAAGAGTTTTGCGACTGGCGATTGGCTTCAGCAGCCTTTGCCTTTCTCTCCTGTTCGGATATCCTCTCTTGTTCCGCCTTTCTCTGCTGCTCCGCCCTTCTTTTCTCTTCCAACTTTTTTCGATCGCGTTGGGCTTGCTTCTCCTGTTCTCTTGATTTTTTCATCTCGGCCTCTTTTTCTCTTTGAATCCGTTTGATCTCTTTGTCATGAGCAGCCTGCTTCTTTTGCATCTGCTTCTCCAGCCGCTCTTCTATACGCTTTTCCAAGAGTGCCTCGCGCTCCTCTCGCTGGGCGACAAGTTCTTCCATATTTAAGCGCATGGCTTCCATATCCTGGTTAGCCTTCCTGATCATTGCCGCACTCATATCACGCTCCTCGCGCATTATTTCTTCTTTCTCGCGGTCCTTTTGTCGCATTGCCTCTCGTCTCTCTTTTTCGAACTTTTGTTGTTCCTTCATCCATTTGGCTCTCTCTTTAAGCGTCTCGCTTTGTATCCCTTTTCCGGCAGCTGTCTGATCAAGTTGGAGATTCTGATCGACAAGTTGTTTTTGTATATCTGTGATTATGGGGTTCTTTTGTTTCGCTAGCCGGTGTACAATATCTCTCGCCGTAGTCTCGGTATTATCATGCCGATGGCAGGTGCTGCCTTTGCTCAGCATCCAGCCCCAGAAATCCTTCGTGTCCTTCAACTGCTTTTCCCGCATGTCGCCCTCGCTGCTTTGGACTTTATCCCACATGGTTGTGACAAGGATCACTTTCTTCAGAGCGTCCTCACCGCACAAGTCTCTGAATGTCTGGATATTCCGCCTCGCGGAACCTTGCATCCGTACGTCAGTGATACGATGCAGGTATATGATTCCGTGGAGTAGAATTTTGCTTCTATATGAAGCGCCAAGCCATGTCGCAATCTCACTGAGAATCTCGGTGTCATTCTTTGATGTATCGTCAAAGCCGGGCGTGTCAATCAAATAAACAGTTCGGTCGGGTGATGCCTTGTACGCGTATACGTCGACTTTAGCGGTGCCTGCTCTGCTGTCAGGTTTGGACAAGTAAGTAGCTCAGTTGTTTAATAACTCTTCACCTACATGCATCAAGTGTATGCCCAATTTGGACGGACTTGCCCGAGCAAAGCGAAATGAACGAACTTTTCCCTGAGCCAGTGACACCCATCACAGCAATGAATACATCGGTCGGTCTTGTTAACCGATCAGTGAATGAAGGCCACAGCACACTAGACTATTGTCTGCCACTTACTTAGGTTCATGACCTCCGCGAAAGCTTCGAGTGCTTGGGGATGATGCATTTCCATGCGCTGAGCGCTTTCCTGATTGTCCTGTGTGATTGTGAGCCTTAATATCATTCCCTAGCTATGCGAAGTATAAAACATACTAGTAGAGATGGATCTGACCGACATGAGAGGCAATCTGATAGGCTTTTAGTTGATATTGCAGGCTTTAGCAGTGGAAAATAGAACAAATGTTCCAGCTTATTGATCTCATCTCTTAGCACACTTAACACGGGATAATAATGAGGGGGGTTAGGACAGATGTAAATAGTGGAAGACCGGCGATGTTTGATGCACAAAAGCGCCAACAGGATCAAGCCTCCCCGAATCAATTCAATATTTGGCTTGGCCTGCTGCACTCAGCCTAGTTATGCAGCCATGTTCACCCAGGCGAGACCAGTCTCTCCACCTGCAGGAGACCACGTCGTCGCCAAGAAGACTTTGCCCCAATCAAGTCAGCCCAAATTCCTCCAAGGTTGGGATCTAAGCCTCATGTGTGTCTTGCCGATGCAAGCGCATTCCTTTCAGGTATACGGCAACGAAACACGACATCTCCTGCCGTTCCAAGGTTTGGTGGCCTACCTTGTCAGCCTCAACCCGGGGCCTGACTCCCATGTGCAGGTAGAATCACTTCATCTTCTACTACACCATTTTCTGCGCCCTCTCGCCTTTTACAAGCTCATTTTTAGGTCCAGTTAAAGCGCATATTGGGGCCAAAATGCCTTGCATATTTGCTTTTTTTTACTTGAACCACAGATTTGGCGCCTTGTAAAGCTAAGTGTGGTTTTTTATGACTGGTAAAAAGTGCCTGCTAATGCTCCAGACTTAACTTATCGCTCTCGACACTGCTAACATTTTGAAGTTAGACCTGCAATTATTCCTGTCAACCAATAATTTTGCCTTCAATTCGCTCTTTTGGCCGCGACCTGTTAACCATTACTTTGGCTAGTCAATGATCACAATAATCAAATCATCATGGACATGCGCTCTGTGCTCAGTCAGACTGAACGCTTCGCAGCCTTTACCGGTGTCACTAAGCCCAGCCCCAACGACAAGTTCTTCCTCGTTATGGGTATGACGGGCTCAGGAAAAAGCACTTTTGTCGGTCGATGCACGGGCGAAGATGTCACTGTTGGCCACGGGCTATACTCATGTAAGAGTGTTTCTAATTGCCCTCACTTGCACCAAGGTTTCTGCTCTGTATGACTGGCTAATACTATCACCAGGCACCACCTCCATAGATGTGTTCGACTTCGCCTGCAATGGCCACAAAGTCTACCTCATTGATACCCCCGGATTCAACGACACGAACCGTTCCGATATCGACACACTAAGCGTCCTCGCAACTTACCTCGGCGCATCGTATGCAAACGGCGTGCGCATTCATGGCATACTAATGCTCCATCCTATATCCGACAACCGCATGTCAGGGTCTAGCATGCGCAATCTTGACATGATGAAGGCTATGTGTGGGTTCGCGTCTTATTCCAATCTAGCCATCGCGACAACCATGTGGTCCGAAAGATCTCCGCTTTGTGAGCAGCGTGAAGCACAGCTTCTGTCGGACGAACGGTTCTTTGGTGGACTTATTTCTCGTGGGGCGACAACGTTTCGCCACAATGAGAAGGGTCGTTTGGGTTCATTGGAAGAAATTACTTCTGCACGCCGCATCGTGACACATCTTATACTTCAATCTGAAAAACATCCTCCGGGGGTATTGGAACTGCAGCGCGAAATTATTGACCAGGGGAAAGTGATTGGCGAGACGAAAGCAGGTATTGTGCTCGCTGGGGATCTGCACAAAGCCCGCCAGGCTCATGAGCGAGAGTTGAAAAAGCTCAAACAGGCAATCGAGACCGAAATTACCCAGAAGAATACGGCCCATGCCATCGAGATGCAGGAGCTTAAGGCGGATTTGGAAACGCAGATGAGGAAAGCTGAGCAGAGTAAACGAGGGCTGGAGAAGTCGATGCGAGATTTACACAAGGATGAAGAAAGAGCTTGGAAAAAGAAACTTAAGGCACTCGAACAAAGCTTTCTCGAGGAGCTAGCAGCTAAGGAACAAGAGCTACGCGACATGGAGGAGTCACTTGCAGAAATCCGCAAGGACACCGCTCGACGTGCCAAAAAGTCCCAGAAGGTAGCACTCGAACTAGAAGGATACGAGCAAGATGTCGATGCTGTTCGGGGGGAGGTTAGTGAGGCCCACAATACCTATCAAAAGTTGAGTGGGCAAAGGGGTAACTTGTTCAATGGCGCCACCAACGGTATTGCCTCAGGTCTGGCGACTGGAATCATATCTGGAGGTAAGCTATCTCATATTCCGGATATTTGTTATACTAACATCCTTTAGCCCTCGCCGGTGGAGTCCTTTGCATAGTCATGTAGCGGTAGCGGTATATTTGCGTAAATACTAATTCCCACAATACATTTCAAATCAAATGTATGATATACAAGATTTCCCTCGGATCTATTCTCTACAAAGCGGAAGAGTCATCATGACATCCAGGTACTAAAAGATGGCCCTCGACAGACCATGGAAGATCCCATCTTTCAAAAGAAGAAGGAGACAAGGGGTGAGTTTAAGGAAGCGTGTGAAATGGTAAATAAAGACGTTCAAGGGAGGGTGATGATTACTCACATGTGCCATCGCCCCCCTGCAGGTGGGAAAATCACTTGGGCAGTGAGCACTCTCTACATTCCAGGTCATCTACATACATATCCACTCTCTCATTGTAACTGTCAGGATTGAAGAGAAATAGGGGACGGGTTTACCGAGTGTGACCTCATTGAACCAGTGCATGGTTTGCACCTGGTGTAGCTAGAAAAATAGCCTAGTCTAGGGGTTGTCTGTGAAGAAATAATTTTGTACCTCAATGCTTGACATTTATATGTATTACGGTTCTTTGTTTTATGTATAGTTGCCAGTATAATGATTCTTCAATCATACATCTTTGTCAAAGTTGCGTGGTTGTGATCAGGCCCTGCAGTACTACCATCCTGAATCAGCATATCCTACATAACCCACGGCAAGAATATGAGCTAGATGATTCAAATCAAAGTCGTTAACGATAAGTTAGATGTTTGGTATAACATGAATGTACATACATAGCCCTAGCGTTCTTAGTATTTGATGTTTGGTAGACTCAACGGATACCTCGATAAACGTTCGGTGCTGTTATATATAACGACCAAGTTCATCATGTCGAGTACAGTTCACCAACTCCCAAGCGAATATAGCCATCTACTCAAAATTGTCCATAACAGCACCATCTATCAAGGCGTGGATTTGGAAATATGCTCCTTTTGGCAAACTTATGATTTGTGTACGAAAAAGCATCGCGCACCGAGGTTACGGCTAAGCTGAGCAGTTTACAGTTATATCAGAAGCGCATTCCACAACGTGAAACCATCAGAAACACTTCATTCAGGTGCTTGTCAAATACGTCAGAATGTTTGCGAATCTAGGTCTGGGACTCATTTCTCGTCCTTTCTCGTCCTTACTGACAAGATCAACCCCTCAGATCACGTGCTGTGTACAGATTTGGAACTACACGAAGCGATAAGTTATTAGCACGAAATTAAAAAAGGACAGAAAGTCTTTACAAGTGTATAAGCTTGATTGCAGTATTCAAAGAATTTGTTGCGATTGTTGGTGGTCGGAGTGGTTGTTGACCACGTCATCGAGGGATCTAAGGCACGATCGCCTTCATCCTCCTACCTTCACCTCCAAGGACAACCCTTCGATGCATGGAGAAATAATCACACTGGATTCTTCGAAGATCAAATTTGCTTCAAATCTTCCATTGTGAGGGACTGAAGAACTGACGTCTGTACAGACAGATCCACAGGGGTAAGGCTAGCATCAGCCAAACCCTCCATACATCCCTGGCACTAACAAGTCCTTAGCATTCCAAGTTATCAAGCTAAGATGAGCTACCCTCTAAAGAGAGGACCATCCTCAAGGCCTGGATTCTTTCGATACACGCCCCCTCGGCTACTACATTCCACCCCTCCACGCTATATTCGCGTCGACGCGCTCCTGGGCTAAGAACCCTTCATTAAATTCCTCTTTAGTGCTTCAATACTCCTCTTGGTGCCAGCCTTATGTATGCTATTCTTTGCACCCAATTTATGAACCTTCAGTGTGACTATAACTGGGTTGGATTTGGACCCGGTGCATTCAATACGCCTGTTCCCTTTACCTAGCAACACACTCGCATTCTTTCCTACCCAGTTTCTGAGCCCCAGACAGCTTGAAGAGGACCACAAACAGAGTCAGCCGTTCCTTGGTTCTTGAGCTATCGCCACCATGGCGTCTGGATTTTCAGCTACGCCGCGAATGGAGGGTACATGGACGAAGCTCGTGATATTTGTTGCGCTGTACCTGCTACTCCTCGAGTCTATATTGGAATGTGTGCTCGTGCTCTATCTCTACGGTAATGGCCAGGTTGACTCAAAGATGACTCTGAGTGTTGTACTTGCACTTGTCGCAGTATGTTTGACTTGAATCTTTGGTTATTAGGCTGTCCGCTGACTCTTATTTAGTCTTTTCTCTCAGTACCGCTTGTCGGCCTGCAAAGCCTGGTCGCTTGGCAATACAACAATATTGGTGGATTTGGAACCCAGAAAACCATCCTGCATAATATATGCACATATGTGCTGCGCTTGGATCTTATGCTTTGGCTAGCTACAAGTGTAGCCGGTCTGGTGGTCGCTGCACAGCAGGTGTACTGTCTCCCGGAAGGGACAGATGCAACTTTCTGGAGAGTTGGCATAAGCTGTGCCTTCCACCGAGCGTCTGTGATCGTGGCGGTTGTTTCAATGTATGCTGAATTTTTGTTCCGTGTCTCTTTTACTTGAACTGACGATTATCCTACAGGGTCACCGTGTGCACTATGTACTGTGCGAGGGAGCTTTGCGATCGACCATATGATGTATCGCTTCTCGGTATCTACAAGCGCCAGAGAGTTCTCAGAGATGGCAGCATCGTCTCTGGTAATAGCTGGGACAGCGAGGAAACGCTCAAAAACGAGATTCTCTATCTTTGCCGCCAACACGATGGAAATGGAGGCGGGGAGTTCTGGTCTGTGGACCCAATTGCCAACAAAGTCAACTGCCATCCCAGCATCCGGCATCCTGCCCCCGTCCGTCTGCGGCCCCAACTCCGAGTCAACACTGATCCCGGTTCGACATATGGAGAGATTATGTCTGGAACGACGATTTCACCAGAGGACAATGCACACCGTATCTCGCCGGGGTCACAAAGCCTGGCTAGCGAGTTCTATCCCATCTCGAGCACATCTACTGTCATGAGTTCACAGACAGTTAACGAGATACGCGCGCTTCTCTCGAATGCGCCCGCTCCAAAGATCCCGGCCATTCCCCAGGAATACGCCGGCCATAAGAGAGGAAAGTCATCACTCTCATCTCTTAGACGTTTTCTTCCAAAGTATTTCCCATTATCACTTCCATTATCAGCGGATCCTCAAATCCAATCCCTGGCAGACCCAAACGCCGCATCAGATATCGAAAAGCAGGTCGTGACACCAAACAGCATGCCCAAGGGAATCCCCCAATCCACAACCTACCAGCTCATCGCAAATGGCAACACCCCAAACGCCTCTTCAGCATCTCTCCCCCAAAGCCCTGCCAACACCCAATCTACACCCAAACCAGCATATCTAGAAGGCCACACCAGAACAATGACAATGAGCTCCGCCGACGCCCCAGAAGTAGTCCCAACAACCCCATCCTCCCCACCAAAAGTGCGCCGCTCCCAAACAGCCCACGCCATGCCCGCAGCCCGCTCAATCCACCACCCACACCACCCAAACTTTGTCCCACGCCCTCCTTCCCAACCACAACCACGAGCATACTCCCAGTCCCGCCGCCAAGCCCGCGATCCAAAAATGCACCCAGACTCAATGCGAAATACCAAGCAACCCAAACAGAACATAATCCACTACCCCGTCCGCAGAACCTCCTACCACTTCGACCCAAACTACGTCCCGCGTCACTCGCAGAGCCAGTATAACAACCATCCCAACAATCATCCCGGGAGCAGCCAGTACGGACACCAATCATCCCGCTGGGAAAACCAGCGCCGCTACGGCTCAGCCCGATCCATGCCCGCGCCGATCCCCCGTCGCAACGACGTCGAAGTAATCTATCCCAGCACGCGTCGTCCGCGCAGTATTATCCCTTCTGGCGCGAGTGGCCCGCTCAGCTGTATCTTGGAGACGACGCCTGACCCGCATGCTGCCGGGGATGGTCATAGGCCTTTCTCGGCTGCTTGTTCGGAGTTGCCGTCGAATTCTATTGATATGACGAAATATCGGGGTGCGAATCGGACGAGTTTGGGCTTTTATTGAGAGGGTCTTGGGAGTATTAATATCTGATTGTCTGCCGGTCGGACATTCTTTTGGTACTATGTGGTTTATTCTGTAATATTATATGATTTGTATCAGTGGATAGCGTGCCCAGGTGTACCAGGGTGATTTGGTCACTTTTTTTACTCAGTTTGTTTGCAGTTAGTTAGCTTTGAAGTCACATTTAGATACCAAATTAAATTTGTTCCACCATAGAGAAAGAAAGACAAGTAGTTAAACTCTGATTCAAGAGAGAAGGTAGAAAGATCAGTACAGAAATTCATTCGGTAGCACTTGAAAGAAACATGCAAAATCCGCCCCAAGACGAGAACAGAACAGACGAAGACATGCAATTTCAGATCCCAAAGTCCATTCCAGGAACGTACACCAGACCGCTAAAAGACGAATCAAAAGAAACACAATGCAATCCACAATCCGATATGGTACACCAACCCCAGAGAAATACAAGATTAAACAAACCCATCTAAGCCCTAGCCTCCGTGCTCTTAGACTTCTGCTTCTGAGCATACTTGTAGCGATAAGCCTGCCCACTCTTGGCATCCACATCACGGTCTCGATCACGACGACGGCTTTCCTTGCCATTACCCTCGGCCAAAGACCCCGGCCCACGACCAAGTTCCTTCTCACCCCAGCTCATCATCAATGCCTTGGCCATGCGATCACGCTCCTTGAGGAGGAGGTCGATGCGCCGCTCCCACTCGCGCTCACGCTTGTCCACCGACAAAGCGATGCGCTGGTCAACCGCGGCGGCAGTTTCGTCTTTTGCGGCGATGGTGTCTTCCAGGCGTCTGAGTTCTGCTTTGAAGCTCTTGCGTAGATGGGTTTCCGAGGTACTAGAAGAGGTGCGGAGAATTTCAAGTTCCGAGCGTAGATCGGTTTCGCGTTGCTCGGCGGCTGTAAGGAGGTTGCGGATTTTGCGCATGGACTCGGCGTGCGAGGCGCGCAAAGTTGAGACTGCCGTTGAGTGTGCGGTTTGTAGGCTGCGGAGTTGGCTTTGGTGGTTCGCTTCCAGGGTTGCTGTGTCCGGTCCTCTTGGCTCTGGGTTGAGAGCTCCGCGCGCTGTTGGGGGTGAGGGGGGTGGGCTGGGAGGTTCGGCAATCTTGTCTTCTTGCAAGCGGGCGATGGTCTCGAGGGACTCGGCATGCTCTTCTTGCGCTTGGATTAGGTCGTGCTGATACTTGTTTAGGGCTGTTGTGAGCTCGGCAACCCGGCTGGAAAGTCGCGAGTTCTCTGTTTCGATGGTTTTGATAAGGGTCTGGGCTTCGGTTGACTGATCACGCAGACGTGCTGCTTCGGTATCTGCGGCTTTCTGTGCGGCGGATAGCTCCTGAAGTTCTTGCTGCAGGCTTGCAATGGTTGGCATGTCTGGTTGTTGCGGTTGCTGCACACCTTGGGTGTCCAGGAACTTGTCCTTCAATGGTGAGTGGAGTGGGGATGCGGGATCCCCGGGGCCCAAATCTTTGATCAGGTCGAGAATCTCGCTGTAGGTGCTATGGCCACTGATAGGCAGATCCGCTGCAGCAGCTTTGAGAGCACTCTCCTGGGCTTCCATATGGGATTGAACACGAGTGAGATTTGCTTCCAGTGTAGTGTTCTTCTCCTCCAGAGGACGATTTCTAATTTCCAGGTCGATAAAGCGTTCCTCGAGGACCTGATAGTCATTGTGTGCACGCTCTAATTCCGACTCGAGTTTCTCATTCTCCAGCCCGTAGTCGTCGATCTGTGCTTGGAGTTGATCAATCTCCGAGTTTCTCTCCTGTATTTGTGTATCCTTAACCCGTGTGACTTCCTTAAGCTTGTTGAATGTCTCATCTAGAGTTTCATCGCGCTTTCGCACCTGCTCTTGGGAAAGATTGAGTTGCTGGCGCAGGTGAGCAATTGTCTCCAACCGCTCCTTGTCCAAAGGGTTCTGTGCATCTCTCTCTTGGAGCTGTTGTTGCATCTCACGAATCTGGATCAAAAGAGGATTGAGATCCGTGGTATTCATACTCGACTGGCGTAATAGCTTTTCATGCTCTTCATTTTTCTTTTGAAGCGACTGGACTTGCTCGCGCAGCATTGCCTCGTCGCTACCTTTGGCATTGACCTCATCCAGGAGAGCATTCTTCCGCTGCAATTCTGTCTGGAGATGACGGATCTGCTCACCAGCAGAAACAGCCTCGAGCACACGATTGCGGTTTTTGTGCAATTGGTCATCGCGTTCCTTCAAAGCTTGTTGCAGTTGTGCGATCTGCTGGTGAAGATCCTCATTCTGCTCCTCTGGTGCATGACTGGAGGCGTCCGACAATTTTCGGACGGAAGGGGATGCGGAATCCTGGGCCTCGTCATCATCGGGGTATTCTTCAATACCTTCCAGATGAGTCGAATCTTTGCGGAGAGCGCTGGTCCGGTGTAACAGGTGTGAAGGGGTCGACATATCCACTGGCGGTCCGAATTCACTGTATTCGCCAGAGTCGGCTTCTTCTTCGATCGCGGGTTGCTGCGACTTCCGGAAGGATCGTCGTACTGATCCGTAGTCTACTTCAGCTTCATTCTCATGGTTCGCTCCATCTTCCTCATCGCCCATTAGGTATTTCTCCATATTCGCAGTAAAGTCTTCTGGGCCCCCAACATCCGACAGTTTATCTACATCTTGGTGGAAAGGGGGCAGAGTTTCCTCATGTCCATCCAAAGCAAAATGGCCGCTCGGGAAGTTGCTGAAATCCAAGGTGTAATCGGCAAGACGCGCATCGAGATCTGAGCCTGTTGGGCTTCCAGGAGAGGGGGGTCGAGAGACATGTTGCATTTCATTGTCGGAATGGTATTGATCGTCAATAACGTGGTCGCGACCTTGGTTGCTACGTTGCGCTGCGACGCGCTCAGTCGCGGGAGTCTGGGAGGTTGCAGGTGTTTGGGCGGTTGACGGAGATCCCAATGGGCTTGAAGGATGTTGGGGAGGAGAGGATGGCATGAAGAGAGGCGTCACCAATGTTGACTGCCCGATGGTGTCATGTGAGGTTGGAAATGGCGAGGTATAGCCTGTGTTGGCCATGGTTGCGCACGCGTGCGGATGCGCAAAGATGAGGGCAACCCGATAAGGCTAAATCTGCCAAAGCAGAGGTCAAATGCAATCCCTTGGGGTTGCACTCGAGAGCTACCAAATGAAAAATATCAACCGAGTAAATAGAGAAATAACAATAACCAAATTGCGGGGAGAAAAAGAAAGATTGAAGAATCTCGCGACGGGTTGTATTTTTGCGCCTGAGGCATCAATGTTTATCCACTGCCTTTTTAGGTCTAGCGGCTATTTGTGTCTGATATGCTTCTTACTTCTTACTTCTCTCTGCTCTCTTGTTTCACATTTATTTTTTTCTTATTTGCATAAAATTGATTCTGATATTAACAGCTTTATCAGCTTGATCGAAAATCAAGCCATTGTCTTCCATTCTTCAAATCCAGGTGGAACCACCGAGGGCTCATGCGATCGGCCGCGCTTTTCGGCTTCTAACTCGGTTTCCCCGTTTCCTGGTGCTTTTTTCCGAGAACGAGAACCAGCACGACCGCCTTTCGAAGCGATAGCATGCTATTTACTCACGTTCATAGAATTAACGACTAGACCTCTTACCTAATTGGTGTTGCGGCACTCTCACCTGTTTCTCTGGATCCATTTTATGGAATCCACCCACGCCGGTGGCTTTCCCACCCTTTTTCCCACCCTTGTGGGCTATTTTTGAAAGCTCTTCGCGTGGACGATTTGCAAAATTCCCAGGGTTGGGATGGTTTTGAGGATTGGGTGGTGGTACTGTGGCGACATTACGGCGATGCCACAATCCAACATTTACAGACTGTGCGGATGGAAGCAGTCTAAGAAGTGGACGTGACATGATTCGAGTACTGCTGATCAAAGCCATCATGCTATGGAGTGTCGAAGTTGATACCAGAAGTATACGGTGCTCCGCAAGAAGATGTTGCTTCGCCACAAGGCTGGTTTGATGGGCATCGCCTGCAACTTATATAGTCTCCAGAAACGACTATTTTGCCTCTATCAGCCCATAGGAGGCGATGGTGGCTTGTCTCTGACATTCCCTTCGAAGTCCGCCGGTTAGCTTTCTGTGATGGGATAGATACATGCCATTCGTGTATGTCTGGAAGAAGTCCACCTTGGGATGCACTGTGTTCCTGGTTGCTCGTTTCAATTTGCTGGAGCACCAATCCGATATTCAAATTTGATGTCATTCTTCAGGTCTTGCCCAACGAGCCGAATCCAACGCCATGGATATAGGGATCAGCGTCCATGGTTCTAGTATTTGGGGCGGTGATCCAGGCCCGTGTGAGATGAGGATGAGAAGATGCCCTAGAAAGTCCTATCCAATTTAAACTATGTACTATGAACTTAGCCTTACTTAATCCCCAGTAATAATCCTAGTTCCTTGTAAAGAGCTAGTAGCCTAGCCCAAAAATGGATCTACTATCCAGCTTAGTCAGTGGGGATTTGGGTTTATCGTGCGCAGGTGCTCAGTCCGATCTACTACTTTGTGTTGCAGCGATATTCACCGGATGATTCCATTTTTGATTTGCAAATTCGTCATTGCATAACTCTGGAGTTTCATTTATTTCTCTGTGGTTATTTCTCTCGGACGCCAGGAGCTTGAACGATCCCGAACCCCCACAGCTGCCGCCAAAGCTTAAGCGTGTCATCCAGCTCTCACAAACGAAGCCCATGGAATAAAGTTCCTCCAAATTACGTATAGCTGGGTATTCAATATCTTGCTCTCTTCAAAATGCCACCTATCCGAGGCGGACTCGGCGAGCGCCCGCGGGTGATCTTGTACCACCAAACACTCATCCCAGGTGGGGGTCAGTATGTCTCCATGCTCCCGCTCCTCGAAAACAACACCGGAATATCACATGTTATTCTCGCGGCTTTTCACCTGAACGGTGCACCAGGAGATATCACTCTCAACGATGACCCGCCAGACAACGCCAAATTCGACCCCCTATGGGCCGAAGTGCCCCTCATGCAGCGGCAAGGCGTGAAAGTGATGGGCATGCTAGGCGGGGCCGCCCCAGGCTCCTTCACACGGCTTGACGGCAGCCGGGCGGAATTCGAACAATTTTATTATCCTTTCCTGACCGTGATCCGCCGCCATGGCCTGGATGGAATCGATCTCGATGTAGAAGAGGTCATGTCTTTGCAAGGCATCATCCGACTCATCGACCGACTCAAGGCCGACCTGGGCGACGCATTTATCATTACCCTGGCTCCTGTGGCAGCTGCACTACTTGGTATTGGGAACCTATCTGGCTTTGACTACCGTGAACTCGAGCAGGCTCGTGCTTCTAAGATCGGCTGGTACAATACCCAGTTCTACAATGGCTGGGGTATTGCTGAGGATCCACGGATGTATGCTGCTATGGTTGCCCAGGGGTGGTCTCCACGACGGATTGTGTATGGCCTGTTGACAAACCCGGGTAATGGGTCACAGGGTTATGTGTCCCAGGAGAAGATTGGACCTGTTCTGGCAATGTTGGTCGAGCAGTTTCCCAATTTTGGTGGCATTATGGGTTGGGAGTATTACAATGCTCTGCCTGGGGGCACGGCGAAACCGTGGCAGTGGGCTGCTCAGATGTTACTGAGCATGGGTATGAAAGATGTGGTCGTGGCAGCTCAGCAGTTAATGTCGGCAGGGCCGATGGCGAGCAGTCTCAATAGTTTGTTTCAAGATATGCTGAATCAGGGACGTCAATGAAGCAAAGTGAATGTCTAGCATCTCAGACAAACCACATGGCTATAAACTTGAATTTCAAATGTAGTGAATGGCTTTGGCAATGTCCTTTGGCCTGCATAACTTCCAAGGCACGTGGGAGAGTTACTAGAGCCTCAGCAGTACCTAAATTGTCGGTACTACCATTGTGGTTAAAGTAAATTCAATTTATAGTCAAGCAATAGACATAAGTTGTACAATTTATACAGTTTACAGCCATGGAGGGCAAGTTGATTTTCAAAATCAACCAATACGACAATACGATCCAAGTCTTTTGTATTGTCGATCTTGTCCCTGGATGGATACGTCATCATATCAATCACCACCACTTGGACCATCTTTCGCTCTTCGCATTCTCCGTTTTTTTAATTTAGCATGCAGTGATTCTCACTCTTTAAAATTGGTCATATTGCCTTGCATAATGGCCTCCCTACGGCGCATTGCTGTAGCCACCAGCTCGGCGATCATCCGGCTGACGACCTTCACGTTTCTGCGATGGGTATAAGGCCCCCATAGACAGCCAATCACGCGTTTCAGAAAACTCACATATTTACAGATCCCTGGCCATCACTTTGTGCCTCTTGTGGTTACCTCCCTAGTGGTGTACCTATCGTCAATATTCTCATTGCTCACCCAGCCTCAGCAAAGCCAGACAGCTAAAACCGGAGGCTCAAACAGTAAGGCTCCACTTCAAATAATCACAATATGAGATTCTAACTACGTGATTCACAGGGCATAAGTCAGTGCCTCGCCATGCCAATGCCGGCGATTCTGTGCTTAAAACACTGTTGACAGGGCTGCCCTCGGCAAAGTGGCCCCTGTGGACCAGGATCACAATATTAATCAATGTCGTCCTGGCAGTGCTAACGCTTGACTTTTTGACCCGTGGTATTCTACTTTATCCTACCACAAATGTTGCATTCTCACGCATTGGATATGTCTCTCCGACCACTGCCAACTTGGTCTTCCGCGAGCCAGATTCGGCTCGCCTACCAGTGGCAGTCATGTTCCAGGAGGTCTCTGGAATGAGCGAAGACTGGTACGAAGAGGGCATCGTTTACAAGCTGGATAACTCCACCGACTTCACTACGAATGTGACCCTAACCGACCTGAAGCCGGGGACACATTATCGCTACTCGCTGTCTAACAACAAGTCTGGCACATTTATCACGGCGCCATCGCCCGAAACTCCTGAAGCAAGCCGACTATCCTTTGTAACATCAAGTTGCGTGAAGCCCAACTTCCCTTACAACCTACTATCACACCCACTGCGAATCCCAGGCCTCGAACAAATGACCGACGCCCTCGCCAAACTGCCCAAGCTACTCCGCCCAGCATTCATGCTCTTCCTAGGGGACTTCATCTACATAGACGTCCCCTGGCGCTTCGGCTCAACAATGTCGCACTACCGGAGCGAGTACAGACGCGTCTACTCATCCCCCTCCTGGACCCACGGACCAGAAGAAAACCGCGCCATCGACCTTCCCTGGCTACACACTCTGGACGACCACGAGATCGAAAACGACTGGTCGCAGGGCAACGAAACGGCTCCGTATCCCGCAGCAGCAGACCCCTTCATCCACTACCACGTGCGAGCAAACCCACCCATCCCACAAGCACCATTCGCCCACCCAGACAACGTAACCTACTTCGCCTTCACGCACGGCCCAGCCTCATTCTTCATGCTGGACACACGCACCTACCGCACCGAGCCCTCGCATAAGAACTCAACCATCCTCGGCGGTTCCCAGCTCCAATCCCTACTCACGTACATCTCAACCCCGGAGCCAGCAGGCACACACTGGAAAATCATTTCCTCCAGCGTGCCATTCACTAAGAACTGGCATGTCGGCACGACCGATACCTGGGGCGGGTTCCTGGACGAGCGTCGCACCGTCTTCGAAGCGATGTGGCGCGCGGAGCGCGATCTAGGTATCCGTATCGTCATGCTTAGCGGTGATAGACATGAATTCGGTGCTACTAGGTTCCCGGACCCGGAACTCAAATTAGGTGCCGATCAGCTTTTGCCTAATACGGCTGGGGCAGGACTTCATGAGTTCAGTGTTGGCCCATTGAGCATGTTTTACCTCCCCGTCCGTACGTACCACCAGACAGACTCTGAGGATGTTATGGTGAAGTATGCGCCGAATGGGAATAGTAAGTTCGGGCTTATCGATATTGCGGATGAGGTTGAAGATGTTGGGTCGACTGCTGCTGCGCCTGTTCGGGCTCGTAGCTCGGTCCTTACTTACTCGCTGTATGTGGATGGGGAGGTTGTTTGGAAGTATCGTCTCAGTGTTCCGTTGGATCGCGATGCGAGTGTTCATGGCCCGTCTCTGCCGCCGGGCCGTGTGGTTGAGGATGTGATTCCGGATCTTGGTTGGAGTGTGGTGCTTGGGACTGTTGTGGGACGGTTTCCGGAGTTGACGAAGTGGATTGTTGAGATGGTTAATGATCTCTACTTTCAAGTTGCAGATCGACTATGGAAGATTGAGAGACTAGATTAGTTGATTTGGTCGTTTCTCAGATGGATCGCCTTGCTTGCTCATTCGAATCTGTTCAGGGTAGGTTGGGTGACCATATTATTAGATATTCCAAGCAGGTGGCCTCCCAGGTATGATGATCCCCCGGATAAGACAGCAGTGGGATTAGCGCGACCTTGAATAGCACAATTTAAAAGAATTCGGTTTCTATAAGTAATCATCAAATGAATTAAATGCCTAGCAAGCCCGGGGCGGGATCGGGCTATGATTTGTATCTCCTTACATAGCTATGTAGTGAGGGAAGGGGGGATTTTATACACGGTTTTCGCTGCAGCGACTGCTAAACCAAAAACATGACGCCGATCGACTTTGTCCCCTGGGTCCATTCACTGGGGTATAAGATGTAGACAAGGGGGGGAACGAGAGGAGAGTGGAAACCGAATATCAATGAGGCGCGCAATTGGAGAAATGCTTCCGACGTTGCCAATCTGGAAGATTCAAGATATCGAACTGTCTCGGCCAGTATAGCAAGAGGTTTGGGAAATGAAAGACAATCGCAGAGACTTGATTTGAGGGATGTCTCTTCACGAATAATTAATTGGGTCAGGTGAGTGGCGATTTGATGGCCTCCAAAAGGAAGACGAAGACCAAGGCCTCCTAGCTCGATGGCGTCGATTAGAAGCGTCCACCGCTAGAACGGCCATAGCCACCTCTTGTTGTCACCTCGTCTTCGCTACCACCAGCGATTCCGCCCAACAGACTGGCTCCCCAGATGCCGGCGATGCCCCACATACCAATACGCCAGCCGCGGTACAGGCCTTGAATACCCTGGCCTTGCTGTCGCTTCTGCTGTGAGGGACGCTGGCCGAGGAGCTGCTTGGCACGCTCTGTGTCGGACGGTTTCGAGCTGACACCCTCCTCATAAACAACATGCCACATTGTACCAATGATACCGCGGTATGTGCGCGGGGTAGGGACGATGGTTTCCACATCGGAAGCATCAATAGATGCTGCACGGATGCTACCACCTGATGACTTTTGGCGCAGACTCAAGGATGTGTATGTGGCGATCTGGGCGCGGCGGAGCACGGTCTCAAGTGGGAATCGCACGGCGAGCTCAAGTCCTGAGCCAAGGAAGGCACAGAGGTTCCATGCGTTGGGGTTTAGGAGGGGGTCAATGGACAGATATGATTTGAGAAAGAGTGGTGTCGAGGTCATAATGAGGTTGGGGAGACTTGAGTGAAGTATGGTGATTGGGACGAGGTGCGAGGGGATCGTGCAGTTGGGTGTAGGGAGCTGGCGGATAGCTCGGACGAGGGACCCCGGCCCATGAGTTGCTGGTGTGAGCATCAAGAATGTACGAGCGGTGTCGATAGGAGCTAGGATCAGGGCGGATAGCGAGGATGAAACGAATGACAGGACCAGCGTTGCCAGAGGGGATGATGCCGTCAGAATGTCCGCTGTCATTGACATGGAAATGTCTTCTTCTGGCAAGCCGACAATTGCCGTCAGAAGACTGCGGATGAAAGTGTTCAAGGTCGGCAGGAGAAGTGAGTAAATGAATGCAGTGTTAGAGGACTTCCAGAGGGAGGTTGGGCCGCTGGAGGACCAGAGCTGGGAAAGAACTTCGGTCAGGGAGTTCGAGTTCTTGAGAGTCAAGGCATGTTTGGACTGTGCGGCAGACTCTGGCCGAATATAGCCACTACGATCGGTGATGTGGTGGCGTGATTTGCGAGATCGAGGTGTACTCGGCGTCGGCGTTGGAGGGGCGGCTGAGGTGAAGTAACTAGTTTCATCATCATCCGATTCTGAGTCCTATACGCAACTCCGTCAGTCCTTTGTCGTGGGATTCAAAGCTGTATATCAGCTATAGAGAGCAGCCTTCTTACCGAAGCATAAGAGCTTCCTTCAGCACCCGGTGTCGAGTTCCGATCCCACTGCTCCTCTGTGGCGTCTGGTACGACATACACCTGCAAGATGGTTTTGGCGACATCGAACGGCTGTGCAGTAAGGACCTTGATGTAGCGCACAAGCGCCCGGTTCAATGCATCGCGAACCCAGTCAGACACAGAAGGCGAGGCTTCCAGATAATCGGTATAGTCCAAGTCCGGGATGAGATCACGAGCTGTGCTGCCAAACACCTGGGCCGATGACGGCGATGCCACCTCGGGAGGCGCATTTGAAGCTGGCGATAAGCCAGACGGAGGGATATAGTACGGCCGCAAGGGATTGATCCCTTCACGAGACGCCATAATGTGATGTTAGTCGGAGTTAAAGAGGGTTCGGGGAAAGAAGAACGGGAGGAGTGGAATGTCCGAACGCCCAAGCTTTGTCAGTCTTTTTTTTCCTCCGCGGCTATTGGACGATCAATGCTCCCTCTTCCCATCTTCCCCCGGATCCTCTTTTTTTCTCTTTTGACTTTCAAATTCCCCTTTTAATTGATTTATTCCCTTTTCTGCAACATGGCTTTCTGGCGGGAAGTTGGTCAACAGTTGCGCCGTGTACCGAAGACCGGGGATATTTGTTTGACTCAATCGCGGAGATGCCTGAGTTATTCAAGGTCATGGAGGAACACCGGAATCACAACACTCACTCGCTCGCAAATCAACGCACAGAGAAGCCTCCAATCACCTTGGAAAGGATATAATACTGCCCGGCGTGCTTTCTCGGTGACTGCACAAGCTGCGCATGGTCATATCACGCCGCCAAAGGCCGGAGAAGAGTAAGCCCACCAGATTGCTCCCGAGATCTTAGCGCGCTCTTGCGCTATCTGCGCTGCATGCTGAATGACTCTGTAGGATCAACGTGACATTCATCGACAAGGATGGCACCAAGATAGACCTCCAGGTTGCCGAGGGCGATAACCTACTCGACATCGCACAGGCAAATGACCTTGAAATGGAAGGTTAGTTGAGCCGATATAATGCGTATTTAACCCCAAATGTCTGACGTTAATCTGGGAATAGGTGCGTGCGGAGGATCCTGTGCCTGCTCAACGTGCCATGTGATTGTGGAAGACCCGGACACCTTTGATAAAATGGAAGAGCCATCGGACGACGAGAACGACATGTTGGATTTGGCTTTCGGGCTTACCGAGACCTCTCGGTTGGGCTGCCAGGTGATCATGACCAAGGATCTTGACGGATTGGTCGTGCGATTGCCATCCATGACACGGAATCTCCAAGCAAGCGACTTTGAGTCGAAATAAAGACACCAACAAAAACCCCAGGAGGGACTGTTTGGCTCTTGAATACCCTCACCTCTTATCTGAATCCAGACAGCTGGTCACAACGGGGGTTTGTGGTCTTATTTGGACACCAAATAGGACATTGTACTGTAATATTCATCTCATGCATCTAGTAGACTTGCACGGTATCTCAAAATGAAAATCTCCTGTACTATTTTAATCAACAAGACTCTCCACATAAGTAATTCTATTACAATGTAAAAAGAAATATATAACAAAAAAAAATTCTCCCAACGCCAGAAACATGCCATGGGTAATCGTAGATCCAGCTCACGCCTCTTCGATGTTCAAAGGCTTTCCCTTCTTTCCGTTGATCAATTCAAGGAATCCTTGCTTGCTGACCTCGTTGGCAGCCTTCTCCCGCTCTCCCATACCAATTGTGCCCTTCTTGCGCTCATCCTTGGCCGCCTCCTCTCCTCGGACTTGGGCCGCGCGCACAGCATTGAACAGCTTCACGACACCACGCTGCGCCATCTTTCGCACGCGCTTCTCCTCCTCAGCGACGGGACCGGCAATTCCTCGCTTGATACCCATCACATCACGGACACGGCCACGATCCATTTCCTCTTTCTTCTCAGCGCGCATCTTAGCCCGCGCGGCATTGTCGAGCTTCTCATCTGCAGCCTCGTTCACCAGCTTCGCGGCATACGAGCTTCGTGAGAGAACGGGATCAGCACGTGCGGAGGTAGGAAGTTTTGTGGACAGAATTTTGGAGATGGAGGTTGAGAATGCGGTAGGGTCGTTGCGCTTGGGGACGGCTCGGCCACGATTGGCGCCTGTAGGTTTGCCGGCCGGGGACGAGTCGGAAAGATCATCATCTTCGTCAGATCCAGAGACGTCGCTTTCATCGTCGTCGTTCTCGAGGTCTTCGTCGTCCAGCTCGATCTCCTCGCCGGCATTGGAGTCTGAGTCGCTAGCGTCTGATTTTTTCGGTTCCGGTGCGGGTGCAGGTGCTTCTTCTTGTGTCTTTGCCTTCTTCATGCGAAGATCGAGAGCCGAGGGCTTGGCCACTTTGACTCCTCCTTCTTCGGCATCTGAGTCTTCAAGACTGACGGGGTTGAAATCACCATCTTCTTCTTCGTCCTCGGAGCTGCTGTGATAGAAGCGCTGCTTGACGAACTTCTTCTTGCGGCCAGTGTTGCCCTTTAGGCCATCAAGGACCTTGCGCTTCTTGGAAAAAGTAGGAGGCATTGTCACAAAAAAATAATGTAATAAATGCAAGTAAAGAAGAAAATCAAGACGCTGATCCAAAAGTGCCCGTATCACAACTTTTTTTTGGGGCGGTGAGAAAGCGTCGGCTCTCCGATTGGCCCCTCCACATCGCCTCTCTGGTCTCTCGACGGGCTTCACCTTCACCCCTCCTCCATCGCGGAATCATAACGACTACGGGTCGTATTGTGGATTTTCTTTCTAATTGTTTACATCTACACACATATTCACAATGGTTCTTCAAGACCTTGGGCGGCGAATCAACTCCGCCGTCAATGACCTGACGAGGTCCAATAACCTCGATGAGAAGGTATGCCATGTGTTGTCCAATGTGGCCTACAAGCCAGCCTGCTAATACAATAACAGGCCTTCGATGACATGCTCAAGGAAATTTGCGCCGCTCTCCTCTCCGCCGATGTCAACGTCCGTCTCGTAGGAACGCTACGCAAATCGATCAAGGCCAGCGTGAACTTCGCCTCGCTCCCGGCCGCAGTGAACAAGAAGCGACTGATCCAGAAGACCGTCTTCGATGAGCTCGTAAAATTGGTGGACCCGCATGCAGACTCATTCCGTCCGAAGAAGGGTCGCTCCAATGTGATCATGTTCGTCGGTTTGCAGGGTGCGGGTAAGACAACAACGTGTACAAAGCTGGCTCGGCACTACCAGACGCGAGGATTCAAGACAGCGTTAGTCTGCGCGGATACCTTCCGTGCTGGTGCTTTTGATCAGCT